CCCTTGGCGATAGCGCAGTGGGGGTACCTCCCTAGGCAAGTGCCACATGAAAAGAAAAAACCCTCCGCGCTGCATACTGCACTATGTTAAAAAAAAAAAAAAAAAAGCGCACCTCGTAAGGGCATCACATTGTAGCTGCATGGACTACCTCATTTTTTAATTTTCCCAAACAACAGAGCAGTGTTGTGTCCACCAAATCCTAAATTGGTATTTAACGAAATGTCTATATTTTCCTTCGCGTGTAAACTCTTATTTGGTGTATAATTCAAATCGCACTCAACATCCTTGTGTTCGTAATTAATGGTGGGAGGAATAATATTTGTTTCCATTGCTTTCAAACATACGATGGATTCAATTGCGCCTGCAGCTCCTATGCAATGACCAGTCATACTTTTAGTAGAAGATATATGCAACTTATATGCGTGATCTTTAAACACAGTTTTTAATACCTTGGTTTCAATTTTGTCATTCAGATTGGTAGAGGTTCCGTGTGCATTTACGTACTTAACATCGGATAGGTTTATATTTGCATTTTTTATAGCCTTGTTGATAGAATTGCATAGTCCCCGTCCAGTTGGCTCTGGGGCTGTGATATGAAAAGCATCGCTTTCGGAAGAGTATGCTAAAATTTCTCCATATATTTTGGCATTCCTCCTAAGTGCATGTTCATACGACTCTAAAATTAAAATTCCGGCCCCTTCTCCCATGACAAAACCGCTTCTTTTCAAGTCAAACGGTCTACACCCTTTTTTGGGGTTATCATTATATCCACTACATAACGCTCTCAATGCGTTAAATCCGGCAAAACTTATAGGAGTAATGCTTGCCTCAGTTCCTCCACAAACCATCACATCGTATTCTTTATACTTAATATATCGATATGCTTCCCCAATTGTGTTGCCAGAGGTTGCACAGGCACTTAGCATACCAAGTGAAATGCCTCGTAAATTATGCTCCATGGATACAAACCCTGCTGGTGTATTAGCTATCATTGCTGGGATTAAATAAGGACTTATTCTTTTATGTCCCTTTTCATACAATGTTTTCATTTCATTTTCTAGAAAAAGCAAACCACCGATCCCACTTCCGATGATGGTCCCTACTTTGTTGCAATCAATTTTGTGTAAGTCAATTTTTGCGTCATCTATGGCTAATCTTGTTGCAGCCACAGCATAGTGCGTGCAATCATCGTTCCGATTAGCATCCTTTTTGTTTGTGTAATAATCACACGGGTTGAAATTTTTCTTATCAATTTCGCTGCCTATGCCGCAGGCCATGCCTGTTACGTCAAATTTGGTAATTTTGTCAATCGAGTTATACCCGGAGATGAGATTCTCCCAAAACTTCTCCAGCCCGACTCCAACCCCATTTACGACGCCAATTCCGGTGCACACGACTCTCGATGTCTGTAGGGGTGGGGGCGCGCCCGCCAAGCGCAAAAGAAAAGAAAAAATATATATAATATATATATTATATGTATATGTATTTTTTTTTTTTTTTTTTCCTTACTTCGCAGTGCTTTCTCAACTCGTTCGCGTTGTAGCTGTTGTACATCTTTACATTTCTGAAAGTGCCTATTTGAGGTCTTTGTGCATTGTTCTTGATAAATCCGTACCTCCTGCTGCACACCTGTTGGCATTTTTATTATTTAAGGAATAATAACGAATGTGTTTTGCGAAAAAAAAAGGGAGGAAAAGAACTGAAGGAGTTGAGCGCAACGGTACAACTGGGTGGCGCCACCACTACGTTAAAGGGAAATATGCACATGTGTATCCATAAACATACACGTATTTTCGCAGTTGTGTGTGTGATCTTTTTGGGTAGCAAATAAGACGCGATCATGTGCTACGTCGTAAGTTGGTTCTCCCCGTCAGTTCCGCTCAGCAGCTCAGCATCTCAGAAGCGTAACAACATAATCGCTTCACAACTTAACAACTTTACAACCGCGCAAATGATCACACCTGTCACAAGGATGCGTGGAGATGAGACACAGCGCGGTGGAGACGGCTCTTTACGTGTAAGAGTGCGAACTTGGTTCCGTACATAGCGTCAACATCCAGATAATTTGCGTATGCAGAGATATGTAATTATGCAAGTACATTCGCAGAAGAATTCATAATATGCTCGATTGGGCCTACATTTAAATTTTTTTTTCTTTTCTTGTAAAGAACCAAACGTAGATTAAAGGTAAGCATATTGTATACATGGTCAGCGCTGGCATTTTGAAAACGTATTTTACGATTCGTTGAGCATTTTTAAATTACTTGTAAAATTAAGAAGTGGAAGAGAAGGGCTTTTTTGTAAATTCTCATTTTTCCCAAAAAACGTTGTCCAACATGGAAGTGTTCTTCGAAAGGGGGATCTATTTAATTTTGTTTATTCTGTTTGATCGGTTTGATTTGTTTGACAGATTTGATAGGTTTACCGTTTACTGGTTCATTTCGCTTAATCCGTTTCCTTTTTTTCCCTTTGCTTAGTTGAAAAAGATGAGGTGAAATACAGTGGAAATTGTGGTATAGAAATGTAAACGCGGTTCGCATGTAAATTAAACACACACATTTACACGTCCCTTCCTTTTGCTATCTGAATTTGGTTACCTTTTTTTTTTTTGCCTAAGGGTTTTTTGAAAAAAAAAAAATTCGACGAAATTCCCTTTTTCCATTTGTGCCTGTACCTATGTAAATACGCGTACGTATACATTTGTGGAATCGCCGCGTTCTGCGCAACGCCTACAATTTTGCACTGTTGCTATATTTTTCGCACGCCCCAACCCCCATGCACTTTGGGCAATTTGTATATACGTCATTACGACGTCCGACGGGGGCTCAACCAGATCGTGCATTGCTTTTTTATGTCCATTCTGGTACATTGTAAGGGGAAAAAGTACCGCACAGAATTGTTACCCTTTTTTGCATTTCGTTAAGTCATTTATCGCTTCTTTTTGTTTTTTTTCTTTTTGGTAATCTTTCTTAAGGGATGTCATTTATTGCTATTTTGAAAAATAAGAAATTGAAGGCAACGGTGGGGCAATATGATAGGGAAGTGAAAAACTGGCCCACATGAAGAAGGCAAAACGCAAACTGAAAACGCAGAAGAGGGGAAAAAAAAAAAAAGACCTTTTCAATATAGAAGCAAAATCGCGTTCTTGCCTTAAATAAATTTACAACATTTATGCGGCAACCAAGTTAGCGGCATTTATCTGGAGCATGTTGCTTTTTGGTGAACTCTGTTTTTTTAAATTCACCTGCTTTCCCCTCTGCCTGTGACTTGTCCACTGATCACGCCCATCTTGCTCACTCCCATTGATTTTCGAACTTTTCTTGGTGACCATTTTGAATAGCACATTGACAAAATGTACCCCCTTGCTCAAATTAGACAAGTTAAAAGTTGCACATCTTTCGTTGTAGTCTAAAATTTGTGCATGGTTTAAATTTTACGTTAACGAATGTTCGTATTGTCTTGCGCTTGACGAAAGAAATGTATACCTTCTTTTCCCTTTTTTTTTACGTGCGTATATAATTATGAGTTTTTTTTTTTTTTTTCAACATTTTTCCATAGCACAAACTGTTTGGTATGGCCATATTAAGGGAGCTGCAATTCAATTTTTATGTATACACCCCCGCGTGAAATGAATAAAAATGAAAAATTGTGATTTCCATTTTGGCCGAACACCCTACCCCCATTGCTAATACATTTGTTTCTGCGTGTACACTGGGAACATGCCTGCGAAAGCATTAAATGTTCATATATGCATACACATGCATAAGCGCAAAGAATTCACGTAAAGCTTAAACAAGGTTAAAAAAAAAAAAAAAAAAAGGCAAACATATACCTGCCTTTTATACGCCTTCACAACAATAATATAGTGACATTCATTTATCTGCCTCAAAACTCCAAAGAAAAAAAAAAAAAATGCGGAGTACGCAAAAATAGGTACACATAATGAGGACACACACAATATAGCCAAGTTCACAATTTCATTTAGGAAAAGCTAGCACAAATAGCAATAGGAATGTCACCCGAAGTGTCACCAACAATGTCAGTCGTGGCATCACAGTAGTGCCCTCTCAGTAGTGGCCTCTTAGTAGGCCAACGCCGAGTTAAGGATATGCCGCTGGCCACAGAAAAAAGTGTGTCAACCCCCCTTGGACATTTGACGTATGACACATGAGAAGATACTTATCATTGTCACTTTTGCATATGCCTCAAATTGTGAAAACATTACGTTGTAATAGTGAAAAAAAAAAAATCCAGCATTTTGTTTTTCAAACGGAAGTTTTACTTAACGTACGTGCGTATGTACAATTTATGAACTCTTTTTATGTATATATATATGTATATATTTTTTCTTTTTAATGAATACATTTTAAGGTATATATAATAAAACACACTCTTTTATTATATATATGGTGTAACACCAATTTACATACATTTTCTCAAAAAGGAAAAAAAAAAAAATGTAAAAAAACATTTAGTTCTTCCCAGCACATTTGTCAATTACTTTTCAGCGAAATTGTGTTAGCAAGGCAGGAACACGAAGAGGAAACGGCTAGTCCCTGGCAAATGGCCTGTTGTGAATTGCGCGTACAACGTAAAGCAAAAAAAGCTCGTAAAAGTGTAAAAACGTTGCGAATCGAAGGGGAAAAAGTTCACAAGAAATTCGCAAACGCTTCACAAGACGATCGCCAAACAGTTGAGCGAAAAAAATCGAAAGGGGAACAAGAGAGGACACCCGCGGGTAGCCAAAACATCGTATCGCGTGAAGACGGAGTGAACAAAACGCACACATGTGAGGAAATCCGCCCAGTCGACCCTCCACGAGGTCGCGAAGCCGCTAATCGGTAACCCGCCAATCGCTAACCCTCCAACAGCTAACTCTCCAACAGTTAACCCGCTTGCCATGGATCTGTCAAGGGGCAAAGTCATAATCGATAAAGATATCAACGAATACACAATAGACGAAAACGTATTTTTCTTCGAGCCAAAGAAGGAAGACGTATACGACGAAAACGCAAATCTGAGGTACATCTTCCACAACACATTCATAAGCACAGATGAAGAAATTGCAATAAGTGAATTCAAAAAGTACTGTAAAAATAAATCGTTAAAAATAAATAAAGCATTTTTCGAAAATGAATGCTTGCGTTATTTGTACTCAGCGCAATTCGATTTTGCAAAAGCGTTAGACCTGATTAAGAATAACTATGAATTCAGACTGTCCAACATTCTCCCCATAAAAGAAAAAGACGTTATAAATTACATTAACAAAGGAGTCATATACTGGCATGGAAGAGATAAAAAATGTAGACCCATTCTGATAATCAATTTATTGAATATCGAATCGTTAGATGTTGAAAGATTAACAAATTTATTTTTTTTTTGTTTCGAATTCTTTTTAAAATATTTATGTATACCTGGCAAGATAGAAAATTATATATCTCTTGTTGACTGTTCTGGGATTTCTTTGTCTAAATTTCCCATGTCTACATTTATGAAATTGTTGGAGATTATGAATTCAAAATATCGATGCAGATTATTTCGGATGTACATAATTGATGCCCCGAAGATTTTCAAAACTTTTGGGAAGTCCTTTTTAAATTTCGCTCCGTCCTACATGACGAAGAAGCTAAAGATTTTGGACACCAACTATGCGTATTATTTGAGGGAGGAAATTTTAGACACTCAACTGGAGAGGAGGTACGGGGGAGTGCGGGAGATCCGGGACAGCGTCTTTTACCCCTTCGCCTTTTACCCCAACTGTTGTGCCACGGGGGGAGCGGCTGGAGAGGATGAAGCGGCGGCGCTGGAGGTAGAAGTCGACTCTGTGAGTGCCGGCGAAAAGGACCCCCCCCTCGGACCCGGTTTCCAACAAATGAGCGACAAAGCGCGCGACTTCTTAACGTCAGGCTATTCAATGCACCTGAAATTGGAGGATCGAACTCACAAGGAATCGATGAGAAAGCATTATGCCCCCCCCGCGCCGGGAGACGGCCACGGCAGGAGCAGATTTAAAAGGAGCGGCAGCAACAATAGCAGCACGAAGCACCTGGTCAGCTACGGCAATAACAGCAGCACTAGTAGGAGGAAAAAAAAAAAAAAAAAAATTCTCCAAAACGGATCAGTTATTAGAAAGCTGTTTCATCGATGCGATGATAAATAAAATGTATCAAATGGGAAGTAACAACATTTTAAAAAACAATAAATTTGTGAATGCAAAAGGTAGCTATGTCGTTAGTGTAGGGAGCACCCACAACTGGCTCTTCAAAGTAAAGCACCTATTTCTTCCCGAGATAACCATCAATTATTTAACGAACAGGTTTCCCTTCATTGTAAATTACCTCATCGTGAAGTCTAATTTTAAGTCTATACAGCATTATGCGAAATACATAGAGAGTCATGCCTGCGTTGAGGGAGATGATCCTCTTCACGGCAAACATGGCAGTGGAAGACACGATCGAGATGGCAGGGGGGCCAGCAGTGGCCATCCATATGGCGGCAAACTCTTCCTTTCCCTTAGCTCGACTGACAATACGACTGCAAATGTGGCTACAAATACCATTAGACATTTTAGGGATGACCCGCACGAGCAACACTCGCACACGTTAAATAGTGTACAGTCGATGAATAGCCGTCTAAACATAACTCGCGTGAAGGAGGGGAAGAGCAGAGTGACTACTCCCCACGCGCACAAGTCAAGGAGGAGTGGGAAAAAGAGCGAAGGGGGCCTGACACAGAATGGGTTCAGCGAGTTCGATGCGTACAGGGCAGGTTCCGCCTGCGGTGTTCGAACCCCCTGCGATGATCGACGCGTTCACGGAGATGATTACACGAGGAGGACGGGAGGACCCAATGCGCTCCCCTCCAAAGATGCGAAGAAAATCTTCTACGCCAATTCGGAATCCATCTTTGAAGATAATAATGGCGATAAATTCTCTAAGGATAAGAGTGACCACCTACAAAATAAGCAGCCCCATACGTCCAGGCCAGAGTGGAAGGAGAAAACTCAAAGGTACTACAAAATTAAGGCAACGAATAATTTGTTCAGGGATGAATTGGTAGATGATACGGAGAAGGTCGATTGTATTGAGAGGAACTTTTTGAATAAAGTGGGGGGGGCGGGAGATTATTCCCCACGTTATGATTGTTTTGTTGACATGGATCATTCGGGCAAGGCGAAAGCGTGTGTGCAGCGTGAGTGTCCAAACAGCGCGGTGAGCTTAACAAACGCGACCTGCGCGGCCACCTCCAGAAAAGCGGCCAACTCGATCAAAACGATGAGCTCTATGAACACTCTAAACACGCTGAACACGATAAACTCGATGAACAGCGGAAACTCCGAAAAAAAATTACACACAAAGTCATCCGTAAATAGCATGAAGTCAGTGACGCCCAAGAGGCTAGACTACTACGCCAATTCGAATTTCGAGAGTCAGTCTACCACCATAAATACATCCTTCAGTACGGAACAGTACAAAGATTCGTTTAGTAAATTAAGAACAGGGGAACGTTTAGAGCAAGCACCACGAAATGATCCTTCAGATGATCCAACACTTAGGAGTGACGCCAATCCCGTCAGACAAAAACTTTCATCACCGACTCCTGACGTAACGGACACTGCAGAGGATGGAGCGCCAACTGAGGAAAAGAATCCAAGTTTCACCGCCCCTGAAGCGGAATCGGATTGTACTAAACAGACTAAGGGTAATGCCTCCGATAGGAGTAAGCGAAGGCTCAACAAAATTAAGATTATCGGTTTGCGGTTTTTTAACAAGACGACTTCCAAAATGTAGAATCCAGTGTACGTATGGGTTTGCCCCCGTAGCAGAGGTGGTGTGAGCAGGGGGGAGGGAGGGGATCGAAGAGAAGGAGTAAGCCCGTCCCCCAAATGAGGAGCACATTGGGGATGAAGCGACGTTCTGGAAGTGTAGCAGCACGTTCTTTGTTTTTGTAAATTTTTAACGCGTGAATAATTTCACAGCAGTGGAAGATGTTTTGTTTTTTTTTTTTTATTTTTTGTTTCGTTCCCTCATTCCACTTTGTGCGTTCGCTCCGTTTGGTGCTTTTTTTTGTTTTTTTTTTATTTTTTGTTTCGTTCCCTCATTCCACTTTGTGCGTTGGCTCCGTTTGGTGCTTTTTTTTGTTTGTTTTTTTTCGTCGTTCCGAAAGATAAGCACACATATGGCGATTACATGTTAAGGGACGCCTGCGGAGAGATCCCCTCCCCTGCGCTGTACGACTACCTCCGATTAGACACCTTCCCCTTTTGCATCTCTCTTTTAATTTTACCAACCGCGTAAAAGTTGTCCAATTTGTTAGCTAATTAAAGCATCTGTTTTATTCTATTTCGCTTGATATTTGAAGTACATGATTTTTTTTTGTTTTTTTAGTTCACTTAACATGTTGGCTACATCCCTTCGTGGGTTACACTAGAATTTTTTTCGCTTTTCCCTTTTCGTTTTTTGCTTTCCGTTTTTTACGTTGTATTTTGACCCCTTTTGGTTTTTAGCCTGTTCTTTGCAACCCCTGCCGTGCACTTTCACCTCGTCATTGTTTTACCCATCCGGTGATCGCATCACCTCCTTGTTTTTGTAGCGCGTTTCTCCCTCAGGAGTCTTCCCACTTTGTAATTCATTTCCGCCCATTTTTATTTTTTTTTTTTGCACATGGGGAATTTTATGAAGACAGTTATCAGAAGGCCGTTAAAGTGGCCCTGTCGAGTTTAAAACTTCCAGACCCCCTTTTTGCGACACGCATGGGTAGATCTGCGCACCTTTTCCCAATGGCAGCCTGGGGCCAAGAGGTAGAAGGACATGTAAAAAGTGTTCACATGACACCACCCCTTCCTCTCAACATAGCCGAGTTTATAGATGGATGAATCCGAAAGGGAGCACTTGCAGGTACGGGCAAAGAGCAAAGATGTAGACACAACAGATTCTGCATGTGTGTACGGCTACCTTATGGTCATGTCATTTTGTTTTTCCGTTCCTTTTCTTTATCTGGAAAATTCTTAAAATGTATCACGAGATTTGGGAAGTTAGGTTAGGTTCGGTTCATTTAGGGAGAAAAGGTCATGGTACTTCATTTGAGCGGCCTTAATAAGGGCACATTTTTGCAAAAAAAAAAAAAAAAAAAAAATAATAACGCGAAATGTGCGCTAAGGTATGGGGGAAAAAAAAAAAAAAAAAAATCATCCTTTGCGGCTTATTCGTTCAAAGGGTTAGGTTCCTTGTCCGTGTTTTCTCCTTTTTTTCTCCATTTCTTCTCCATTTTTTCTGCCTCTTTTCTTCCTTTTTTTTGCATTTTTCTTCGCATTTCCCCCACATTTTTCGGAATCCTTTTTGAGCTACTCCTACCAGGAAGACTCGCAATTTCGGAGAGCCACAATTTCGCAGATGTCTTATACCTGCGTGTTGGCTCTCCTTGCGTGCTTTCCTTTTTTTTTTTTCATTCCTTTTCATATTGTTCCCTGTTCGGCGTCTGCCCCTTTTTTTTTTTGGAATGCTGCTCTTTTGAGCCTCTTCCCCCCTGTTGTCTTCTGATACAGAGCACCCCACGGGTTCTACAGGAAGACTAAATGGGGCTGGCCTCAACCCCCTTTCTGTAGAATCAAAAATGAATCCCGATGTGGATCATGCAGATATTGATCCTGCAGGTGTTGATTGCATTGGGGAAGTACCCCATGAAGTTCCTCCTCGGTGTGCCCCCCCCGACAGTGAAACAAAAGACGCGTGTATAAATCCTTCTTTCCTGGATGGAGAAACTGGGGAGAAGGAAAAGGGGAAAACCTCCAAGGGGGGGAAAAAGGGAAATGGCATGAAGACTTCAAAAGGGGGAAAGAAAAAAAAGCAGGAAAAGAAAGCGACAAGTGAAGGCATCGCCTCAGGGGTATCTTCCCTCTCCTCTTCTGCTGACGAACAGGAACCAAACGACAGCGCCAATGCGGAAGGGGTGATCAGCTTCCTCTCCAAAGTAAGCGCAAATATAACAAACCTGTGCAGGAATGACGAGCAAGTTAGCAACAAAAAAAAGGAAAGTGAACAACATCTGAAGAGGGAACTCAAGAGGGTGTTAAAGTTTGTCAAGAGAAACGAACAAAAAGATAAACAGAAAGAATCACACATAAAAGACCTAAAAGAAAAGATAGAAAAATACACCATTCAAAATAAAGAAATTGCAAAGTGCTACGAAGAAGGAAAGAAGAGTATCCAACTTCTCCAGGAAGAGTCAGACAAACTTCACCATCTATTTGATAGCAACCAGAAGAAGGAAGACAAGTGGAATGTGGAGAGGGAAAACTACTTGGAAGAAATAGAGTCGCTAAAGACGCATATAGAAGAGTTAGAAATCAAGGTCGAAAAAAAGAACAACGAAATTGAAGGGCTGAAGAGAGAAAATGAACACATCCTGTTAAAAGTAGACAATCTAGAAAAGAACAGCAAAGAATTAAAAAATGAAAATATCGAAATGAGTGAAAATCTCAACGGGGTGAAAAAAGAAAATGTGAAGAAGAACATCACTATAGATAATTTGAAAAAAGAATTGGAGGAGAAAAAAAAGCTAGACGAAAAGTACAACAAGGACAAGGTGCTCATCGAGAAAAACACAGAAATTTTGATAGAGGAAAGAAACTACATCAACGAAGAGTTGATAAAAACACAGAAGCTGCTGGAAAATCAAATTAACAAAAATAGAGATCTACAAAATTGTAAGACCAACCTTCTCGAAAAGGTCGATTTGCTAGAAAAAAAACAAAAAGATCACTTAAAAAAAAATGCCGACTTGGAAAAAAAGCTAGACGACATGAACAAAAAAAATAAACTCCTCATGAACGAGGCGAAGATGAAGGAAAATGAAATTGCCAACAACACCACCGTCATTAACGCCCTCACCAGTGCAAACTCCAAAATGAAGGTAAAACTAGACCAGGAATGCTTCAAAATAAAACTAATACAGAAGGAAAACAAAGCTCTAACTATTAATGTTAAGTCACTCACGTATGAAATTCAAAATTTACTCAAACAGACGGAAGAAATAAGAACCAAGTACCAAATTCAGAAGAAAGAAATTAATGACCTCATTGTAGAGAAGGAACAAACCAAAAAACTCATTGAAAAAATCGACGAGGGTATTAAAAAAAGTACAGAATCTGCTAAGAAGGACAAAATTTTCAATATCAACCTTGAGAAAGACATGAAAAAAAGCACAGAAGAAAAAAACAAATTGAATGAAGAAATTCAATCCCTCGTTAAACACAAAGAGAAACTGATACAAGAGCTATCAAACATGAGCAGTAAAGTAATAAACAGTACCAACGAGCTGATAAATAAAGACAGCAAAATTGGGACCTACGTTAAAATTATCAATTCTTTGAAAAACGATCTAGCCAAGGAGAAGGCCCTCTATGAAAATATAAAAAGCGAAAAAATTAATACCAATAAGAGTCTCACCGAAATGAAGGAAAAATTGTCTACCCTGGAAGAGAGACACAAAATACAGAACAATGAACTTGAGCAAATAAAAAATGAAAAAAACAATCTAGAAACAAAAATGGGAGATTCCATGGAGGAGAAAAAAAATGCCATAAGTCAATGTGAAAAGCTAAAGGAACAAATTGAAAAATTGAAAAGTCATCATGAAGATAGCAAAACGAGGCAACTACACGACAAAAAAACCATAGACCAATTAGACCTCGAAATTAATGACCTAAATAGCAAATTAAAAAACTATGAAAAGAGTGTCAACCAGAATAAGAAGGAGAGAGATCTTCTAAACAACGAAGTGAAGGAAAAAAATGAACATATAGCAACACTTAAGGAAAAGCTCAAACTGCTGCAAATCTCTCATGATAAACTAGACGTCGATAGTAAGAACCATCTACAAGAAATTAAAAACTTGAATAAAAAAGTTGCCAACTTGAAATCCTCCTCCGAACTTTCCAATATCTCCAAGGAACAGCTAAACAGTACAAAGCTACAAATTAACTCTCTCAAAAAAGAACTAATCAATGAACAGAATAAAGTTAAAACCTTATCGGAGGAGTTAGAAAAACCAATAAACATACATAGGTGGAGAAACATCGAGGGAAACGACCCCACTGCCTTCGACTTGATACAGAAACTTAGATGTGTACAAAAAAAGCTAATAGAAAAAACGGGGGAGTCCATGAAGAAAAATAGCATAATACAGTTGAAGACCAAGGAATGCGAACAGCTGCAACAGCAGCTTGGCAACCTGTCCAGGCAACCGGAAGTGCAGGACGTCACTCAAATACGCAAGAAGCTGCGCGAGAAGGAGACACTCATCAAGTCGCTCACGGCGGAGATTTCGATGTATCAGGAGGAGACCGAGAAGGACAGGCGGCGAGGTTAAGAGGTGGGGCCAAGTGGTGAGGTTAATCTGCGAAACTACGCGGCGAGTGAACCGCTGACTCAACCGGCGAGGCTACGCGGAGAGTTTGTCGCATACCGAGAGGGCCACATTTGGATGGAACCGGCCGGGGACGGCTTGGAGGGCCTTGCCCCGTTTGTCATGCGATGTCCATTCAGGGGGGAAGCATGCCTCAGCATTTGTGCCTACGTAGGTACATATACGTATGTGAGCCCATATACTGCACCCCCTGGGGTGGCTAATTTTTAATGTTCCTCTTTTTTTCTTTTTTTTTTTTTTTTTCTCCCATTTGGTTAAATTTATCTTAACTGCGTTCGCGCCAAGGGGAAGTACGCCCTGTCCTTTTGAATGTGTAAAAACAGATACCATTGCCTGTAATATGCTTTAATGAGCCGATTCAATTGGTAGAAGAGCGCCGAAATGTCGCCATGGACCGCCTCGGATTGGATCACCGATTGGGTGCGAAATGGGATCCTGCACACAGGTTATTATAGAGTGCCCCCTTCTCGATAGACAGCTCAAAGAGGGGTATGTGTCTCTTTCTCTTTCTGTGTATCGGGGAAGTTACCCGCATTTGGTGAAACTCGGGAGAGAAAGAAATGCAAATACAGAAAAAAAGATTGTCATGCTTCTCCAGAAGTTAAACAAAGACAAACAAGAACAGATACGCCAGCCTGTACATACGCAGCTTACTCAAAGTAACTCTTCAAGTAGGCTGGCGTATGACGCCCTGGATACTGCCTTAGCAAAACAAAGAGGGAGGGAGAAAACAAAATATTAATTTTCTTCAAGTAATGCAAGCTCTTTTTACTATCCTCACTATACAAATGCTCATTCATATTATTTGTATTGTTCCAATTTTCTATGTATAGGGTTTCCACAAAGTGATCATTTTCTTTTGTATATATGTGATAATCATTGAACCCCTTTTTTAACTCGAGTGAATCGAAACAGTACTTGAGTTCGTGGAGGATGTTTTTTACGAAATCATCTTTGCTGCAGATAAATTTGTTTATCAGCATTCCGTTTGATAAACTCAGGTTACTTGATAAGCAGATCACCAGGTCTCTTAACACCCACCCGCTCAGAGCCCCGCTAAGGCCGTACAGAATGTGCTTGTATTTGTGCTTGTGCATGATAGAGGGAGAGGGAAAGCTGGAGAGGCCGTCCTCTCTGTGTTGCTGCCGGGGGGAGAAATGCGGAATGATGTGACGAAGCAGAGCGCACGTGGTTAGGCGGAATGCACGTGGGGAAGCGCACCCCGTGTGGAAACATGGAACGTTCCCATCGACGCGGTGTGTGGATAGAGCACACAGAAATGTTCGCCCCAAAAGGTGGATTAGCAGAAGCCGCCACGGGGAAGTATATATTTCCCCATATGAAGGGGAACCGAATAATGCAAATAAGAGGAGTTGCGTGTGCGCAGAGAGCGCCAAGCGAGGGGGCACTTACCCGTATCCACAATCGAGGTTCGCTTTCCACGGTCGATTTGTGCCAACGATTAGTGCCAACGATTCGTGTTATTGATTTGTGCAGTCGATTTCTTCTGTCAATTTTTACGCTCTCCTGCGATTCACCTCCTTCTGTTACGGCTACTTCAAACTGGACTGGGCTTGCTGTTCGGCTGGTTAGAAAAAAAAAGCGTGGCAACACCTTTGCTAGGCAAGCCAAGAGAAAATTCACTTTTTACATTCCCATAGCGATTTTGTGAAGCGACTTTTTTTTTTTCCTTTTCTTCTTTTTTTACCCACCAGTTAAAGCTCCACGCAAAGTACACAAAACAACGTGCAACTGTGTATGCATGTATATGTGATGTGAGTTCCACAAATATCGAGCAGCTAGAAAAAAAAAAGAAAAAAAAGAAGCACAGTACGCATGTTAACTGAAGCAAGTGAAAAAATAAGGTACACCGAAAAGGAGGACGTTTTCCAGAAAGGGCAAAGTAGAATTTAAAAAAAAATAAAATCAAGCAATAAAACGAAGATGTAAAATATTTTCTTTAAAAGATAACAAAAAAACTTTAAAAAGAACAACTCAGACGAGAAACCCCAACAAGAGGGAACTCAAAAAAGAGTTCTCCCAATTGAAATTGGCCACAAACACCAAGTGCAAAGTAGAAAAAGCGACAACAACTGGCGGGAACGCCGAGTAACAGAGATACAGCCGCTAAACCGCTCAACCGGCTAACGGAGCGGAGAGCTTCTATGAAAGCGCTGGCGGCCAAGTACCACGTGCTGGCAAGAAACATCTTCGAAAACGACTCTACCCGAAGGAGGAAAGTGGGAACGAGGGGACTGAAAAGGTATCTGTTCACGTCGTTCATCTTTTTCTCTTCGCCATCCATGGAAAAAGTCATAGGAACGCATTCGGGACGTTTCCACACGGACGAAATATTAGCCACCGTGATGCTGAAGTTTCTACCAGAATATAAAGATGCGAAAATTATAAGAACTCGTGACCAAGAAAAGCTGGACCAGTGTGACGTGGTGGTGGATGTAGGGGGAGTATACGACCATGAAAAAAAAAGATATGATCATCACCAGAAAGAATTTAATGGAACTCTAGATGACAAGCATGACATAAGACTAAGCAGTGCTGGACTAATTTACAAACACTATGCAAAAGATGTTTTTCGAAAAGGGTTTGGCATAACGGATGAAGAAAAGGTCAACACACTTTATGATAAAATATACACTGCCTTTATTGAATCTGTCGATGCCTTGGATAATGGAATTAACCAGCACGAAGGTGTCGACAAATATCAAATTAATACTACCCTACAACATCGAGTGAATCGATTTAATCCAAACTTCCTTGACCATGAAGCTGATGCTGACGAACGTTTTATGTCAGCTGCACAAATTGTTAAAGAAGAATTTGTTAGCTTTGTAAATTACTATTCTAATGTATGGTACGCAGCTAAAAGTATCACCTTAGAAGCAGTAAAAGACAGATTCAATTTTCACCCATCCGGAAGAGTTATCTTCTTGAAGAGGCATTGCCCCTACTACGATCATGTGTATGACATAGAAGAAGAACTAAATATAAAAGACGAAATTTTGTTTTGTATCTACAATGACAGATACCAGGAATGTAGATGTGGAACCATTTCCAAGAAGAATGAAGCCTTCACCATTAGACTGCCCTTTCCCAAAAGCTTTAGGGGTCTCCAGAAGGAGGAACTGGAAAAAGTTTCGAACATCCCGGGACTATCCTTCGTCCACTATTCTGGATTCACTAGTGGAGGGAAAAGTGTCGATTGCCTCTTAAAGTTGGTGGAAGCAACTTTGAAGGAAAACAACATTTCCTTCTAGTTTGCCTCGTGCAGCATTGGGATCCCCTACTCAGGATAAAAAAAAAAAAGGAGAAAAAAAAGGGGACACCACGTTATTTTGTCATGCCCATGAAATGATTCTATACTGTCTGTATCGTCTTAGACACGTCAAATGGGTGTAGGTGTGCATGTCTGCCTGCGCATCGTGTAGCTACCGCACTACCCTTCGGAGTAACTACTCTTCTTTTTCCTCCCTCGAGCCCCTTATTTATGTATAAAATTAAGCGCCCCCGCGTTAACCCTCCCCATCCCCTCTGCAAGAGGTGCTCCTTTTTTTGCGGCTTGTAGTGCATATGCGTAAGGGTATCTATATACACCGCGGGAGGAAATAACAGAGGGACGAATATAGGGGCATGCTCGCACGAACCGCGCATGTTCAGCGGCACTTTTTTTTGGTGTATTATATATCTTGTTTTGTGTAACGTTGTGGTGTGTGATAATACAACGCCTAACTACACCGTGCATGATTATGCCCTGTGCAATTTTGCCCTTTTTCTCCGTTTTCTTTTTTTTTTCGCGAAATAAACCCATCCTGAGAAAATTCCACACCGCACACGGACAGGCACACGCACAAACCAAGCAGAATTGACTGTTGTACATTTAGGCTTTAAAAAAAAAGGGGGAAAAAAACAACCACAAATGGCTTTATACCAAGCGAAATGGACAGGGCATTCAGAAGAGGCATACGTGGACTGCTTTTTTCCTGCCGCGTATCTGCTTATGCGAACTGCTTATGCGTAGGGCAACCCCATAGCCGCAAGCACAATTTGGCTATGGCTAGCATGAGTAGGAGCGTTCGAGCATTTCCCCTTGCAGTCCAGGATGTCTAGGCTTATTCGAGTATGTCTACACGTATTCGACGATCTCTACACATATTCGACGATCTCTACACGTATTCGAGGATGTCTACACGTATTCGAGGATTTTTACACCTACTCGAGGATGTCTACACGTATTCGAGGATGTCTGAGCGCATCAAAAAGCCTAAAAGGGTGAGTGCGCGACGGATTTCACACCTTTCGCCACTTGCAAAATTGGAGGGAAAGGTACATCTTCAGCTGCGTGTTCCAAGCGAAGCTAGCATAAGCTAGCAATTTGTTACGGACTAAATAAACGGAAGAAAAAAGGCTGAGCGATTCAGATTGGTTCTTCACTAGGTAGAAGCGGTGATGAAAAAAAAAGCCTTCCCATTTGGCTGCAATTCGTTTTCTCATACATGGCGCCGTAACGTAGGGTAGTGTAAAAAAAAAAAAAAAGAAAAAACTTATCCAATTGGTTGAAGCCAGCCGACCTGCTAACATACACAATAATGGTTATCACCCCTTCTGTTTCAAGTTAGCCCCATGTTGGTTTGCACAAATGTATACACACATTATGCTTCGCTTCGGAATGCCCCCCAAAAAAAAGAAAAAAAAAAAAAAAACGCAAAATGTAGGGGTAAGAAAAACCTACAATTAAAATGCCTTCGTCGTTACATATCTCATGTCAGCTTTAAAAATAAACGTACCAGTCATTTTAAGATAATTTGCAATCCTTTTTGTGTAAATCAAATTGAAACGGGTCACTCCAGATTAAACACAAGTTACGAATAACCAACTCAACCTGCGCTTAATAAAACAAAATTAAACCCCATGGGGTAAAACTCAATTCACGCTGTTTCAGATTACTTCAAAACCTGAAAAGGCATAATTCCTATTTTGCCTCTCCCCACCGGGGAAAAAAATGAAGAATTCCCCAACAGGTAAGTCGAACATTTTACACCACGTTATTTTTTCCACTGGTGTATTGCATGTGTACATATGCGCACTGTTGCGCCGCGCACGGAATTACATTTTTCGCATTTTTAAAACAGTCCCCCTCCAAGCTCCATCCCTTTTCATACATCCCTGCTTGTAGAATGTGCGCGAATACCTCAAGCGAACACGCCGAATTAGTTTCTTAAAACTGTTTGCAGCATGGAATGAAAATATACATTTTTGCTATGAACCCTTTTCGCATTCCCCTCATAGTGACATATAGTTGCCCTTCACACAGTAGGATCGCCCGACCCGTTGGATAGCAGCCGTCACATCTTCCTCAGCCCAAACGTAGAAAAAAAAAAAAAAAGATTCACATAATACTTATTAACGAACAATTCATCTCTATTAATTTTTGAAATTTTGTAGCGCCCCTATTTTATGGGCACATAGCATGGGCATATATTTTTTTTCTTCTTTTTCCTTGTCTTCTCGAACCCCCCCCTTGCGCGCAGGCGCTTCTGCCACGAACATGTACATATATAGCGTCTACGTAACATTACGTGTATGCGCCAAATAATAACTTCGAGTGAGTGCTTGAGAGAAAATCTCCCCACAAAATGCACCCCATGCAATATATACTCCTCACTAGGGCTTATGTATAGCGGCCACCGAGGTAGGGTAACTAACACTCCCATACGTAAATACATACATGCCCTTAAGGTACGGTCCGAATATTTTTTGTACTGCGACGTAAAGAGAAGGGGCCCCCCTTCACCGCCTCCCCCCCTGTGTTTTTGTAACGCACATTTCAACTCGTATATATAAGTAGCCAAAAAATTCGCTACACTGGATGGGATGCATAAATTTTACTTACGCACCATTTTTTTTAAATAGGGTCGCCTTTCCGTGTTGGCACTGTTTCTCATGGCCCGTTCTCTGCGGACGTGCACCAAAACGAGGAGAGTACGTATATGTAAAAGTAGTACATATGGGGTAATATGTATACATGCATATATGATAAGTTTCTGCTTGGTGAAACCCCAGTTTGGAAGTTTTACCTTCATCACTTATACATACTGCTATTTCCATGTGAACGTGCCTCCACGACCTGGAGAGTGAAGGAGGGGAAGAAAAGCCCACCCACCCCCGAAATAATTAAGCAGATTATACTCCCCGACACCGCCGTACATATTATGTGTATGATAAAAATAATTAAATATATATATAAAGTACGTATATGTATATAGAGTACGTATATATATATTCATTTATGCCTTAAGATAGCCCTACTTTTGGGAATCCCCCGGGACCTGCACATAAAACCATGTTCGCATGAGTGACCCGTTTGGGGCACTTTTTTACTTAACTTGCAGCTGGTTAGAAGATACGCCTTTGCAGCTAACCGCCACGCGAAGCAAATATCTACATGTAACAAATGGACATGTGTATATATGTATTTATATATGCGTATGCATACGAAGAGTGCGTCCCCGTTTTTTTTGTAAGCATTTTACGTACGGTTCTTCGTCGGGTACGCTCTTTTGAGTACCATCCATCATGTGATGCAGATAAGGTACTCTGCAGGTCTTACGTTGCTTATGTTCATAAATATTCCTCATTTTATTTTTTATTTATTCATTTTTTTTATTCACAAGGAATGGTACACAAGAACCCAATAGGCTATTTCGCCCTTTCTATAAAGGAAAAAAAAAAAAGAGTTTTTTTTTTTAACTGCTCCTTTTTAAGCACATTTAACCGAATTGTAATTAAATTGATCGAGCATACTTGCATTATAACTAAAAAAATAAGATACAGCCGAAAAACAAGCACAAAGTTTTGCCATATTGCGATAGAGTCCTTTTCTTAACTCGCATAACAGCTATACAGATACGTATACATTTAGAAAGCCACTTCTTGTGTTTCCACCTCCTAGAGAGCATCACAGAAGTAGTAGCCCTCAAGGAGCCGCGAATTAGCCCACCAAACAACTGCCCAACCGCTTCTCAACTGAGAGAATAACTCCCCTTACCCCATCCCCCGTAGCTTGACACAATGAATTCTTTCAAATTTAAAAACTCCACCGCCGGTGCAAGTTCGCAGAGCGCGGCAAACATCACGTTGAGGCAAATCCTGGAGCCCCGCACTGTGGATTTACGCTCCAAAAAAACGCACATTGTTTGTACTTTGGGTCCAGCGTGCAAGTCCGTCGAAACGCTCGTGAAGTTGATAGACGCAGGTGGGTTCTTACCTCGGGGGGAAGCCCACTTCACACATGCGTGAGGTGTCGCCAATGGCGCGCGTGGCACTCCTTCCCTTCATTCTGTATTGAAGCTGTTCATTCCGTGAACCACCTTATGCGCCCCCATCACGTCCCCTCTATAGGAATGAACATCTGCCGATTCAACTTCTCCCATGGATCGCATGAAGATCACAAGGAAATGTTTAACAACGTATTGAAGGCCCAGGAGCAGAGACCAAACGCCTTATTGGGAATGCTGTTAGATACGAAGGGTCCCGAAATTCGAACGGGTCTTCTAAAAAACAAAGAAGCGCATTTAAAGGAAGGAAGTAAATTAAAATTAGTTACCGATTATGACTTCCTAGGAGACGAAACCTGTATTGCTTGTTCATACAAAAAGTTGCCACAAAGCGTAAAACAGGGAAACATCATTCTAATTGCCGATGGGTCCGTTAGCTGTAAAGTGTTAGAAACGCACGATGACCATGTGATAACAGAAGTGTTAAATTCAGCTACCATTGGCGAAAAAAAAAATATGAACTTGCCAAATGTTAAGGTCGACTTACCAGTCATAGGAGAAAAAGACAAAAATGACATTCTCAACTTCGCCATCCCCATGGGTTGTAATTTCATAGCAGCTTCGTTTATTCAGTCTGCAGAGGACGTCAGGGTGATTAGGAATTTGTTAGGCCCTAGAGGAAGGCATATTAAAATCATCCCCAAGATAGAGAATATTGAAGGTATTATTAACTTCGACAAGATTTTAGCTGAGTCTGATGGAATTATGATTGCTAGGGGGGATTTAGGAATGGAGATTTCTCCAGAGAAGGTTTTCCTGGCCCAGAAGCTGATGATTTCGAAGTAAGTCCATTTTAGCTGCCCAGAGATCTACGCCCCGTTGAGGGGAGACGCACCAGTGTGGACACAGGAGTGTGGTGACAGTAGTGTGGAGATAGCAGTTGGACAGAGCGGTGTGGACAGGGCAGTGTGCCCACTTATCGCGTGGCGAACCTGTGAAGCATCTCGCGTGGCTCACCTGCCACACCGCTTACAAACCTTGCCCATCACATTACCGCCCACTCATCGCTGCCCATTTGCCCCACGAGAAAAGGATAAAATAAAATTACAAATCAGTTTTATCCCCTCCAAAAGTGGTGCATAAAATGAGTGAATAGACGACTCGGAACGTTTTGTTCGAGTCCCTTATTATTCAATCTTATAAGTCAGCTGATTGGTTATATTTGGAGCGTCCCTCGCTTCATTTATTTTTAAAATCATTTAGTGTTAAATTAAGATTACAGTTGACCCTGCTTGTTTATCCTATCCATCGTTGTCGTGCATGAGGAGAGGGGCTTTTTCGTCTATATGTGTCCAACTCGTGGGCGCGTCCTTTCCTTTTGTAAATCGCATATGAATGCCACTTCGCTCGTTTTGTAGTTAGTTTTCCCGTATATTGGGATACTCCTTCACGATGCACCCCTTTCCTGATGGCCTGCCTGAACCCGTTTTACTTCCTTTTTTTCAGGTGCAACTTGCAAGGAAAACCAATCATAACCGCCACCCAGATGTTAGAATCCATGACGAAGAACCCAAGGCCAACAAGAGCCGAAGTGACCGATGTAGCCAACGCAGTGTTAGACGGAACCGACTGTGTCATGCTTTCCGGAGAAACAGCCGGTGGTAAGTTCCCAGTCCAAGCTGTCACAATTATGTCGAAGATTTGTTTAGAAGCCGAAGCATGCATTGATTATAAATTGCTATACCAATCATTGGTCAGTGCGATACACACACCGATAAGTGTACAAGAAGCGGTGGCTAGATCAGCCGTAGAAACAGCAGAATCCATCGGTGCAGTTTTAGTTGTAGCTTTAACCGAGACAGGATACACTGCTAGATTGATAGCCAAGTACAAGCCAAGCTGCACTATCTTAGCCCTGAGTGCCTCTGAATCCACGGTTAGGTGCCTGAATGTACACAGAGGAGTCACATGCATTAAAGTGGGATCATTCCAAGGAACTGACAACGTCCTGAGAAGTGCTATAGAAATTGCCAAAGAGAGGAACTTAGTCAAAGTGGGAGACAGTGCGATATGCATTCACGGAATTAAGGAAGAAGTCGCCGGAGCTACCAACTTGATGAAAGTGGTACAAGTGGAATAAGTGAGATGTGGTAACACCGAGTGCACACGGTGTGCCTATCTTTATGCGCGTCGGGAAAGTTCAAAATGAAGAAGAGAAAGAGGAAAAATAAAAAATAGCAAATGGATTTGTCGTGCATGACCGGCCGATGAGTTCAACTTGGCACCCTTAAAAGTTAACTAGCAAAGTTGCCAGAACAAGAATGCTTACACATGCACGGTAATCACCCCGAGACGGCCGTCGGGGAATACTGCAAGATGTCGCGAGGCGAACCGGCGCTACAGCTTTCGTCGCGCGCATAATTATGCAGTATGGTCCTGTGTTGCATATGTTACATACGTATGTATCTCGGCCCTCCCCCCCCCATCCATGTACTGCTCCACAGTGCACCAAGGTATATAAAGAAAAATGGGGACGAATACCTGCCTGGAAAAACCGCCCCTACGTAACAAAGGGGTTGAGCAGTTGGGCGGTTCAGCCGTTGAGCGATTGATCGAACAAGCGGTTAATAATGGAGATGCTTTTATATGATGATCAATTTTGCGCCCTTTTTTATGTAACCATTTTTATTATGTGTATCCCGCTTGCAAAAAAAAAAAAAAAGAGAAAAAAAAGGAACTTCCAAGAGAACAAACAACCTGTTGTTGAATGAATAGCCGTTTTAATTGTGCACACAACACATGAACTGTGTCAGTAAAAGTGCCAGGTTAAAATTATGCAGTGGGTCGACTGGTTGGAAAAGCTTAAATTAAGGCATTGAAAAAAACGATGTAATGGAATTTGGCACCCGCAAAGTATTTTTTCTTTTTTTGCCTAATCGATGCGGAGCAAACGCATCGTGATGGTTCAAAAGCTGGGCGGAAAGGTTTCTGCAAGTTTAGTATTCACACGAAGAGCAATGCTTTGTGATAATTGGGATAGTTCCATTTGGCATGCTTCCACAATTGGTAAGTTTTGTCAGTAAATTCTTTTAAGCCCCTTAAAGATGCACACACCAGTAACATCACAGGTAACCCTTTTTAATCATCGATATTTTCACATAAAAATAATTGCACAACTGCTGGTTCATTTGCTGATTCTTTTTGAATACGCGCGTCTGTTCCCAACATGTTGTCGATGCTCGTAGAGGTGAATGTCCTTCTTCCTACATTTTTCAAAAGGATCCATTTGATTTCCTCTTCAACAACGTGGCGAAAAATGCCTCCCTTGTTCATGAAAATTTCACGTTCTACATAGCATTCACGAGAAAAAAAAAGGAAAGAAAAAAAGAAAAGAAGAGAAAAGAAAAAAGGGCACTTCTTAAAACAGCTAAATGCTCACAAAAGTGCAAAATTGCAAAAGTGCTAAAATCGAGTACAAACGAAACGAATACCTTTTTTAAGGAAACGCTTTAACCATGTGGCAGAAAATATAAAAAAGCACGCGAAGCGGTTCATTTGGCTCATGGGAAACAGTTCATGCCGTTACATGTACAGGCATGTACATTCACTCAATTAGTCAACGCTAATGTGTTCCGTGGGTCCAAAAACTAGGCGACTGTTTTGCTTTTTAAGTGTACAATGAGATTGTGACTCTTTTAGGGGAGCATAAACTGGCGCAGAGCGTATTGCGTACGCGTGTGCAGAGGTGATCACAGGAAACAATTAAACCGGGCACTTCCTACATCTGTTTGAAAATAACACAAAAAGTATGTAATTTATTATTTAGCGGCGTGATATATCTTTTGGATTGACATAGACACAATTATGAACTAAAACTGAGATAAAAGAAAAGAAAAAAAAAGAGAAACGTCAGTTATGCTCTGCTAGAAAGACAAGATGATACGAAAAATTGTCGAAAGAGGAATTATGAGAAAAAATGCACACCGGAGTTACTTCCCTTTGGGTAAACACAGTGGGGAGTGCCTCCTCAGTGACAAAAAGTATGTACACTACGAAGGTGGCTTGAAAAGGGGGAGTAACCATTTAGGCAATGATCCTGCTGAGGGAGGCAACAACGTTGACAGTTGTATTGCCAACCGTGTTAGCGATAGCGGCCACGCCAGCTCACCCCTCGGCGAGGAAAACAAAATAGTTGTACACCAAAAGTACAAAGTGCAAATGGCCCTGTGCATAGACAGATTCCCCCTGACCTTTGAGCAGGAAGAGTTTGAAAAAGATTTCGAAGATTTCAAAGACAAATGGCTTCAAAAAACGAACAACAATTTGAATATCAACGAGGAATTTTTACACATGAAATATAATTTGAGTTCCTTTCACGATCGGAAAAAGGAAAATCACCTTGAGAGCACCAATTTAGAGGATGATATGGGGCACCAAAAAGGTAAAAAAGATAAAGGTGTGGATCATATGCCAGGTGAAGAAGCGACGTCTGTAGAAAATGACGACCTCGAAAATTTGTTTGCCAAAGAAGGTATACAAAACATTTTAAACGCAAAAGAAAAAAAAAAAAAAAAAAAACGATGGAGATGCAAATGAGGAAAAAAAAAAAAAGTACGATGATAATCATGAAAGCGAATATAACTACAGAAGTGTTACGAGGAAACCAAATCATTTTTTATACTTAGTGGTGAAATATAAAAAAACAAGTAAGTGGATGTTCCCATTGATGGATTTTAAAAAAAAATTAACAATCAGACAAAATTTACAACACTTATGCACGGAACATTTAAAGTGTGAAATGCCATTTTTTATTGGCTACTGTCCTTGTACGTTTGAAAAAAGAAAATATAAAATTCCTCTTCTATTTAACGAAATTATCGGGAGAAAAATCTTCTACTACAGAGCGCATTACCTGAACCACGACGTTAACTTGAATCTGTCCAACAATGAGCATATAGATGACTTTGCGTGGTTGTCACGCTCCGAGCTGAAAGACTTCCTCTCCAGCAGCAAATACCAAGTCATAAAGTGTGCCATCCCCCTGACGTGAGGAAAAAGGGGTAGGGAAAAGAAATGACCGTGTGAGTAGGTGCTTATGTAGGCGCTTATGAATGTACTTATGCATGTACTTATGTATGTGCCCCTTTTCGCTCCTTTTTTTTGCGCATAATAGGACGAATCTCACCCGTTTGTGCTAGTTGCCCATATCGAAATTGACCCGTTCCATCTCCTTTTTAATTTGATCCTTCACCGAATGACCATTGGCACGAGTAGCACTCGACTCGGTCTGCGAGCCACAGGAATCTGCATTGTTTGCGTCCCCTCCATTTTCATCATATAACTTTTGAAAGTACTCCCTTGACCATTCGTATATATTTTTTTTACTTACATGCTCATCTTCAGAGGACTCGGCTGGATTGTGAAGTATCATATTTTTGGCGTAGGCCACCAAGATGGCATTCAGCTTTTCCGAAATGGTTATTTCTTCCGATAGATCAGCCGAGTCTGTTTGACAGTCCACCTCTCGTTCCATGTGGTAAGGCAGCGAAGTAGCGAAGCGGTGATATGTAGACGCGTCCAAGTCGTGATATGTGGACGTGTCGAAGCGGCAGGGGGCCCCACCCTCAGCATGTATATCACACGGATGCACAGAAAAAATGGCGCTTGTGCATAATTAGGCACGCTCTCTTTCCCCACAGGGGCAAATAAAAGGCTACACAAGTAGATATACACTCCTTCTGAAGTCCATATGTCTTCTAGGCTATTTTAAAGGGCGCACATTTATGCTTCCCCTTTGTTTTGTGAGGTCGCTGGTTGAAAATCCCAATTAGGAACCACGTCCTTTCGTTTTGCAGAATATGAGAAAATCCCTTTCTGCAACTTTTTATTTCTCCTTATCGATGCGCAGTTCAACAGAAATAATTTAAGCAAATCGTTTTACTTTCCTGTTGTCCCTTACACGAGAGCTTATATAAAAGAAAAAAAAAAAAAAAAAAAAAGACAAGGAGGGAGAACATCGGATTTGCGTCCCGCCTTTCTTTTCCCGAATAGGGAAAAGTCACGTAGGAGACATTTAAAGGACTCGCTTTGCACTCCTCATGATACCATTTTGGCACTTCCCCTTCTACCGCGGGGGATAAAAAAAAAAAAATAATAAAATCAGCGCTAAATTTGGTCCTACTTTGCTAAGAAGGAGAAACATGCTATTCAGTGTTCTGTTTTATTCTCTGTTCTCTTTTTTTTTTTTTTTTTTCCCTTAAATGACAAGTTATGATAAACATTGCGAGAAACTATACTCCCTTCGCGTTCAGGTGTATACTACTCTCACTTTTTAGTTTTTCCCGTTTGGGAGAATAACCCTACACCACGTCATATAGTGAAAATATACACACTCAATAATCCAAATCATTCGAAATAAGGCCATCTTGTGAGGAAACAAACTCATCGTAATTAACAGAAAAGTGAACGACCTAACGAGATTGCCACATACTATTAATTTGACCATGTCTTGTATAGAGGGAGGAAGACCAACGGATAGACCTTCCGTTCTGTTCCTATGGGAAAAGCAGACCGATGACAGCTACAACCCAGAGAATAATTTATGACCAGAAATTTGGGTTTCCCCACAGATGCAGAAATTAATGTATGTGCTTCTTTTCGCTCATAAAATGGGGGCACAAAATGGAGGCACAAAATGGAGGTACAATCTGGAGGCACACAAAACGTTCCTACTATGTAATCGCATTGGCGTTCCACGCCCTTGCTCGATTTTTCCTTCTGTCCTTTTTTCCTATTCGCGCGCACGACTTCCATCTCGGCCAGATTCACGCAGAAAAAAATGAACACAACAGGGCTGACTTCATAACGCCAATGGGCAAAGGCTGTGTATACAACTGTGAGAGCAAACATACAGGCATAATGAGCAAGGAGTTATATAACTGCGCCACGTCAACGCCACATGGGCCACACATATACACTGCGCTAGGACATAATGATGTAAACGTTGCTGCATTTTTTTTATCTCAATAAATAGCTTATCCGCATGTATGCATTCGGTTTGCTGAACTTTTCCATTGGGCATTAGGGGACATGAATTTCACTCACACGAAATTAGTGATTGGCAGTGATTCAGTTTGCATTCTCTTCGTTCAGCCTCTTTTGACAGCGTGGCGGCCATGTCAGTTTTTCACGGACAGTCCCCCCGCCAAAATTTGCTACACTCAAACGGAATATAAATCCCACCGTTTTCAGTTTTTAAAAAATTAAAATGCAAAATTCACGATGGCTAAAAAAGGGGAGAAAATATTCTCCCCGAGACGAAAAACTCGTTCGTGTGTCTGTCAAGAGTGTGTACGTAGTCACATGTTGTAAATTAAAATATTCGTAATCATGCGAATATGCAATATATTTACGTATAAATACGTGTGGTATGCCTTCGCGTACATATTTGTCCACGGCAATCGTAAAAGATTTCCAATTATGCTAAAATTAAAATCAAGTAAAATCCAAAATTGGCATGATACGTGAATATACGTTTCATTTATGCAAAGCGAAGTCTTCAAATTTGTTCATACACGAATGACGGAATTTTCCATTTTTTAATTTGTTCCAAATTAGCTTTAAAAAATTACTTCTAAGGTGGGGAAAACGTAGTTGCAGCAAAGTGGGGGAAAAATACTGCTGTGTTAACCTGGGGAAAGGAAATATTGCCGAACGCCTTTTTTATAGGTGCCTCTTTTTTTTCCTTTCCTTTGAGATGTTTTGCGCTTCGCTGCTTAACCGCTTGACCGTTTTGCCGCGTTTTCTTTTTTCCCGTGCGCGAATGAAGTTCACGTGCTAACAATTAACTTGGGCGGAATATTACGCGTATATGGATTTAAATTAAAGCAATTCTACCTCCGCCGGAATTTGTAAAATGTGAATTTTCCGTACGCTTGCTTTGTGCATAAATTTCCAACACGTATAATGTAAATATATACATAATACTGTGTATACGTTATATATGCATCATATTATGTATCGACTGCATACTTGCATGCGCGCACGTACGTATATATACTGTGCTCTGCTGTTCTGTACGGTACCGTACGCGCGTCCTCTTAACATATGTTCATACGCAGTACACGCGCGAGTTTCCACGCCCGCGCAGGGGCACAGTACGGATGGGCAATTCCTAAACGAAATGCCACTGAGTACAGGCAGCGCTATCGGGATTTATCGCCCTGTGCCCACTGCATATTCCGCTATTTTATATGACAGCCAACAAAATACATAACATATGTTATAATATATAGCCCATTTCGACAGGCTGCACAAATGACGCACGGTCATTGTGCTAAATCCATAGCAGCATATGCAGCGAGGTACATGCTCATACTACACCGTATACTGCGCCGTGCATACGTGTGAGTAGCTATTTATTATACATATGGGTCGTTTACTTGCGTGGATTATTGTACGCGCAGCACCTTTCCATCTACGCGCTTGTACATATGTGCTTTAACATACTCGCATAGGTTAAATATCCCATGCGCGCGACTGCATTACTACATTTATATGCCACATTTTACATGCACATAATAGCAGCTCCAAGCTTTTTTCCATGCTCCCCACATGCTTAGAAAAAAACACTTAACAAAAAAGTTGTCAACTGTGCCTATGCTACACGCCAATCCATACGTGCCAACTGCCTCATGCCAATTGTCATATATGCCAACATGAGAATATGCGTATCATGGCCCACTCTAGAAACTCGACCAAATTTGACGAGCTTCGTTCGGCGCTAAAAAAAAAATAAAATAAATATATGCGAAAAGGTGAAAGAGGCCTCTACATAATAAATGTTTAAAAAAAAAAAAAAAGAGTTATCAAAATTCACGCTGTTGTTTTTTAGCCCAATTTAAGAAAAAAATTGATTCTATTCGAATTGGAACAAAATTGCCTACATGTTTGTGAGCAATAAAAGAGACAGGTACATAAAGGAGGCAGATTTCTTTTTCTTCTTTTTTTTTTTTTTTTTGCAATTTTGGTGATTTCTAAGAATTAATTTCCCTTTTTGAGTTTTTTCCGGTACATGTGCTGAAGTACTTCATGCAAAAGTGTATTCATACGAATATGTACAAATATACGCATGTACGTGTGCACGTATGCACAATTTTAAGTATTCCTCTTAAACGCACGCATACGCGCACAACCCCCCACCGCTGCGATCCGCGCTCGAGGTGCAGGCACGTGCCAATAAGGGGAAGCCACCAAACCCATGCATACTCGTAAATGAAAGAGCTGCACCAATTGAAAAACGGAGTCCCACGCGATATTATCAGCCTTCAGAGCTTTGGGAATTTCTGCAACTTCTGCCTTTTTTGCAATTTCCGCACTGCGGGCACGGGAAAAACAGGCTAACAAAGTGGATAAGCCGAACGAGTATAACCATACCAAGCGCGCGAAGTGTGCCGCTCGCCTTCAACCACCGTCGAAGAAGATCTGTCACATAGGACGTACCTTAAACGGGCACCGTGGCAATCGCACCGTGGTAGTCGAACCGTCCCAATCGCACCACAACGCCGCAACGCTCTCCCCATAGCCCCCTCACCACAGCAGAACCAACGCACAAAGAAAACATCCATTCGAATATGAAACCAAAGAGTATCCCCCGAAGGACAAAACAAATAGGCACGATAAAGAGCGCACAAAACACAGAGGCACGGCAGGTAGCGCACAAAATAACAGAAAAAGCATTTTGTTGCGCAAGAAGCGAGAAGCCGAGGAGCAGAAAGGAGAAAACGAGTAATCCCCCAACTGCAGTCAAATACAAAACGTAGTATTATATCATGAAGAGTGTTGAACATGACAATGACTCAGCCTCGGAAGGAAATGAAGTAAAAGAAGAAGTTGTAAATAAATACATACTAAATAAACTGAGTTTAATTTTTAACAACAATATTAAGTCCATATCACATGATGATGGTAAAAACAATGAAGAAGAAAGTGAACGAGAAAAGTATAGAAGAGCAGATACGACCAACACCAATGACATTAAAAGCACGACAGTAGTAGCGGAGAAAAATGGTCCACTAAGCAAAAAAAATAGCTCAATAAATATCATCGAAAGGAATAACAGCAATGTTGTGGATGTGTATAGTACGAATAAGCAACATGAAGGGGTTAGCGACCCGACGCCGGGGATAGAAAAAAACCTTTCAAGTGCCCCCAATGTGAACAGTACAAACGTGAACGAAAAGAATAATCTCAGTACTAACGTGAGCGAAAAGAATAATCTCAACATTGTTGACATAAAGGACATGCACGTTTTGGAAAATCACACCTTAAGTAATTCACTAGAGAAGGACATCTTAATGCATAATGGTGGGCAGATGAAGAGGGAAAATACCCTCGATAAAGCCAACAGCATAAGTATTAACGACCTGTTCAAGCTAAACTCAGAAGCGTATCTTAACATTGACAGCTCGCTGAAGAAAGGGAATCTCAGCGAAATTTTAACAAACGAGAATAACCTTAACTTGTACACTCACTACAACAATGGAGGCAGTATCAGCAATAATGTCGTGAAGAAAAACGAACGATGGAAGAGATACATTAAATCCATTGAACCATTTTTAGATGTACATACCATTATTAATTTAAGTCAAACGTGTAAATTCTTTTACAAAAGGAAATATAAAGTATGGCATAATAGGTTAATATTTAACAGCTATCTAGGGTATAACCCTAGGGTTCTCTATGAATATGTTTTCCCAAGAATATATAAGCACATTCACAGATCGGTTAGGAGAAGACTTTGTCTAGATTTCACCATGTGCACTTTAATAAAAGACATAACTGTGGCTAATGTATTAAACCAGATTTACAACTTCGATTCGTTAAATACGAAACATTTGTTTATATATAATTTACAAGAAATTTACTTTGACTTTTGTCATCACCTGACGGATAAGACATTAGAAGTTTTGGCGCAGACGAGATTGCCGTCTTTGAAAACGTTGAGTATAAAATGTGTTCGGAACAAATACTTAACGTGCGCCCCCTTGACAGTTATGTTGAGGAAAAATAAGTGGCCAGTGTTTACCAACTTTATCTGTTCCTTTTCCAATGCATGGCTAGAACCAATCTTCATTATGGCTAATTTTATTATCAATCGAGCGAACAATCAGAATCATTTGATTTACCATAAGTTGAAAAACTTACGTAAGACGTTAGAGACGATGAAAAATTTTGATAATTCAATCGTTTCTTCTTCTGCGAATGAGGAATGCAACCGCAGAATTATGAACGAAAGTAACAGTTACAATTTTATGAGTTTTCAGAGCTGTGCGGATGGCAGTAGTAGCTTGGACAGGTCAAACTTCGCAGACTACCCCAGCACGCATGGGAACAACCACGCGGGATGCAGTGGTGTATGTAGTGCAGGCTATCCCAACGAGTGCACCAACACCTGTAGCAACAATTTGTACAACCGCAACCGTGACCAGGACCTCAGTCGAAACCCCGGCAGCAAGAAAAAACTCAAGTCCCTGCTGAATAGCGAAACAGAGTGCAGCATCAGTCAGTCCGAAACGAATAACAACTTCAGCCTTTTTAACAATTTTTTCTATAATACTATAAAGCACTTTGGCTATTCTTCGAGGATGCAGAACGGCTTGCCGTACCCGGACTATAGCACCCTTGCGAAGAGTTCCCCTCAGAGCCGGAAGGACGACTTGCAGGTGTCAGTGGCTAGTTCGATGCCACACGGCAGCGCAGTCAGCAGCGGGATGGGCATTGGGAGTGGCATAGGAATGGGTAGCAGCTACGGTGGGCACATGCACGGCAATGGCGGAGGGAAGAACTCGACCGCAGACCCCCATCACGGTGGAAGCAACACTCACCAGCCGCACGAAGGCCACGATCAAACGCAGCACGAACAGGCGCAGCAGGAACAGCAACAGCATGACAGTGCGCATCTTCATCATCATGCACCCCATGATCAGCCCCACCATTATCACCCACACTACGACCATCCATACGACTACCCACCCCACGATCGTCGATTCCATAGCCGCACGCGCAATATCCGCGCCTACGAGAGGAAGGACATCTTTGACGAGTTCCTCTCGGGGGAATATACCGCAACGTGCAGCAACGAGAAGAGTAGCCCCACGAACGAGCCGGAAAATGGCATCTGCACTGTGAAGCACGAATGCAAAGGAACAGACGTTAAGCGCGTGAAGGGGGAGGAAGATGAAGAGAGTTACAACACCGAAGAGAGAGGAAACGTGGGAGAGGATCATCAGAAAAGTAACACAGATGGAGGTAAGAAGTGTTTCGAGAAGAGGAGACAGACGAATGAAAATAGCAAGAGGAAGAACGACGAGAAGGGGTTCCCCGACAATGGGGAGGAAGAAATAAAAATTCGGAAAGTAAGAGAAGGCGAGGAGAAGCGAAATGAGAAAAGGATCGACAATGAGGGGAAAAGCGATAACGAAAGGAAGGAAAGGAATAGGGGGGACCCCCAGGTGAATGACCCAAGTGATAGAAAGGAAGTCAAAAGAAGTCACAAAAAGTACGAAGAAAAGGAAGAGAATGAAGAGGACCTGCACAAAAATAATAGTGTGAACCCTGCGGAGGAGAACCATGCAACGAAGGAAATAGACGGGTCAGAAAAAAAAAACCATAAAAAAAAAAAATTGGAAAAGGAAAATTTCTATGAAAGTAAAAAAAGTAATCCAATTGGAAGTAATAAAAAGTCCAAAGTGTTAACAGCCGAAAATATTTTTTGTATGAACATTTTACACAACAATGTGAACACGTTTGATGAGGAGGAAGAGGAAGACGAAGACGATGACGAGGATGATCCAGAGAAAAATTTAAACAAGTGCCGATGTAATGGAAAGAGTTGTATATACACCACAGAAGAAATTAATTTCAAGTGTAAATGTGAGGACTGCCCCTTTGCCAATGGCTACAAAAATTTAATATCAGTGGACGACCCGTATATTCAGTCGCACTTTGTGCAACCCAATTTGGATATTCTGGGCTCATGGGGAAGCAAATGCTTCCTCGAAAGTATAGGACTGGACATTTACGTCAAAGGGTACAGTGTAGCATTAAAAAATGAAAATATAAAAATCTGTGTAAAGTTAAGTAAAAAGATACAAGACGAATTGTACGATTTGAGTAAGAGTGAGAAATATAAAAACAATAATTTGGTTTACCTACTCAGAGATAAAGGAAGTGAATTGCTATCCAACACCCCGTTAACCATCGAAACTGATGAGAACAGAGGAATCGACATTTGGACGTTACCTATATCGCTGGCCATTAGCAAAAAGAACAGATACCTCTTCTATTTGGTACTAAAAGGAGGGGCCAAAATTGACATTTGGGACTACTTAGGAAAGTCCCCCTTGTACATGGCGTGCGAAAATGAATCCAAGGAGTTCGTGGAGGTGTTGCTAGAAGAGAGGAGGAAGAGGAAGAAGAAAAATAACATCATCCAATACGACTATAAAAGCTCTGTTACGATGGACCGCGAAGCATCGCTTGCGAAGGCCGCCAACAGTAGTAACAACCCACAGGTGAACGACGGGGGTCAGGGTGGATCCCCCCCACCCGTTACGGAAATGGAGAAAAATGCCCCCAGGGCTGGAGGAAGTTCACCAGAAGGAGGCCCCCCCGCGAAGGGAAACTCCCTGGATAAGGGGAACTCTTCCGATAAGGCAAACGACCTTGATAAGGCAAACGCCCCCCATAACGGAAGCACACTTGAGAAGCAAAACTCAAACGATGCGGAGTCAACCACGTGTGAAGGAACCAAAAAAAATAACGACAACTGCAACACGATTTGTGTGAGTCCCTATGGAAACACCTGCGACAGTTATTATGTGACCTTCCCCATAGACATAGAAAATGGATACATCCCTCTCAACATCGCGATTAAGAAGAAAAATTTCTCTATCGTGAATTCGCTAGTGAAAAATGGAGAAAATTTGAATATCATCTGTCCCTTCGTGAGGGACTACAAATCCCCCCTCTATCTCGCCTGCGAAAATAACATAAGTGAAATTATACAGCTACTACTGGAAAATAAGGCAAACCCAAACTGGTGCTACCATAACAAATTCACCCCCATTTTGCTTGCCTACAATTTAAACAAGGCTTGGGTCAATCATTTTATTGATGCCGGGGCAGGAGAGAAACCTTGTGACAGACACATTTTAACTGAAGTTCTATCTTGCGCAATTTTTAAAAATGATTTATCAACTGCGCAGTTGTTGTTGAAAAAGTACCCACAACTGCTCCAGGGGGAACATAATTTATGGTCCCTACCATTTATCCAGGCGTCCAAGTTGGAGAGACTTAACATATTGAAATATTTGCACACATTGAAGAAGGAAATTATTAATCAGCTGGATTCAAACAATGTCTTGTCTCCAATCCATGCTGCCGCAGAAGAAGGGAATCTGGAGATCTTAAAATTCCTGCTGGAAAATAATGTAAATATTAATCTAACAAATAAATACCATCAAAATGCTTTGCATATCGCTTGCCTAGAAAATCAGGAAAAAGTTGTCCAACTTTTGCTAACACATAATATAGACGTGAACTGTAAGGACAACATCAATGGGGAGTGCCCCCTAATGATCTGTATCCGGACAAGGAATGAAATCCTAGCACATCATATTCTTAATGAAGGGAAGAATATTAATTACAACCTTACCAATATACACGGAGAAACTTCCCTAATATATTCCATCTTTTACGGCCTGTACGACATTGCCGATGTTCTGATGACCAGAGGAGCGGACGTCTCCGTCAGGGACATCAATGGGGACAAGTCGTACAACGTCGCATGCGAGAGGGTTCTGTCCCACAGGACTTGCAAAAAAGTACTAAAGAAATTTCTCAAGCTGTACAGGTCACAAAATAAGAACCTCCTTCCCAAGAAAAACAAAATTAACAGAAAAAATAAATTTTACCAGTCGTACCAGAGCATCAACCAGAGCTTCCTCAGCATCTTCCGCATCAAGAAAGAGAAAAAGAAGAAGAAGCCCCAGTCGCCGTACGCGGTTGAAAATAACGAGGGCGTCCTTCGCTAGTTGGCGGGGTCGAGCCGTTAAGCTGGATATGCACGATGAGCGGAACACGCCATTCTCGTGCTGCGGGGGATGCCAACGTGGGGCAGTCTACCATTAACATGAGCCAGACAACCGTTAACATGAGCTAGACGCGTATTAGCGCCGTCCTCAAATGGGCACGGGTGAGCGCATTCACATGTATATCCTTTCCTGAACGCGCACGTGCCCATTCGGTGGCCCGCGTTTGCAAAGAACCCAAAACCAAATTGAAATGCAAAAATTTGTTACGAAGACTGCCAAAACGAAGGAAACATTTTGTTTATGTAAAAGCCAAGTCCTCCAAAAAACGCTCTCGCCCCGTACGGCACACGTACATATACCTGTGTCCACATGTGTAGGGGTATATGTATTACTATTTTCAAAAGGCAAGGTGGGGACACACATGTGCATGCATGCCCGCGCATGTACATGTATGCCTCCGCTTCTTGCAATGTTTTTTAATTAAAATGTTTCACCTTTTTAAGGCACAGGAGATGTGCATGTTTATGTGTATGTTTGGTTATATGAGTGTGAGTTTTCTTTTTCTTCTTTTTTTTTGTATGTATAGCCCACATATATATATGCGCCTATGTACGCGCGTATGTATGAGTTGCACAGGTGTAGCTAGTGAGTAGTGAGCCTCATGATGAGGCAGAAATGCTGCAATTATGTTATTAATTTTGTGTTTTTTTTTTTATAGTTTGTAGAGTAATTATTTTTGCCGCCATTTTGCTAGCACTCGTTCCTTCATTAATTTTGAGACTACCTCATTATCATGACATTATTGTTTCTTTTTTCATTGTCACCAGATCGCTGCCCTTCTGCTTATTACCATATTTTATAATTATATATTTTTTCTTTTTTTTTTTTGTCTCTTCAAATTCGTCCATTTAGAGGGTCCGCCACTTTATGTGAACAACTTAACAGAAGGCGATTCCGCAATGATTAGCACAAAAATGTGAAATGATAATTCTAATTTTTCGAGGATGCTTCCTACGTACAAGTAGAGAAAATAAGAAGAGGGGGCGACAGCCCGCAAGGGGTTTTTGATTTGGGCCGCACGCGTCACCCCAATTTGAGCAGCGCTACATATGGCCATTGGAATGGAGGGTACACAGACTGATGGTCCTACATCACGCATGAGCTTTACATTACTGGGCTAGCAACCTACCAAAAAGGGGAGCATGGAAGGGGTGTCATACGTGCCTCATCACATATCACATAAGCACAAGCGTGCGCGCTGCGAACACACCGCGTAGGTTGTCGATCAGGTTCTCGCGCAGGCGCCGTTACTTGCTCAGGAACTCCTTGTAATCAATTTGGTCTGCCTTGTTGCAAAGCTCCCTAGGAGTGTTTGAAAAAAAAAAAAATATATATATATAAACATATATATATACCTATGTTGAGTTAACCAGTCCTCCATTGCGTCAAAATGGAGAGTCTACTTTACCGCGCCTTACCCACCTGATAATTGCATCCATCTCTGCATTCGACATTCTTGACCCAACAGTGGTGAAGAGTGACTTAAACTGATCCTTGGAAATTTTTCCTGTTCTCTTTTTTTTTACGATAAATGAAAAGTAGAAACACCATATGTTGTGACCACACGTGTGCTGAAATTGTAACTATGAAAATATGCGCAGGATTAGGCAACGAAGGAAGGCGCACTGCATCTCTCTTTTTTTATTCCATCACTTTTTTTTACTATATTTAAAATTGCTTAGAAGCTTGAAACAGCATTATAAATATGGGAATAGTTAAACATAAAGGTGGGCAGCATTTACATGAACATCGTAATGGCTAAAGACGTCCACTAATCCGTCTGTGGAGACACTAAACAACTTCAATTTTTTGCAGAACTTTTTTATATTTGATAAGGAACATATCCCTAAGAGGGGTGGGTAAAATGTAGTAATGGAGTGGAATGTGTAAGGGGCTATTTATAAATTCCATTTTTGTCCATCATTTTGAAAATACATTTAGAGGTGATGACAAATTATTTGCTCTTTTCCCAACCGTTGGTGGTGTGCATAAATTCGTCTATGTCTTCCTTTGAAGGGACATAACCCTAAGGGGAGAATGGACTCAGATTGAGAAAAGCCTGTCGGAAGTTGCACTAATTTGAAGAGTTCCCTACTGGAAGGGTTACCCTCGAGGATATCTCTTCAAACGCAGGGAGAGTCACTTGGCTGCACCCCCTTAGAAGGCTTACCAACTTGTACACGATCTGCAGGGCATTCTCTATATTTACATTTTTGGATCCATCCTATGCAGGGGGTATTTTTCCAAAAAAATAGGCAACAGTTTGAGCACATAGGAGCAGAAAAAAAAAATAAAAAAAAAGCACACCGTAAGGGTGCATAGAAAAAAAAATGCACCACACATGTAGACTAAATGCGTTTACTACAAACGCGTGCCACTCGAAACCGTCATGCAATGCCGCTTTGGCACTATTCCAAATGTAGTGCTTCTATCATTTGTGGGTGTGCTCCCTTTCGGACACCCATGGGGGAGGGGAACAATAAGCGTGTTTTTTCCTTTTTACGGATAATTTATTAAAAAGGGAAGTTAGCTCAACTTCGCTGGCCAGTTCCTGAGTAGCGTTAGAAACGGGGAAAAAAAAACATAAAAAATGAGGGACATTCCGTAACATAGAGAAACATGCCCCGACATGGAGAAGCATGCCGTGACAAGAGAGACGTGAGTGGAATCCAGAAAATATAAACAAATTCGCGCATTGCACCACATAGTGAAACATAAGATACGCGCTTCCTACGCATGACATAGCGTGTGCGTGGCAATCCTGTGTGGGAGTATTCAAAGGTACCTCCATTTTGTCAAAACCTGTCTCTCATGTAATCTGTCAAGTTTGAGTGGGAATTTTTCCCTCTTCTGAGTAACCACTACTTCACCACTGAGGGAATAATAACTCCCCAATTCAGCTTCTAAGATAAAGTCTCCACCCCTTTTCTACTGTGAAACAACACCGAGGGTGTATCCCTAACGACAAAAGTGTGCTTTCTGTTTCATATTAGAACATCCGCATACACCTAACGTATGCACGTATTTACAACTGCGCTCTAGTCGGAACGTTTCTGGAAAGGGCATGGGTGGGGACTCAAGAGTTTCACGCAAAGTTTGCATCGATCGAATTAACGGAAAAAAAAAAAGGAAACTCACCGTGCTGGCATACACACAATATGTGCGCACGGATGCAGGTGGAACTACGCACATGTGCAGTAAAACTTGTGCACGTGCTTACACTTACACGCTTTGCACATCCTGCTCACTCCACGGTAAAGCCAAGGCATAAACAATTACTCTTATGGGGTGGAAATAATTAAAAGTTGCAGTTATGCTTATATAAGCTAAATTTTAAAATCAAAGGTAAAAAGGGGATTGATAAATAAACGCATGAGGATACGCGTGTTCATATATAAATATAGGTGAACCAATTAAAAAAAAAAAGAAAAGAAAAAAAAAACAAAAATATGAAAACACCCTCTCAAAAATTTTACAACCGATAAAATGGTACACTGAATGTGCGCTATTTGGATCTGCGCGTTTATACAGAAATGGAAAGAGGTGAAAGAGGGGCAAAACTCTTCATATAAGCGGCACAAATACATATATATGTCTCGAGTGCCCCAATCGATGGGGTAGTAATCGCACGGGGAGAATCGCGTGGGTACATACACAATGTTATATGTACACGAAATGGAAACATTTGGGAAAAATGAATTAAAATGGACTGCTTGGGGGTGGAAAAAAAGAGAAAAAAAAAAGAAAATTTTGCAAAGCGGGATTTTGCGTGAATTTTTTTTTTTTTTTCCAACTTGGTCCATACATAAAATTAATTTGGCTAAAAAGACTTCAAAAAAAAATGGTACCCAAGGGAAGGGTGTGTGTGCCATGGGTCCATAGATGCGCTGCGGCTTCAGGGGAATACTCCCGCCCATACACATGTGTTCATACATATAAAGACATATGTACACATATAAGCAGATTTACACATATAAACAGATTTACACATAAACACACCGACACATAGACACATGTACACATATGCAGACACCCTAGGAAGAGTAGAACAAAATATAGAGGGACAGAAAAAAACCCAGGAAAAAGAAAAAGGAAGATGCAGCTTCCGCTTGATACGTTTCTGCCTGGGTTCTGTTGTCACCACCACCGCTTTCATAAAAGTAGGGCTCTTCTGACATGTTGGTGTAGGACATTCCAAAGGAAAAAGGGTTCACCCAAACGCCAAAGGAAGCCCTTAACCCTAAATTGTTAGAATAGCCATTATTTCTCCTAACACTTTCTTTCCTTTTCGGAGTGGGTCTAGGTTCTTCCATATTCGAATATTTATGTTCGCTGCTATTTTTGCCCCTTCCATACAGAGGTATTACATTTTCCCTTGAAACTTCAGCTTTGCAGACAGGGCAGTCATTATTTTTTTTAATCCAAGCGGAGAGACATAACCAGCAGAACAGATGTCCACATTTCGTTACCACCGGGTCTCTGACATCATCAAAACAAATGTTACATTCGAATGTACTTCTGCCATCATTTTCTGATGTTGTGTTTTTCTTGGCATTTTTTTCCGTTTTGTTCTTTTCTTCCGAGGTGTTATTACCATTACTGTGTTCTACATTTTTGTTGTCTTTACTAATGGAACTTTTTTCTTCCAGGTTGTCTGTTTCTTCCAATTTGTTTGTTTCTACCTGATTTGGGCCTTGTTCATTTCTTGCATCAGCTTCTCCATCTGCATTTTCTTTATATATATCATCTTCGAATCTAAGTTTTTGGTATTTTTCCTTTACCCCCCGATCTTTTATCATAACGTCGTCATTGTGATGTATTTCCCCGGGTTTTGCCTCATCGGTCTGGGGACGCTCCGCTCTGGTTCCCTGTTCCTTGGGGGCACTTTCTCCTAATCTGTTTTTACGGTTCACTACATTGTTATAATTTTTGCCTACAGTGACGTCGTGCGAGCTGTATGTACTCTGCCAGTCGGTTGACAATATCCTCATGTGGCGGTCCTTTTCTTTAGTGCAGTTTTCACAGCTGGTTATTCGCACTACATATGTAGAGGCGCTATTTGCAGAGGCGTCTCCTCCCTCAGCGGATGATGAACAACCAACTGGGGATTGGTTTCCCCTTTTTTCGGGGTTCACAATTTTGGCCTCCTCTCTTGCTACCGCTTTGGAATTGCTACCCTCAGCGTTTCCACTATCATTATGCTGTGTGTTACTTTTTAAGAATGGCAGATCTTCCCTTTTTTCAAAATGGCCCACGTAACTGGAACTTATTCCGCTCTTTTTAGCACTGTCTGGGGTGTTCTGAGGTGTTAGCTCGCTCTCCATTTCACCCCCCCTTGCGCAATGGCCATTTTCATCTTTTAGTCGTATCGTCGATAATGGTGAGGCGTTTTCATCATTTGTTGCGTCATTTGGGTGGGAACTTGCCGAACGTTCATCCGCCAAGCTTTCGCTTTCTCCCTTAGAAGTTAACTTACTTTTTATGTCACAGAGCACCGGTTTTGCAGATTGAATGTTGTTGTCCTTCCCCTTGGAGAATTCTTCGTTAACATCATAATCGTATATTACATCGTATAGCGAATCATATTCATTTTCTTTTTCATTCATTTTTGGGCTTTCGTTTAATCATTTTTAAAAAAACAACGCGGTTTCTTTTTTTTCTCTAACTTCTGAAAAGAGTTTTGCATATATATTATATATGTAATATATATGTATGTTATATTCTTCCTCGTTTAGTTAACTAGCTCGTTTAAATGCGGAAGGTTTTTTTTCTTTTTTATTTTCCCCCTTCCTCTGGTCTTATTGAATTAAGCAATGCGCGTTTTTTATTACGGAAAAAAATGATTTACGAGCAAACACTTCTTCGCGATATTGTATACTTCCACTTATCGTATACGTGAGTGATTCTCGCAAGGCAGGATTGACTGGTTTTAAACTCGAAAGGGTAAAATGATTATTTCACAAAAAAAATAAAAGCGGTAAAAAAGTGCTAACATGTTATATAATTGTACACGTCTCTGTATTTGAATACATTTTTCCTTTCATCATAAATAAAGTAATGCATATTATAATATACCCCTCGCGGATGTCAAAAAGGAACGCATTATGAGGGGAAAAGAAAAATTTTACTGTTTTGTTTAACTTGTAAAAAATGATCAAAACGCTGTTTTAAATTTATTTTAACTTTTTCTTTTTTTTTTATGGGCGTTGCGATTTAAGAAGGAAAAAAAAAAGAAAAAAAAAAAAATTGTGTATTATCTAAATGAGCGAGTTGACACTAATAATTTTCGAGCACCTTTTTTAAGACAGTTTTCTTAAAACAATAAAGAGTTTGTTGATTAATTTATATATAGACTTAAATAATACAAACATGAAAGTTATAAAAATGCTCTAAAAGTGTTTTTTTCTGGAAAACAAAAAGAGCAAACTTTTGAATATAACATCTTTTTTTTAACGGCGTAATTATTGAGTGGACCGACACATGAACAGCTCGGTTATTCCAAAGTAATCTAGAAAAGAATTTGAAACCCGTTACAACTTTCAAGAGGAGATTCTCTTAATTTGTTATTTACAATATGGCAGATTTTTCCAACTGAGTTTATTTCCACTTAAAAGGAGAACGCAGGAAACTTGTATGTATCATCATGTATACACTACACAATCGAGCGGGGTGTCAAGAAAACCATACGAGCGAAAGAAAATATCTTCACATTGAAGAAACGTATTGGGTTGACATATTAACGTTTTGAGAACTGCGCGCAGGTATTTTTTTTTTTTCCTTTTACAGCATAAAACGTGCTTTATTTGCGTATGTACGTTGAATGGGTCCCTGGCGGGGGACAAATATGTTGGACACATTAGTCCCTTTATGCTATCACTCGCTTATAGATGCATCTGCTTGGTATTCTTAAGAATTAAAATAACAGAAAAAAGCGCCCCCAGGATGTCTTTATTTCGAAGGTACAAAAGTTTTTTTCTTCCAACGATTAGACATAATAACTTTTTTTCGCAGATTAAAGTTTCTTCTTTGAGAAAATTCCTTTTGTTTATACAAAAGATGGGTGTACGATTGTATTTCTAAAGCGTTTGGAGGGAATATTTTATATTGAGCGTCGTTTAAAAAAACAACTGTTTATATATGCATATGTATGCCGTGTGTATGAAAAGTTAGCTCTGTTGGTATGCTTCTATTACTCGTAGCGTATATCTGGGCTCACGTTGATTGCGCTATCGCTGCTAGAAAATTGAGGTAGTGTTTTCCCCCATTTTACATGTCATGGGTTTTAAAAAAATTTATTTATGAAGAGGAAAACTTGATCTGCAGTTATTTACCCTTAGATTATTTCTACGGCATCCACTTCATCGGTTACTACTGATGTCTGGTGGGTACATATAATATATCATTAGATCCTACACCCCTGTGCAACGTATTTTTTGCAAAATTACTTGTCTATTTTTTCATCTTGACGGGAAAAATTTGCTTCACCTGGTGTGCCGTTTCTTACATTCCGCGAACAGTACGCTCATATTGGTTGGGAACAAAAATTAAATGTTAAAGAGATAAAACAAGAAATCATGCTACGTTAATGCTAACGCTCACTCTAGCATATGTTTGTGTTCCCTAAAAAATGGCAGCTGTTACTAACCTTTTCTTTAGTGACAGAATGAGAAAATACTTTTTTTTGAAAAGGGCGTTACCCAGAACGGTAGGAACAAGTAGTAAAAAAAAAAAAAAACGGGAACTGTAACCTTCCTACCAACCAGTTATATATATATTCCCCGTTTTAAAAGTGGTGAGCATATTTTGAGTGTCCTTCATTTTTGCACCGCATTGTCGCATGAAGGGACGCCGCAAACATTTATTTTGTAGCTAGCTAAAATATATATAGTATATATACCTATGTACGCATGTGTTGGGCCAAATCAGAGGAAAAGTTATGAACCGTTCGTATTTTATTTGGAGAACATCTCTCGTTTGGCTAGCTCACACACACATTAAAATTCTTTTTTTTTAAACGAAGGATTTTAATCTGCTGCAAAGCTAATTTGTAGTTTCCTTGGCTTGAGAGGAGAGCATTATCAAAATTGGTGCATCTCGTTAGTACCTGTATTTTTATACTTCCGGCATATGCGCGATTTTGTGGAAGCATTTTTTTTTAGTTACCAATTTAGCCTTTTTCTTTTAACACACACTTGTTCTTTTAAAACTATTTTTTGTGAAAACCATTCCTAAACGTTTTATACACCAACACGGTTTATGCCTCCTTTTTTACATATGTAAAAGGGAGGAGGGTTGTGTTTCAAAATTTGTGTTAAATATGGGAGTGCTGAGGGGCGAAGAATAGACATATAAATCATATGTAGATATATATGTACACACACACAAATAATGCTAATTAGTGTAATTTTGACGAATGTACATTATTGTACAAAAAAAAAGGGATATTTTTCAAATAAACAAAAAAAAAAAAAAAATATATATATTCAAAACTTTTTGGACCTCTGCAATTTTTCAATAACAGCAGAAAAGGCTGCAAAACTGGCACACCCGCCAAGCATGGAAGGTAACCCTTTTTTGTACGAAATAGTAGCTCCTGTTAGGCAACCAGAATATAAGGTATTCGTTATGTCATTTGCTGCTCTAATTTTTTGTAAAGAATTTTCATAAAAAGAGAACAAAAATCCAATTTTTGCAAAATTGAAACAAGAGCTTTTTATTGATTGTTTAAACAAATGAAACTGTTCCTTCAACTGTTCCTTGTAACTTAAATTGTAATCTATATTGTTTGGTTGCATACTAAAAAAGAAGGCGCCAATTAAAACACCCAAAAATCCTCCACCAATGCCCATTCCGATACATTTGGGGATAATTCCCTCATTTAAGTATGTGTGAACTATTAAAAACGTTTTCTCCTGATCAGTTAGTTCTTCTCCCTTTTTAAAAATTTTAAAATTTATATATTTGTCATTCAGCAAAATGTTATTGCTGCGTCTGTTTTGGTAATTGCTATCATTGTCGTTGTTATTTAAATTCATTTTGCTTTATAGAGAATTTTCACGGTGAGCTTCGGCAAGGAATGAGTTTACATAGCTTGAAGATAGTTTCGCCTGAGCTGTATTATATTATTCTTTTACTGAATTGGGGGCGTTTTTTCTGGGGGAGGGGGGATATAGAAGTGCTTGCTACTTTGTTTCTATATAAATCATATATCAAATTTTGCCACTTTTGTGGAGGATTCAACTCTATGCATATTTTACATTTTTCGAAAATTACCGAAAGGTGTTTTTTATAACGAGGAGGAAAAGGTTATCATTTTTAAGCAAAAAAGGAAAAGAAAAAAATGAAAATTTTTTTTACGATTTTGAAAAAAAAAAAAACAAAAAAACAGTGCATTCGCCGTATCTACATTTTTCTTATGTTAATGAACAACTCGTTTCGCGCTCGTAATCCATATGGTGGTTTTTTAAAAAAACGACGTTTTTCTGCATTCTTTTCGCAATAATTTGCGGTTGAACGTTTTTTTAAGAGATATTTAACCGTTATGTTGACCATTTGAATGTTTGGAAAAATGAGCATACACACGTTTTAGCATTGGACGCGTATTTTTTTTTTTTTTCCACGTTCACCTGGGGATCTTATTAGAACAACTTTTCCTTTGCGTAAAAGTTAGCGTTTCTTCAAAATAGATTCCGTTTAAAAAGGATACGTTTAAAGGTATTATTTAACAGTTTTTTCCGATCGAGGAATGCACATAGGAAGAATATGTACACGTGTATATATATATATATGCATATGTAGACTCTTATGCTAGTACTTTCTGTGCGCGTTTAAAATAAGACACATTCCTGCCATGCAGGTGAGGGTGCGCGTTTTTCTATCCATACACCTCTCTATTAATCAGCAGAGCGGTATGGTACGTTAAAACGTCACAGACGGGTGAAGTAAAAAACCGCTGGCAAGGTTAAGGGCTGCATCTCTGCTTAACAACATTTCGACAATTTTAAGAGCAAATTCGACAGCAGATCCTGGGCCAACAGAGGTTATACAGTTCTTTGATACGCAAACTCTTCCCTTTCCGATATGCTTGAAATCGCTTTCGAATGATGGATATGCTACTGCCTCAACGTCATCAATTAGTGAATGCCTATGTAGGACAGTTTCAGGTGCTGCACATATGGCCGCATAAAATCTGTTACTGCTTTTCTGTGCCTTCAACATCTCAATAACGGTTGGACAATTCGATATTGCGTTCGATCCTTTCATGCCTCCTGGAATGATGATTACGTCAAAGGTGTTATCCTTTACCTTGTCAATTAGCGTGTCCGCAATGACAACATTCTTCGACTGCAGGCATACCTTTTCTGTCTGCTCCACGGACGCTGTTGTCACGCTGATGTCTTCCGTGAAAAGGAAAGGGGAAATATATTTATATATATATATAAGGATGCGAAAAGTATACCCTTGCCATATACACATACGGCACGCCACACACAACATTGTGTTTGCCTTCCTATGTGTAGAATTTTCACTTCATTTCTTAAACCGAGAAAAAAATTAATTCGTCAATTTTGCAACAAATAATAAAAGCATAAATGCCGCTTCAAGCGCACACATGTGGAACGTTTTCCTTACTAGCTCTCCTTAGAACATCGACCGTTGTAATATATTCCACATCTTCCGATCCTGATGCCTTGGGAGGGAGGAGTTACAAAAAAAAAAAAAAAAAAGTGAGCCATAATAAACTAAGAGGGCGTTTCTTTAACAAATGGGGACAAATTCGCCAGGGCTATCATCCCAAATGTGCACGAACGAGCATATTAATAAAGTAGGTACGTACGCAAGCGTTCGATCAGCCCACATTTATCGATAAAGAGAGAAATGACAATCTCTTACCACTACAACTAAGGCTGTTTTTTTTCCGCTCATGGTGATTTTAAATGATATATGAGAGTACACGGCCTTGCTTAGAAAAATTTACGTTAGGGGGGTAGCCTATTAGTATACTAATGAATTCAAGAGGGCAATTGTTCGGCGTAGGAATTACAAAATGGCAGTTTTTATTTGTATCAAAAAGGGATGTGTTTGTTATATGTAATATTTTAAAAAGGCCACCTTTTTTTTTTCTTGCACGTTAATGTGACTTTCTATATGCAATGCGAAAAAGTAACTTTCAGGTGGAGTAAGGCATATAGCACTTTCGAATTAAAGGGGAATATACCATCACCATTTTCTCATTTTGTATACATGCGCATGTGCAAAAGCATTTTTGCGTGGTGGATTCACCTATGAGGATATAAAGAACCACCCTTCATAGGAAGGTATAACCCATAAGAAAAATGCATGCATAAAAAAAAAAAAAGAAACAGACGCAGTTACATTTGCGGGGATAAACCAGAGAAGAAAATAACAACATAAAGAAACGTTACTGGTTGCGTTAAAGGACATATCTTGATATTTTGTTCCCTGTTTCTACAGTTTTCTTAAAAAAACTAGTCTTGTATGTTACTCTCAAAATTTGTTCATTATATAGAGAGATACACAAGTGAACGCCACGCACGCGGGCATAACATTTTTTTCTTACCAATGCATTCTGCCAAAGTATGGCATTATTTAGAGCAACACTTTGACACACCTGTACACATTGATTCATCGCAGTTTAACGAAGCGTAATTTGATGTAGCGCAATTTGATATAACGCAATTTGATATAACGCAATTTGATGTAACGCAATTTGATGTAACGCAATTTGACGAAGTGCAATTTGACGAAGTGCAATTTGACGAAGTGCAATTTGACGTAGCGCTATTTTTTCCTTGTGATTTGCCCCGGTGTAACATGCGAAGTTCACAAAATGACGTTATACAGGCCTGCACTTTTCAGTAGACCCCCTTTCAACTGTGAGGAAAATATTCCGTAGAGGAGGAAGAATTCCTACCATGGCAGGAAAAGGGGTGACTAAAAACAATTTGAAAGATAGTGCATAAAATAATTTACACACATATGCCGGACACGTGCGCATGATGTGAATAAATTAACCTAAGATAAGGAAGAAAAGGAGGCCAGAAAGCTCTGAGAAAAATCCCCGATAATGACAAAGAAGCTTAGGAATTATCCCACAGGACAAAAAAAAGGACCACATAGATAGGAATATGTGTGTATATATGTATATATATATTTATATATATGCACGCATATCTTTGTAGGTGATTTTACGCTGGCCTGCACGGGCGCAGACGCGAACTTGAGCCTTGTGGAAGGGGAGGAAGTTTGCCAATTTTAAAAAGAAAATGAACATACCGGAAGAAGGGCGCTCCCAAAAAATGAACATATCTGATGAAAGACATCTCCACAGAATGAACACCTCTGAAGAAAGACATCTCCACAGAATGAACGCACCTGAAGAATGGCATCTCCACAAAATGAACGACGACGAAATGAGTTGCGCACAGGAGGACGCGAAAAACAAAAACGACAACAAGATTCTTTACATGCACCAGATTTTAGAAAGCCAATTCTATAAACAAATAAAAGAGGAACAAACTATGTATGAAAGAAATGCCGATTTAATAAAGTACAAAGATTATATTTCCCCCCCAAAAAAAAGGGCTTTCACCCTGGGGGCCATTGATGGAATAGGTGGTATTAGTATCCTAAATGCCCCTTTGATGAATCCTGAAAATGCAAAGATTGACCCCCCCATTTTGCAGCTGCCATCGGCAACCAATTTGATAAAAAATGTGCACGTAAAAGTCCATTTTGACAAGAACATTGATAAGTCTTACAAATACAGGACCCAGAATAGCAACAGGGACATTATCAGGAATATGAAGCCGATGTATTCCCTTCCCGAGAAGGTGATGACCTATTATATGCACAAGGGGGGCCATGGGCGGGCCGAACAGAAGGGGGGGCTCCTTAGGGAAGGTGCTGTGGCGGACGTTAAGGAAGACGTTAAGGGAGACCTTGTGGAGGATGTTATGGAGGATGTTGTGGAAGACGTTAAGGAAGACCTTGTGAAGGACGTCAAGCAAGAGACTAGACCAGATGACCCTCAGATGAACAAATTTGGGGACGACCTACCGAATAGCAATGCAGACACGGAAAGAGGCACCCCCTGTGAAGACACACAAATGGCGTGCGACTCAAATGACACGTCCGACAGATCATTTCGCGAAGAGGAATACCAAGTTAGAAGCTGTCATGTGTCGTCACCACCCGCTGCAGACAAAGACGCAATGTGGCCAAGGGGAACGCAAACGATGCCCGCAAAAGAAGTCTTAAAAGCAGCTTTAAAAGTACACTCAAAAACGAAACTGGTGAAAAAAAACGAAGAGTTGAAAAAGCTCGCCAGTGTGGCAAACATATCTGCGGAAAATAAGACCCCCTCAGATGAGACAAACGGCACTCAAGGCGACAAAAATTTTGAGAATGAAGACCAACTGAATTTTTTTAAACTAAATCAGATAATGTCATCGACCTTGACGAATGCCCTTAAAATGTTGGCGGACGATGTTTTCGTTTAGGTGCAATTATTGCACCAGATGTTTTCCTTCCCCGTTGAAGGGGGTTGCGGACGGTTCGGTTAGCATCTCCGTTTTTTTTTTTTACCACTAGTATCATTGTGCATTACCATTTGCTTGTGTTCGATTAGCACAACTTGATATCTTATTTTTTTTTGTAATTTTTTCCACCCCAAAATGTAGTGACAATATGGCTAACTTCAATCCAGGTGCTCTTATTGCACATTTTGAAGAGTGCCTTGTGAACGTATAACATACAAGGTACACGTGCCTTAGTAATAATGCTTGGGGAATAATGACACAACTGATGCCGTGAGGTGTGCTATTCTAAGTGAGAGTGTCCGAAATTAAGACACAGCGCAGTGAGTTGCCTTAGACGCGGTTAGCACTTCTGGAAACAGAACGGATCGTAAAATAGGAGAGCTACATTTGGTTTCTCCTCACAGTAAAGCGGTGTTAATAATTTTAAGCCGATCTCTTTCTGAGGAAATTTCCGCCTTGAAATGTGTGCAGGAAATAGGGGGTGCACAGCTCCCCTAACTAGAAGGGTATAATACATTGGCTCATTTGGGGGCGCAATGCGTATAGGTATAAATATGTATAGACATATATGCTCATTGTTTCCCCACTCATTTGCATCCATTTCAACGTACCAATCACAAACGAATAAAAAGGAACGCTGATAAAGTGTAATGGTTATTACCGTTGTTCCGATTTTGCCTTTGTAACAATGTAGAATTACTAGAAAGAAATATAATCATGTCATCATTCTTTTCTTAGGAGGGTCATACAATCCCTTTTTTTTCAACTTTTAGTCGACGCGAAGGTGTGATGCTAGAACGTCTTCATCGGCTCTTCCCAGTAAACAAGTTCGCCTCTCCCTAGAAAGTGGCCCCCATTTGTTGTAAAGTCAGAGCGGGGAAATAACTATATATAAACCAACTTAGATTTTTCGCGCATCTTTCGACATAACGTCGTTCTTAAATTATTCTCAAGAAAGGAATGCATTTTGCAGGCTATTCTTTTATTTAGGGGGAAGGCACAGTTTACTCGAATTTTTCGTTTTTTATTTTTTCGAAAAAGCCGTTTTTTTTTTATGACTCGAAGGACAAGGTGAATTGATCAAATGTTACACAAATCAGAACGTGGGTAATGCATTTGTTAAAACCATATTGCCATGTTAGAATGGTGGCGTGTTAGAATGTAGGCGTGTTAGAATGTAGGCGTGTCAGAATGTTGGCATGCTAGTATATATATTGCCTTTTTGTGAAAACTGCGAGGTAGGGGTAGGCTCAGGAAAATAGGGCGGCTCGACTAATGCGTATGCGGCACATAGTTCGCGAATATTGTATTTTATATGCAGTATGGCGGAATGGAAGGAGTACCTCACATGGCCATCCGAATTGAATGCAAAAATGCCGCAGCCTTCTTTTTTTATTTACCTCAACCCCGGTTGGTAAACACTCATATTCCGGACTCTATATATCACATCCGCGGAGGTATATACATACCATATATATTATATATATGCAATTGCACGCCATGCCGCTTCCCCCCTTGAAGCAATTTCTTTACTCCACTTTTTAATTTCAGCATTCGGTGGGATGCAAATATACCTGGTAATGTTTAAAAGATATAAATTTTGTGATAGCTCCTTTTAAACAAGCCAAGCCTTTCTTTCTTTCACCTTACGTTGCGTTACTGCTTTATTTCCACAGTTTAGGGGTAAAGGTATATACATATAACACTGCAAAAAGAGAATAGAAGAGCATATTTTGTACATATACTTATTTTACATATACATTTAACATACGTATAAAATGCATATGGTTATGCGTTTATTTTCTAGATGAACATTTTTTTCACACCTTATGAATGCAAAAGTGGATTGGGTTCCATAATGAAAAAATTAAAGGTGCGAACGAATTGAACAAATTTAAAAATATTTGAAAAATTTAGCCTACCAGCGCATTTCGCTATTTTAGCATTTTTGACCATTTGGCAGTTTAACCTACGGAACATCCCAAACATATGACGCATATACGTACTCAGCATGCCCAGCGTGCCATTTAGCAAATTAACGGAATTAAAATTATTTGAGTGTTTTTCCCTAGCCGGCAAATAAAACGCGTAATTTTGTTTTATTTTAGCAAAGGTTTTGAATTTAGGGAAACATTGGCCTTACTTTTTTTTGCCCCTTTTAAATGCGTCACAGTAGGCATGTATATGTAAACATATATATACTATATGCGTAGTGTAGTACGTCGCACAGGATGCATAACCTATGAGCTGTACGTGTAGCTTTGTGTACCACTCATGTAGCGCCACGCATACGCAGCGCAGATAACAAGTCAGAACTTTCACCCCTTGCTTCTGTTTGAGCGCCGAGTCAGCGAATAGCACCTTCCCTACCTGCATACAACGCGAGCACGTATGTATAATGGGATTCCTCGCATATGCTTCGTATGGATAATGAACCATGTATGCGTAAACCCCTGCTTTCTTACGTGTACACTTGCGCTCATGTGATAAGTGCGCACGGAGGATATGCATATATAATACTATCACATTTATATAACATTTCATATGTGCGTAATGCTCTTATGTGCTTTTCTTCCGCGCCACGTATATAATTATACCTTTTCACATTTTAGTGTTGATTTTTCATCCATATATTACAAGCGCCTCTTCCATTATTGTAAATTAATTTGATTATATAATTATGCATATAAAAAGCATATTTTGCTACATGTATATATCACATTCCTCCCCCACCCTTGTGCGTGTGTTTCCTATTTAATTTTTTTTTTTATTTTAAAAATTTTTTTTTTTCACAATTTCAAGTTTTAATTAAAATTTTCGTAATCTTATAGAAATTATATGCAGGAATTTTTATTTGTACACGCCAATATATACACGTACCTGTTAGAGATATTTTTATATGTATCATTTATGCATAGCCCAAACGCCTAATAGTGTTACGCATGACTTTCCCCCGCGCGACAGCGAAGTAGTTGTGTTCATGTGCAATTCCTTTTATGTGGGCCACACGCGTATGCCGGAGTCAGTGACGAGCAAGCGAACGTACATGTGCGTATGCGATTAAGTATTCGGGACGTGTATTTGCGTGGCGTGTGTCCCCCCACAAGCGCATGCTCGGCGCTATACGTAGAAATGCATTCCGTTCATAAATGCATGTGACGAGTGCCTCGGCTTGCTCTGTGTTATGCTCCTTCCATTCCGCGCCGCAAATTCTGCGCTGCATATTCTGCGCTTTGCATTTTATGCCCTCTTTTTTGTGCCTGCTATTTTGTTTCCCCTGTTTTGTGCCCTCCTTCTTGCCCCTGTTTTGTGCCCTCCTTCTTGCCCCTGTTTTGTGCCCTCCTTCTTGCCCCTGTTTTGTGCCCTCCATTTGTACTATTCATTTTTCGTTTTTTATTTTGCGATTTTCCCCTTGTGCCCATTGCGTTTCATACTTATTTAGATTTAATTTTGAAATTTGTATTTCCCCCCTTGCGTATGTTTTCCCCAAAGTATAAAAAAATTAAAAGCGCTTCCATCTATTTATAGGTATACATATGTCTACGAATTTATGTATGCCCAAATTCATGCCTTATAATGTACATGCGTGTGCTTACATGAGTATCCCTATATGTATGTGCCCACAACTGTGCACCTACATATATATACACACCTCTAATTAGATTGTTAATTTAATTAATTTTCCCACGCGTATGTCCGTGGTTTGCCCATGTACGTGTGCATACTGCTGTATTTTTTAAATATTGTGAAAATTTACAACTTTTTCGTCTTTGCGTTTTTACGCCTTTGCTTCTTTACGTTTTTTCCTCTTTGCTTCCTTACATTTTTGCGTGCCTACTTCTCCACATTTCATACGTTTGTTCTGTGTTATGACCCCATTTGTTAGCAAAAATATGCGCGTACGTGTAAAAGTCCGTGTATAAAGTGTGTATCATCCCATGCGCACATGAGCGGATATGTGTGCATCTATATCACCGTGGGTGAATATATATAAAAGCATATACGTACAACGTCGTGAATATATAAGCTGTTCCCCCCCCATCCGCGTGCCCCAACTCCACCGCGAACCAACGTACATGTGAATGCAAGAAAATGCATAACAGCTGTTTCGATAATAACAATTCGTACATGGAATGGAAGCCAAACGAGAAGATATACAAAACCGTTATACAAGCGCTCGAGTCCTCATGCAGCAGTTCGAACAACAGTGTCCAAATTGAGGTAACCAAAATTTTGAAGGACCTAAATGAAAATGTAGCAGATGCAGCTCTGTATCTACTGCACATCTTCATGAACAAACAGGAGAAAAATGATGTGAGGCAAGTGGCTGGGTTGTTATTAAAAAATTATATAAGCTCAAAAAATAAATTTCTAAATAACGAAATTTTAAAAATAATAAAGAATGAAATTTTCAAGCTAGTAGAAGATGAAGTGAAAGAAATAAGGAACACTGCAGGTTCTGTAATAACGACCATATTGACAAAATACGAAGGCATAGATAAATGGCCAGAAGCATTATACAACTTATTGCTACTGATCGAACGAGGGAATAATGATGTAGTGGATGGAGCCTTCCGTGCGATAATAATCATAATTGAGGACGAATTAATGAATAGAAAAAATGCAGATTCTTTTTTCTTCCAATTTTGTAAGAGCCAATTGTTACAAAAGCTATTTGCATATTGTTCCCCACAAGAAAAAAGCATAAAGAAAAAATATGCCGCCGAATGTCTAGATTTGTTTATAACATCATCCTGCTTCACAACCAATGGAGTGTTCAATGATTATTTCCCGCAGTTATGGGAATGCCTAGGATTTCTAGCCTCCGAGGAGGACACGCAAATTTTAAAAATAGTAGTAACGTGTATGACTATGATCACGGACACAAGGTACTCCTCTATATTTAACAACCTAGATGCGATCATACAATTTATGGTAAACGCCACAAATTCATGTGATAGGAAGGTTCAATTAGAGGCTCTGGAGTTCTGGCCCGTCTTCATTAAGGATAGAAGCTACATTGCCTACTCCAACTACAATAATAACAGCAAGACAAATGACATAAACAAAGTGGATAGCTACATAGACGAGAATGTGTACAAGAATATAAACGAGTTACGAAATGAAGCGTTGAAAATATTAAAAAACTATTTGCCTTACTTGTGTAAAATATTGGTAGACAACACGGTGTATACCAAGTGGGATTATTTAACCATGGATGAATCCCACTTCCAAAATGATAATGCTAATGTGCCTGACTTGATCCAGGACATCTCCCCAGAAATGTACAACAATAGTAGTAAAAATAATGACCTCAACGCACAGCACGTGCAGGAAGAAATGAAATTAAACAAGATGAATAGCAACAGTGACAATCATACACACATGGGGAGTAACTCCCGCAATGGAATTATGAATAGTAACAATGGAAATAGCATTGGAAGCACCAACGCAGGAGGTGAAGGTGGAGAAGGAGGAGTAGGACGAGGGGGCGAAATGATGCAACCCGGGGATCAAACAAATAATGACAACCATGTGGATGATTATACCGATGATGACGATGAAAAGAATGACGAAGTGACGGCGAGGACGTGGGGAAATGATTGGACCGTAAGGAAAGGAGCTGCTTTATGTCTCGATTATTTATCCAATGTGTATAATGACGAAATATTGGAATTTATCCTACCACACATAGAAGAGAAACTAATGAGTGACAAGTGGAACATAAGGGAAAGTGCAGTACTAACCCTAGGCGCGATAGCGAAAGGTTGCATGTATAGCCTCTCCCCATTTATCCCCAAAGTGTTAGAATATTTGTTAAAATTGTTAAACGATGAGAAGCCCCTAGCGAGGAGTATCTCCTGTTGGTGCCTAACTAGATTCTCATCGTGGATATGTCACCCAGACAATTGCGGCAAATGGTTTGAACCAGTTTTGTTAAACCTGTTAAAAAGAATTCTGGATACAAATAAAAGGGTACAAGAAGCAGCTTGCTCCTCCTTTGCCAATTTAGAAGAAGATGCGTTGGATTTACTTAACAACTATCTTCACGAAATTGTCCACACGATTCAACAGGCATTTCAAATATATCAAGCGAAGAATTATTTCATCCTCTTCGATGTCGTGGGTACATTAATTGACAGTGTAAACATTGTCAAAGAGAATAACGACTTGGCTCACCAAATTGTGAATTCGATATTGTCCAAGTGGAACAACATACGTATAAGTAGCCCATATATCATAGCCCTAATGGAGTGCATATCCTGCATTACAAGTGCCTATGGCAAAGAATTTTTAAAATATGCAAAAAATGTCATAAGGACGTGTATCAAATTTTTGGTCCTACTATACATCGATTTAGAGGAAGAGATAATATATTACTACAGTAAAAAGGCAGGAAATACAAACTCGTTTATAGTTAATCGGAACAACATATCCGTGACGGCAAGTGAGTTGCTAGCTTACTACAAAATTAATAATGATGATTATTTTACCACGCTGAAAGATATCGATTCCATTTCTCCTTCCAAGAAAAAAGACCTTATTGAATGCAGCTTTGATTTATTGTCGAGAATTTTAAGTGTTATTAATTCGAATATTATGAACATAATAAGCGAAAATGAGTATAATTTTATCCCCCTTGTACATAGATATTGCCTAAAGTTTGAAAATATCAAATTTGATGGAGTGCTAAATAGCAAGCTAATGATGAATCAGGGGTTCAACAAGCAGGTCTTCTCCCCGGAAGGAAACCCCTCTTCTTCTTCATCATCATCGGCCGTTAAAAATGGAAGAATAGTAATTTCGAAGGAGGAAGAAAATGACGAGTGTACAGAATTGGCGAAACATTTTTTAAATTTTGGCATACTACAATCAAATTTTGCCCTCATAGGAGATATTTCCCGATTTTGCGCCCAATATTTAATACACTACTTGAATGACATTATCCCCTTTCTCATTGCACACATTACACACCCCTCAACGCCGGTGTCCAATAATGCCAGCTGGGCCATTGGAGAAATTAGCATACACATCAACCCTCAGTACATGGAGGTGTACGTGGATGAAATAATTAAACAGCTTATTTACATTTGCCAGAATTCAAAGTATCACGGCTGCTTGCTACAGAATATATGCATCACTTTAGGGAGGCTATCCTCCACCTATCCCAAGAAAATCATTTTTTATTTCCCCCAGTTTTTAAAAACATGGTTAAAAATTATGTCACATGGCACCCAGGAAAACGAAAAGATTAATTCAGTCAAAGCTATCTTAGAAACGCTCTACCTAAATCTCGACATCGCTGCGGAAAACTTACAGGAAATTGCTTATATCATACTTAAGTACAAGTACGTATCTCAGAATGTGAACATTTTTTTTCACCAGTTTCTAGCCACTATGAAGCAGAAGTACCCCACACAGTGGAAGGGAATTTACAGCTCCACGAGCGACTCCCTCTCCTCTCCCATCCCCAGCGACATGTTGAGCGATTTGAGCACGCGGTTTAATTTATAGCCTCCCTCGTACACACGTGTGAATGTTTATACATGGTTGTACATATGTATACATTATTGCAAAGACATGTGCACGATTTCCCCACCGCATCGCTCTGTGGCGGGAACCCGGAGACTTCCCCGGCACAGCACCTTCCTGTGTTACACCCATATGCACACCTAATATCTACACACACAGCACGTTATGTACATATGTGTGGCCGATCCTTCATGCTGCGCCGCGCTTACAAGTGCAGCAACAACGACGACCACCACGACCACCACCACCACCACCGTCATCTGTGCACATTATATGCCCACGCAAAACTTCATACACACGTACACGCGCTGCTATTTTTAACTCGTTTGAAAAACCGACCTATCCCACCAGAAAAGCCTAATAATGTATACGTACTAGTACATTCCATTTTCATGTGTGCGTCTAAATCCCTATGGTATAGAAGTGGTGTGATATGCTACACTGAGCGGAGAGAAAATCTGAACCTCCTTCGGGTGGCAAGTGTGCACGTAAATATACACATCCATATATATTATATATATGGACATGTAACCTTGTATGTGTGTTAAGTGCCCGTGCCTACCAATGCAAACGCATTAGTGCCACACGCAACACCCCCTGTGCTTTCCCCTCCTCGCCGGTATTATGTATATGCGCGCTTCTTGGGCCTTCCGGCGCATTATCATGTGTTGTGTGTTATATTTGCACGTCTATATGTGGACGCAGGATTTCCTGACTGAGCGTACCTGTATACCCCAAAATGCATGCACGCGAGCGCCCACGTTTCACTTATGAAGCAATTTTGTAAGAATTGCATTTCTTCAGTTTTATGACTACTGGTTGGTCTATGCATATTTGTGTGCACATTTATTTTTACTTATTTGTGCTTGTACATTTATGCTCATACATTCCTTTATATATATCCGTGCATATACACAGTTTTTTTTTTTTCTTTTTTATCTTTGCATGTGCTGACACAATTTTTACATGTAAAAGAAGCGTTTAAACGTTAAGAGGGTACCTTTGCCAAACAGCCATAAAATAATGACGGCAATCTTTTAAAAAGGGGAAAATATAATATATGTTTTATGTGAAAATCTGGAAGTTATTTCCACAGGTTATATGCATACATGTTTGTATATGCGTGCTTATGTTTGTGTATATATATGTGATTTTTAAATAAACAATATTTTAATTAAACCTTTTTTTTTTTTTCTTTTTTAATGTCTTAGTATTTATTTTAAACACATGATATAATATAGTTAATATTAGATTGCTTACTTTAAATTAGGAAAAAAATTATTGGCGAGACAGGGAATAGAGCGATGTGACCCGTTCTTGTGCAGTTTGGTACCCAACAGAATTTGCTCAGGAAAAATGTCCACCCCCCCAAAAAAAAAGCTCTCTGTAAAAAGGTCTACACAGATAAGATTAAAAATTAAGAAACAACAAAATGGTGTATACGCGGTGAGAGCGTGACGCATTGTAAGCCATAAGACAATTGACCCCTTTTAAAATGGACATTTTTGCGAAAAAAAGAAGAAAATGCGTTATTCTAATTTTGTCTGTGTCATATATCATTTGTGCTGGAATGATAACTAGAGCATTGCTTAAAGGTGAAATGTGGCTCAACATTTTGACAGGGTAAATTTTTTACTCCATGGTTGCTGTTTCACTGTCTGTTGCTCTGCTTGCTGCTTCGTCTGTTGCTTTGTTTGTCGCTTCGTCTGTTGCTTTGTTTGTCGCTTTCAGGCGCACCCATGGCAACCGCGTTGGCAATTGATATCGTAGGCTTCTGACAGTGTGTGATTTCCGTATGATGAGCATTTCCACGCCCCTAGTCGGTTAAAGCATCTCATTAGTAGTTTGTACGCACTTTGTGCATCCGTTCACTTCATGCTTTAAATGTGAAGAACGTGGGGGTGGTTACTAACATATCATTAGTAACCCCATTTTGTGGGAAGTCACACATTCACCGTGTATGTAGGGCACCGTAGAAAAGTCAGCTTTTTTTTAACTCCACTTTGTACACATAAATATGGCAATGCCTACTTTATTTTTTAAAAGGCTGCTTAACTGGGACAAAGTATTTCACACAAAATGGTACAATTATAACACACATGAAACCTTGCAAGGAAAAATAAAAAAGGCGTAGAATCAATCTACTCACAGTTTAGTCTTCATAAAATCGACAAATATGAAATTTGTTAAAAAAAAAAAAAAGCAACTTTTATTCTTTCGCCATTCCTTGGCATACCCATTTCGCAATATCATGATGCCCTATTTAGAAAGGCACACACATGTGAGAGTGGCCCCGGTATATGCCTCCCTGCACACGTGGAAACGATGCACACACGTTGTCCCTTTCTAAATAGGGAATCGGCATTTAACACTGCTCGCACAAGAACGTGGACATCTTTTTCTTGGACGTCCCCCGTGGGACGAAATGGAATTATAACATTTTAATATTACTAACAAATAGAGAGTAGGAGTGATAAAAACTTGCAGAGATACGGGTATGCAAAAAAAAAAAAAAAAGATAATCAGATCATGCATGCAGCACTTAAAAAAGGAGAGGGTAAAATCGTTGCGAAACAGGAACAGTATGTTTAAAGCCCATCTGTTTTACTGCCTCCTTGGCGATGGTACAATATCTCTCAGCGTAGCGACAAATTGGTAGGCCCCCGCTCGAGAACATTGCTCGTGGAGGATGTGCATGGTTTGGCGTACACACGTCCATACAACATGCATAAGAACGCACCGCTCATCGAACGAGAGCAAACAGATTAAACAATGGTACTATACTATAGTATACCACATAGAAGTATCCGTCCGGGTCTTCACTCAATCTTGTAAATACGCCCTTGAATAGATGCCGCTTCCATGCAGTCCATAGCAGCCTGCGTCCGGTTACAACCTTTTTGAGCTGCTCTGAATGTTCCGCGTATATATGTACACACAGAAAACAACGTGACGAGAGCTTTCTCTCGAGATGCGAAATGTACGAGATGAGAAACATACCAGATGAGAAGCATACCAGATGAGAAGCATACCAGATGAGAAAAAAAAAAAAGTCATACAGAATACTCCAGGAGATATAAACCATATGTTACTTCCCTGACTGACACTTCGACTTGGAATCCCTAAACTTGTTAACAATAATGTCGATAACTTCATAATTCGCAACGGTGGTAATGTCGCCAAAATCGTTTAACCCGTTTGCTATACATCTTAGTATTCTCCTAATGATTTTTCCACTTCTGGTTTTAGGCAAATCAGGCACTATACAAATGAGATCCGGGGTGGCTATGGGACCTATGGCTCGTCTAACGTATAATTTTAATTCTTCTATAATTTTTTCATCTGTGTATCTCACGTGCATGGTGTTCATTTCGGCGAAGGTGGAAGTCAATGATAAATGGGCATTGGCATTTTTTGTGTTTCCATTGCGGTCAACGCATTGGTCAAGTGTTTCTTTCGGTTCTACCCCCTTCAGCTCTCCCCATTTTTTAGAGAGACACACCTTTTTAACGATGAAACAGAGAATACCTTCCCCCTTGACAACATGAGGGAAGGAAACAACGGCTGCCTCTGCAATGCAGGGGTGTTGCACCAAGGCATGCTCAATTTCTGCAGCTCCTAAGCGATGACCAGACACATTTAAAGTATCATCAATTCGCCCAGATATCCAGTAGTATCCATCTTCATCTCTATATGCACCATCTCCAGTAAAATAATAATTAGGACAGGAAGAAAAATAAGTTTTTACTAACCTGTTATGATTCCCATACACAGTTCTAAGCATACCAGGCCATGGACTCTTTATACATAACAAGCCACAGACATTAGGTCCATTTAAAGGTTCCAACGTTTTAGAATCTAGGATTTCTAATTGGACACCGAAAAATGGAAGAGTAGCACATCCAGGTTTCATTTTAAATAAATTTGGTATCGGTGCAATGACGATTCCTCCCGTTTCTGTTTGCCAATAGGTATCCACAATTACACATCTTTTTTTCCCAACAATGTTATAATACCATCTCCATGTTTCTGGATTTATTGGTTCACCTACACTCCCTAAAATTCGACATGACGACAGGTCATATTTTTCAATGTATGAATCTCCATGTTTCATTAACGCTCTAAGTGCTGTAGGTGCTGTGTAAAATTGGGTGATTTTATGCGTTTCTATTAAACTCCAATATCTGCCACAATCGGGGTAAGTTGGAATGGAAGAAAACAAGATGGTGGTTATGCCGTTCAGTAAGGGACCATATAAAACATATGTATGCCCAGTTACCCACCCAATGTCTGCAACGCAACCGAAGATATCATTTGGAGTTACATCAAATATATACTTACAGGTCGTGTAGGCATATAACAAATACCCTGCGGTTGTATGCGCTACACCTTTGGGTTTTCCAGTCGAGCCGGATGTGTACAATATACAGAGGAAGTCTTCACTGTCTAGATATTCTATTGGACAGTAGGCTCTCATGTTTTTTATTAAGGCGGAACCATCCACATCTCGACCTTCTTTTAAAGTGCATATATTCTCGTCAAAATTGCTCTCCCTGGAATCACTACTACGATAACCTTTTCCTTCAAATGTTATGCTTTCCTTTGATGCTTCCACCAACGATTTACACATCACTGAGTTCATATAATCACATGACTCTTTCCCCAAGGAGTTGCTGCTCCTGTCTCCCATGTTGTTAGTAACCTCTCCGTCGCGACTGCATTTGTTGTGGCTATTGTCAATTTCGTTACTATAGTGTGTTTTATCTGAAGTGTGGTTCTTCTTCCCTAGATTGTTATTTTTGCAGATTTTTTTATGGCGGGTGTGTATCCCTTTCACTTTAGTGCCAGCGTTGTTGGTGCTCTCCTTGAGGGGGGCGTTGCAGTGATTGCTGGTCTCCATCCCGTTACACTGGGGGGGGTGGCGATGGGGGCCATTATCATGGTTATCGTAATTATCGTTATTATCCTGATCATCGTAATTATCATGATTACCGTGATTGGCGAAAGTGGCGCGACTGGCATACTCCACGTGGTGGCTCGTCGCGCCGCCAACGCAATCGCCCTCCCTCAGCGGGCACGCATAAAGGGAGGCACTGTCCCTCTCTCGACTGGGCTTACAGTTGACGTAACCCTTTGCACTGTCACATTTGTTGTTGTTCATTTGTTCGTGCAAATTTTGGTTCATGCCATTTTGCTTGCTATTTATCACGCAGGTTGTATCCTGTGCCAGAAATTTATCAGCACCATTCAAGTCGAAGCTGGTTGAGTGGTATAACTGACTTTGCGATGTTCTTTCCAGGTATGCCCTATTCGCGTCACTTATCTTCGTTTTGTTTTTAAAAACGATGCAGACTTTGATGGTGTCGCCACACATCTCCATAGCCGCATCGGCGATTTGCTTGAGCTTAGTTAATTTTCCTCCCCTCATGCCAAAATCGCTCGTAATTAATACACTTGACTTGGAGTCCAATATGCGATCACACAAACTGCCCGCAGAGTACCCAGCAAAGACGACATTGTGAATTGCACCTATTCTAGCACATGCTAGCATGGTATACACAATCTCTGGGATCATGGGTAAATAAATGGTGACCACATCTTGCTTTCTCACTCCATACATTTTTAATAAATTGGCAATTTTGCAGGTCCTTTCCAACAATTTTTGATAACTTATTTTTTTAAAATCATTTGGTGTATCTTTTTCCCATATTATTGCAGTTTTGTTTGGATGTTTTTCGACCCATCTGTCTACACAATTATCACATGCATTAATTTTTCCATTAACAAACCAGCTGATGTTCCCTTTTTTAAAATTCCCCATGTATACTTTGGTGAACATTTTAAACCACCTTACACTATTTTTTGCTATGTTTCCCCAAAATAACTCTGGGTTGTTAATACTTTCCTCGTACATCTCTTTATATATGCTTACATCTTTTATGTTTCGATTTGTGCCCGTCTTATTGTCATTTTGGCTGTACGATTCGTTTACTGGGAAGGAGTTTTTGTTAAGGAAAATACTCTGATCTATGTCGATAACGTTCAATTGTCCTGAATCTACTTTGGTAATGTTTCCATTGCTTTCCAGGGTATTCATTATGTTTGACGGGAGATGGTTTTTTTTTTTTTTTTTTTTTTTAAATTTTTTTTGAGTCTTGCCCTGTCGCCCAGGCTGGAGTGCATTAACCCGTTAAAGGTTCGCAACATACACGTGTGGGGAGAGGAGCCTACCTATACATGCACATGTACCTATGTGCATACGTGCGCACTTAGGTACGTTGCCGCGTGACTGCTACGATTGGGTTCTACACGCATAAGCCCTTCACATGTGCAAGGGTATATACACATACGTGCGCTTACACAGATCACATACGCTTACCTAAGCAAGCAGGCATATTTAATAGTGGATATCTCCCCCTCTCAACATCCTTTTTTTTTTTTTCCCTTTAAACTGCATGAAGGATAAAAATTTAAAAGGAAAAAAATTACAAAATGGTGAATTGTACGAACAATTAAATTTAAAATATCAGATGGGCAAAATGAAAAAATTTTAATCCGTACGTTCAGAGATTTTTATGTACATATGGATGTAGCGCATGTATAGCTTTAGATACTTAGTATTAACCTCCGCACACAGCCCCATGCCATACTTGAGTACGACGTATATATGTACATACCCTATTTGCCCATGAGCTGAAACGGGATGCAGCCGCGCGCGTGAAGCATGAATTCTCGAAGGGGCATATTTCTCTCCTCACAAAATAAACAAAAGGTAATTTGCAACAAGGGGGAGCAGAGGAGGTGAATGGGAAGAAGAAGTAAAAATCAAATAAATTTTGTTGCCCTGAAAAGCGCCATATTATTATGCATGAATCGATATATAATGCCGCTCTTACATGAGCCACATATGTCGCCCCCTGTAAGGGTAACTTAAGCTGGCACAAACAAAAAAGCAACTTCAAGGATGAATGCTCATATGTAATACATATACGTTCACCACATGTATACTTGACAGTTCGCCCATTTTTCATCACCTCCGGTTAAGAAATTACATTTAATGGATTTATTTTGGCCCTATCCCCAGGGGAAGAAGCTTTCCCAATCAGCGTACATATTACTCTAAGCACATGGGAAGGATGGAATAAATGACAATTGGATTGTGATTGTTACATTTAAGGTAAACGTTCCAAGTAGTCCCTTCTTCCACATGGGAATTTTTTTTTTTTACCGTCCGTTGTTTTTAATTTTTCCACTTGTGTTTATTTTGCTGCACAAATGTTCGCAACTTTTGACAATTTTAATTTTTGTTTTGTATGCCCTATGGTATACAACTCAGGCATGTAACCATTTTTTTTCCTGCGCTCTTTTGGAACAAAAAAAAAAAAAAAAAGTGAACGTGTACATTTTAAAATGCAAAAGGAACACATACACAGGGGAAATACATGACTCACTGAACGTATCTTTGTAGGCGTATGCTTAACACCGGTATGTGACACGTAACTGTTTGTTGACCATCCTATTGACTGCCACACATCTGTTATGAACCGTACATTTGTGTTGCTTGCATGATAATAAAAAGGATGGGTCACTGTTGCTGCATGTAAAAAGGGGACATACCGATGCGCTCATCTTACTCCCTTTCTGAGTACCGTAAGCCGTATGTACATTTTTGTGACGAAAGTCCTGCCCCTGATTGAGCCATAAAATGTGGGAAGGAGTGTAACCCATTTTTTCGCAACCATGTAAGGGTAATAACCGTATGACGCCTGTGACAATACCTCTGTGGGGGCTCCTCAAAATGAGTAACTAAGTTTGGTAGCGCATCCACACGTTATGCCCTTCCCCATAGGTATTATCTTGTCTGTCTCCATGTGTGCATATGCACGACACATACATTTACATCTACGCTGGTTTTATATGTCTACTTACGACGTGTGAGTGTCTCCGAAAAATCTTCCTGTGTGTAAATTGCCCTCGTTGAGTAGTTGCACGTAACACACCCGTTACAGCTTTAAACTAGTGTCTTCTCTTTTTTACTCACCCTGTTTACGCATCATCGGCATTTTTATTAATAACTGCTTCGAGATTATGTTAACCACGCCACTTGGTGATTACTCATTTTGTTGAACCGTAATTAAGGGTTTTCACATATGCCTTTATATTGCAAAGCGGAGAGATGAAAAGAAAAATAGATTAGTATAATTTTCATTTTTCCAACCTTCCATTTTTTAACGCCTCATTTTGATGACTCCCCTCTGTGATGTTAGCAGAAACAAAAAATAAAAGGACTTGATACGGGCGAACAAAAAAAAAGAGACAAAAACGAGTTTGTCTCAGTTCCACACAGGTTACACAACAGTGGAACACAACATAGGGAGAAAAAATATGATAACTGAATTTCCCCCCTACATTGAAAAATTTCGTGTAACGGGGAAGTAAAAATCCAGTATGTATGCTTAACTAGTTTGCACTTCTAACTCCCATTAAAAAACGAATAATAACTAAATAATAGCTAGCTGAATGAACCATGGAAGAAGACAAGTCAAGAGGAACTTCCAAAAGAAGGAAGACGAATGACAATAGTAATGTCAATTATTCTTTGTTCCATAAAAGCGTAATTTGGGTAAATGGAAAGGACTCAAATAATAACCATTCCAAGCAGTTCACTCAGCAGAATGAGAAGGAAAATAAAAATGTGCCGTCCGCATCGACTCGTGATAATGCTCAGAATCTTTCCCATTCGAATACAAATTCAAATGCAAACCAAGATGTGTCTTATCCCAGTAGCAAGCGCAATGCTAGCACCACTCACCTGAGTAACAGCAAAAGAAACTGCACCAGTAATCGATCAAAAGATCAAGGTCATCCTTTTTTGAACAGACCGCCGCAAAGAGCCTTGTACGTGGACTATGGTGAATCGGAGAGGGTAAAAGATGAGGGACGCGGCGGAAGGCATCCACGTATGCCTGTATGTACTTATGCCCGTATGTACTTATGCCCGTATGTATTTATGCCCCTATGTCCTTATACCCGTAGGTCAATATGCCCATATACTCCCTCCATGTTTACACCATTTCGGTGTCATAAACCACTCAGCACCACTTCATCACCCTTTGCTCCCCCTTTCAGAGGAACGGTGTAAATGCGCCCAACAAGGTATATATCAACAACAGCTTAAAAAATACATATACAGGCAATACGAGTTGTAGAAAGAACTCGAAACAGCAGCAAAATAAAGTGGGACTCTCGTCGAATGAATACACAAATTATAAAGTTACGACGGAGAATAGAACGACGTATGATCATGCAAGGGAGCTAAACCGCATGTGGAATATTTACGTGGACGAATTACTCGGTTTGACAAAGACAGAAGAATTGCCCCAAGACACAATTAATGACATGGAATTGAACGGAGCGGAAATTGAAATCCACAAGTCTCGTTGTGCATCATATATTGGGATCAAAGGGATAATCATCCTGGAAACGCAAAATGTAATGATACGAAATGGGCCTAACAGTAAAGTTCAGAACAAGAAGGGTTGATTATTACCCATCGATGAGTTCTTGTTATCATTCTTTACTTACATTGTTCCCTTCAGTGGCTATGCCTCCGCAGGCACGAGCGCAGTTATAGACAAAGGGTTACCCCCTTCCCAGCTGCATATATGTAGATTTATATAGACCACACACACATGACGGTTTCACCCCGCAGGCATTCAAAATAGTAACCCCCAAGGACAAGGTCTTAATACTGCTGAAAAACAAAACCGTATTTATCCTTACCATAAAAGATAGGCAGTATTACCTGCATGGCGTCCAGCTGCTCCGCGACCCCGCCTTAAAATCATGCAAAAAGTACAAAGTGCTACAGAACAGGTCTATTTAAAAACGGACAATTGCACTGCATCTGTCGAGGATTCGGATGTGTACAAATTTCATTTTTTCCCTTTTTTTAACTGTAATTTTTACGTCTACTATTTTTTGTAATTAAATTTTGTACACCGCGTAGTGTGCATCTTAATTCGTTTCTCATTTTACCGTCGTTTAGTGATACGGAGTGAATTTTTTTTACTTCCCCTCCCACCCCCAATTTGTTACTTGCGTTTATTCCACACTGTTTCCTTTTTTATGTGATTGTTTGCGCCTATGTGAATACTCGCAAATCCACACGTTTAGCTTTTACCACAAGGTTGTGGTGCGTTAGGCAGGAATGCGTAGGTGTATGCACACAGCTATGTATATATGTGAATGTTTTCCTTTTTCCCCCAGTTAAAGGGGATATATGCAGATGCCTCGCGCAATTTTTTCTCGCCATATGCTAAATCTCCCACTTTGTTTTTCCCCATTTCTGCTAATTTGTATTCGCGTGCATTACATGACTTTTGGAACAACTCCAAACGGGGTTAAATGATGCACAACATTTTGCCAATCTCTTTCCCTAATTAACTGACATAATTGACCATGTTATTTTAACACATTTTTTAAGTTTTCACTTTCTTTTTTTTTCCTTTTTATGCTGGGTGGAAATGAGACCACAAGCAAGTTTCATTTTCCTGAGCAAAATTGTTTGACCAATGTAAAGCGGCATTTCGGTTAAAGAGAACTTTTCCATGTAAGTCAACATCGTATATTTCTTTATGTATGCATGAAATGAGTTCTTTCTAAGGGAATAATTGCCGTAAGGATGAATTGTGTACGGCACCGCAAGGAATTATCAACGTCGTTTCTACATTCTTCACTTGTGGTCGCGGGAGAGAGGCGCGCGCTGCCCTACGCAGTCCCCGCACAAATACATACGTGAATACATATATCCGTGCCCTTCTTCGCCTTGATCGCTTTTCCACGCCGGGTCCAATCTCACTTTGCCCGTAGTTAACCAATTTATGCCCTAATTCAAAAGCAATCCCGCTTGCCAATTCAGGCTAGTTAATCACGCCTGCTAAAATCGCGTTTGCCAATCTACGCTAGTTAATCCCGCCTCCTAATCCACCCTGCTAATCACGCTTACTAACCAGCAACGGTTCCTCCTCCTGACAAACTAAACAAAAAAACATATGGACGAGTGAAGTAGCGTCATCATGAACCCCGATCCAGCTAAGACCAGCGACCAGATAGCAGAACTGCTAGTGGAGTCTCCTCTGTTTTCGTTCAACTGCGCACACTTTATTGCCTTTAAAGGATTTAGGGAAACTTTGCATGGACATAATTATAATGTGTCCTTAAAACTAAGGGGGAATATACAAGAGGATGGATATGTAATCGACTTCTCCATTTTGAAAGAAAAAGTGAGAAAAGTTTGCAAACAGCTGGATCATCATTTCATTCTGCCAATGTACAGTAATGTTCTAAACATCCAAGAAGTTAACGACAATTTCAAAATTACATGTGAAGATAACTCCGAATATTCTTTCCCAAAACGAGACTGTGTGCAAGTTCCTATCAAGCATTCCTCCACAGAAGAAATAGGGCACTATATTTTAAACAAAATAATAGAGGAAATAGGCTTGCCCATTTTAAAGGCACGCAGTGTTGACTACATGGAGGTGACTATGAGTGAGTCCCCAACGCAAAAGGCAACGGTTCACAGGAACATCTGATGGGAGGAAGTGGAAAGGTGTGTGACCAGGACAAATCCATTGCGTACAAAGGTGGTACCATATGTGATCTCTTTCTTTTTCCCCAGAAATGGGAAATCTTTAATGTGTATATATCTGCACCTATGTGTTGTATCTGTTGTATCTGCTGTATGTATTGCATGTGTTGCACAAATTATCCAAGTCGTGTCGCGCATTATAAGCCTCCTGCAGATCCCTTCACAACTGGGCGCCACATCTATTTTGGTAAAATCCTTTATGGGCAGTTTTGCACGTATTTAAGTGTGACGGTCTGCAAGTTTTCGTATTTGTATTTTCATATAAACCCAGGCGGGGGTGCGTTTCCGCCTTTCCGCCGTTCCGTTTTTTTGTCTCCTCGTGGGCGACGTCGCCCGAGACGCACAAAAAATGTGTAGTATTAAATAGGCAAACAAAATCAAAGATCATAAGACAAACGCGAAATTAATAACACTAAACAAGGGTCGCACAAAATGGGTAAAAAATGGGGTAAAACAAATAAAGTGAATGGGGAATCCGCTTATCAAAGGGAGGGGTTCCGCCGTGAGGTGGGACAAACGCAGAAAGCGCGAGTGCGTAAATGCCCATGTAGGTGCATTCATGTGCTTCATTTTTTTTTTCACCTTTTTGCAACTCGAATAGGCGCGTTCTGCGTGTGTGCATGGCAAGATCATCCGTAACAGCGCATCATCGTATCGGCACCTATCCGCCCCATCGCAACATCGGACCAGTGCCCATTCGCGTATTACCGCGCACTACCGCGTCACTCCCCGTACATGAGCTGCATCTGGTCGTGAACCACGTACGCGTCCAAGTCAATCGCCGTGCAGTTCTTAATCGCGTACAGGAGCCTCTCCTTCATAATTTCCAAGCTGGAGTACTGAGGTAATAACAAGCGAAAGCCACACGTAACGGCGGTGGGTAATCTTTGGTCCGTCTGGCTGATACTGTGGTTAGGGTTGTCAACATCTATGATCATATACCAGTCATTCTTTGTCGTGGGCAGCCTTGATCGCCCTGAAACGAATCGGAGGAATGATTGTAACTGCTCATTCGTGAATTCTTCCAGTACTGCAAACAGTTTGTCCTTTATTTTCAAATCATTCGACCAAGTATGCGCTTTTAAGACATCGAGGTTTATTTCTCTTTCACCACAAACCATTTGCTCCACATTTGTAAACTCGTATAGCAACCTTAGTCGCCCCAGAGGAATTACGGAGCTAAATCCCTTGAGCAGATATCTCAACCCTTTGGATGATTCATTCATTTTGCATCGAGTCATTAACCGGATAAACAATTCCAAGTTGTCAAAATTGATTGGTATGTTGGCTCCATTTCTTATCAACTCAATGGAATTTCCTCCGGAGTCTTCCGTTATGAAGGTGATATCTCCTAGGGATTGTTTTAATTCAATGTTCCATCCACTGGACCTTTCGCAGTTTACCATTTTCAACGTTTTGAGCATTTCCACAGCGACAAAATCGTAATCGCACAAGTCTTGCAGTTCTAGTGGAGCTCCACATATCTTCTTCCAAATTATGGGATTGAAACATATGTTCAGAGCCGACGCTATGCATATGCACATCCCCATAACTCGACCTAGGGATTCATACATGGCTAATTCCATTGCTCTTGTGGTTTTCTCATCATACTCTATGTTCATATGGTTTTTCTTCAAATCATTATATTTTTTGCCATTTTTGCTATTCTTTTTGAAACTATCAGAGTGGCTATTCTTCTCGTCCATTTCGCTATGTATGATTTTTTCATCCGTTTCGTATTTTTTCTTCTTTAATATTTTGTTCAGAAAATCATGTCTCGTTTTGAGCGATATGTTGTTCACAATTTCGAGGACGTCGCTGTCGTAGCCACAACTTTCGTATGAGCCACTTGGGTCATATTTATTATCCACATGGAAGTCCATCTTATTGCCTTGCTCTATTTTTTCGAATGTAACAGATTTCTTGCTGCCAAAGAGGTACATTTTGTCATTATTTCTCGAGGCCCCATTGGCTAGCTTGTCTCCTCCATGTGAGGGAAGCATATCTCTGGGTAGTTCCTCACCTGGGTTGTCCTGTTTGCCCTCTGGATTGCCACTTCCACTGCTGCTAGCATCCTCCGCATCATGCCTTCCTGCACACCCCATACAATCGTAATTGTCAACATTGCTATTCCCGTTTTCATTTCCCGCTCTGTGTGATGGAGCGCCCGTTTCCAATGTCCCACTTGCATTTATGCTACAACTTTGGGTACTCGTATTCTTATGGCTGTGATTGCCTCTATCTTTATCCGTAAACTTTTCTCTAGAGTCTTTCTTACCTCCCGAGCAGTCGTCATCATATAGGTGCTGATCTTCCCCATTTTGATATTCCCCATTCTGACCTTCCTCATCATCGAACGAAGCATTTCCTTCCTTGGATTTGTAACCCCCTTGATACATACTGTTCTGCGACTTGTGTAATGTCTTCTTCATATTTCGTATCGAATTGTATATGTGAAGTATCTGCCACCTAAAGCTTTCCAAATTATCAATCATTTCTATTTCGCCAACATAATCGGATTCTTTGACATTGTACGAGTTAATTTTAGGATTAATGATAACGGTATCTTGGCGTCCTCCCATTGCTTGGGTGTAGTTAGGGCACGGAATGCACAGAGGAAATATGGGTAAGCTTTTATCAGGGGAGTCTGACAATTTGCCCATAACTTCTCTCGAAATGGAAGAAAGAAATTCATGAAAGGGACCTCCAAAATCGGTTGCTCCTTCTCCTATAAATACCACCATGAAAGGTCTATCCCTTGGCTTTCCTCTTAATTTATGTGTGTCTATGTTTAACAGAGAGTATGTGCTCTGGTACCACATCGTGTGGGCAATATTTTTCGCCGTCGCAGCCATGCCTCTGTCTATTCTGAGCGTTAAATTGGATTTCTCTGAGGTGGAGGAGGTGATATTTTTCAGACACTCCTTCCACAATTTTAGGGAAGTGTCATGTTTAAGCAACTTCTTAACAAACAGGTAAGAGGACAGTTGTACGGGGAGATCCGAAGAGCCCATCGCTAAAACCATTTTACTGGAATGGTAACCATTTTTACAGTGTCTTATGCAGTCTGCCAATGAGTCCTCATGGGTTCCCTTTTCGCTCTCCTCACAAGTACACAAGTTTCCATTTGGATTTCCCTTCTCCACATTTTCCGAATTGGCTCTAATAAAATCGTTGTCCATGCTAATGTTTCTGCACTGTCCTTTTCTCTGTGAGGGGCCATTTTCGTACATCAATCCTCCTTCGTCTACAATGGAATTATTTTTTTCAGCCGCATACCTGTTATGATCGTTCTTTTCGCATTCCTCAATGCCCAAATTGTTCCATTTGTTTTTTCCATCTTGTTCCACTTGTGGCACTGCGTTGGTGATTTCCTCTTTAGGGTCATCCTGGTGGTTCAGTCCGGCGGGATGTTCATACGCATCCTTTCTCCTGCGCGATCTCGCACACGGGTTGGCACATCTTACATTTCCACTTCTCACATTGCCGCTTCTGACATTGCCGCTTCTCACACTACCACTTCCGACACGGTCAATCCCCTCAGAGGCGTTCCTACCCTCGCTGCAGTCCGTGTCGGGTCTCACATGCGACATTAAGCAGGCGCTTCCCCCGCGCGTGTCTCCATTTTTCACCTTCATGGTGCTCCACGGTAGAAACGTATCCCCGTCCGAGAAGAAACACAAAGGACACTCCAAGGTGCGTAATCCGTGCTCCTCCAGATGAATAACCGGCTTGTTAAATAATACAGCAGTAATCGGCAGGCAACTCTCAAAGTACGTATTAAACTTATTCAACAAAGTGATACGGTCCTGAATAATTTTCAAAAACAGATGCTTATTCTTTTCATACACGTTGCTTTTGTAATAATCCACAGTCATAACCATTTTATTTTTTGCTATGTATCTTAGACATTCATCGGAAAGAACAAAATATTTTTTGAAGTTCGGAGGAAACATTCCATATCTTTTGTAATTACTTTGGTATACAATTCTCATGGTGAAATTATGAACCTTCTTTATTTCCTCAATGAAGTCATCCAAGGACATGTTTATTCTTTTCCACAACTGGGAAGTTTTACCTGGGAGTTTTTTTTTTATTTTTTCCATATCGAATGCGTGGTATACAAATAAACTTATTTTTTCTGAAGAGTCCATGTAGCTACTTATCAAGTCGTATATATGTAGCACATAAGTGTCAAGTGTGTGTGGCCAAATTTTGTTGCATTCTTCTCTTATCATGTCATTGTCGCATGGCTTGGACATAAATTGCAACTCACACATCAGCTCATATTCATCATCCAGTTGGTCGTTATCATCGTTATCATCATTATGATCCTTATGATCGTTATCCCCATCGCGAAGGAAACTTCCATCCAAAGAATGCTTCTTATCGTAATGGTCAGACGCAGTGGAGGGCTCCCAGTTGTGTTTCTTTGAAACGCTATTCAGCATAGAACGATTTCTGTTCTTATCATATCTGTTGTTTATTTTGTTAAAGTGATTATGTTCATCAATATAATTTTTTTCCATGTCATTTTTGTTGCTACTAAACTGGCAGTGCATCGAATTTTCTCGATCCTCCTCGGTGATGAAGTCATTCGTATTTTTCCCGTTTTTATGGCTGTACGTTTTTGAAGCCTCATATGGATAATGCTGCTTCAAACAGTTGCCATGATTACTCTCCTCTTCGCAATTTCGATGTAACATGAAGAGGGCATCTCTTAGCTGATTCCCACACAGGAATTGGCTTTTCTCTCTATTACACGTTGCATTGCTGTTACTCACGTGATGACTATCTCCCTTGATGTCTAAATTGATAGAGTGCATCGAACTCTGTTTTGTCAAGCTGTGCTCCGCGTTGATCTCTTCACCGATGTGCATGAATTCATTTTTGTTGTTACTGCCACTTTGGTAGTTGTTGGACGCACCGCTGCACGGGGCATCTTCTGGGGTTATTTCTTCCCTCTCGTTCTTCTCATTGTGTGTGTGGGCTCTCCCGGTGGTAGGGATAGCGCTTGTGCTTGCCGAACCTTTTTCCGCGCCACTGGGCGCGAACTCCGAAGCGTTACCCCCCTTGTTGGAATCGTCCACGCTGTTATACATGTCGTTGGAAATTTTGAACAGGGGGATGTACTGCTTGGAAATGACTCTGTAGCAGGACTTATCATACATGTGGTACTTTCTGGACTTCTTCTCCTTCGTCACAACATTGGCCTCCTCCATGGGATCGTACGCCGAATAGTGGTCCTCGTACCCTTTCATGCTGCGTCCATTTACAAAACACTCGCTTATATAATTCTTATACTTGTTTGTCACGTCGATAGAGTCATTGTTGCAGATTAGCCTCTTGTTATTCTCCTGAAAGAGATACTCCTTCAGCATATTTTTGTTCGAACAAAAGTCGTACAGTAAAGCATCTCTGTTTAAATTTTTCACATCGATATTTTTAAAAACATCGCTAAACAAATGCGCATCGTACATACCATTTCGTAGGAAAGACCTTTTCTCATTGATGATATTCATGAGGCCACTATAGAACAGCAAGTTGTTTCCATTCTGTAGAACCTTATCCACGAGGGAAGCTGATTCTATCATGTCTTCTTCGTACCTATAAATTGTATACGAATCTGTCACCCATTTTATGTCATAGAATTCGTTGAAAATTCCAAGGCCTTTTAGTAGCTTCTTTTTCCATTCATCATGCATACTGGCATTCCACTTCAATTTGAAGCTGTTAAAAATGTTAGCGAAGCTGTCGACTTCGAGAAGAAGGTATCCTAAATCCAGCATACTGTGGCAGCTTTTAAAACTTTTCTTCAAGTCGATGTTCATGAAATATTTTAATCTTTCGTCCATGTAGAGATAGTCAAATAATTCCAGAAAATTGTTAAACCCCCTGAACACATCCTCCTCAGTCTTAATTTGCATTAGTGTATTTTTCAGTTCATCAAACTTGGTGATACTCTTAGCATCCAGGTATCCATTATTTTTAAATATGTCGGAGAAGACACCTGACTTGTTAATAAATTCGATTAGACTTCCTTGCAGATCTTGATAGTTGAACCTATTTCTCCTCGTGCTAGAAAATACAAAACATTTTTTTTTGATACTTCTTCTTTTGGCATTAAGATCTTCATAGTGAAGGTCTTCCTTACTTCTTCCCTCCTTCTGTTGGATGCGATTTTTCATTAGCTTCTCTTCTTCGTTCAACAAGGACTCCACATCCGTATCGTCATACTTACTATCACCTCGACAATGGACAATCAAATGGTTCAGTATGTCCTTTGTGTCGATGCACAATTTGCCCCGCGTTGACAGTCTGTATGGACCACCTCTGCTATAACTCTCTTGCTCCTCTTCGCTGTTTCCTTCATCCACGGATGTGTACTGGCCATTCCCGCTCTGCTTGTCTCCCACCGGTTTGCGCATCAATTTGTTTCTGCTTAGTGTGGCGACGCTTTCACCATCGTTCTGGCTACCACCGCGGTTGTTATCACTCCGGTTTTCGTTATGCTCAAAATTTTTAGCATTATTTTCGGCATCGTTTTCGCACATGACTATATCGCTCAGGTTCTCCTTCTGCGAGCAGATCGTGTCTTCGCCCATGGAGGTGAAATGGTTCGTGTGGCCGTTGTCGCTGATGTCTTTCCTCTCAAGCCTCCGATATAACGATTTCATGTGAGCCTTATAACTGATTGGCTTCTTCCTCTTGTCGTCTGCAGAGTCCGACCTGTTTGTTGGTTCCTCAAAGTGTGCACCCTCCGCGTCGTTTAATCTGACGATTGGTTTCATTCCCGAAAAGTTGTTCAGCTGTGTGCCGTAATTTAGCTCCTCCAAGAAATTATCAGTCGTTGTGTTCACTTTCTCCATGTCGGATGCGTCTTTTTGGAAGTGGTTTCCCTTGGACAGGCGTTGCTTCTCACCCTTCTCAGGCTGCTGGCCCTTCTCACGTTTTTGCCCCTTCTGACGCTTCTGGCCGTCCTCACCCTTATCATCCTTCTCGACCCTCTCATGCTTCTCACCCTTCGCATCCGTTTGACCCTCCACATTGCAAAAGTTCGATAGGGACAGGTTTCTAGAGGAGTTATCACAGCTGTAGTATTCCTCGTCTGTCTTTCTGCCTTTCCATTCATTATTGTTCTGGTTGTAACGGCCGTAGTCCACCTCATCGTCGCAGGTGCCAACCTGTTTGTAACTTCTAGCAGTAACTAACTCTTCGCCCCCAATGAGGAAAGAGTTTATCTTTACGGAGGAGTGGCTATTACTAGAGTTATTTAAGCATATGGGAAAGCCCATGACTATGGAACAGTTGGAAAGCAAACCGGGGATGATGTCCTTGTTGATATAACTCCTCTTGTCCTTGTTGTTACTCTTTAGCGATAACTTTATCCACATTTTTAAAATAGCTTCTACTTTCCTATTTTTAATTAAATTTTTTTGCACCAAGTCTTCCACAGATATCCCTTTCTTGTTCACCAAACTCATGTCGGCCCCTAATTTGAGTAGCAGCTGCACCATCTTCGAGGTGCAGTCTTTCTTCCCATCATCTGGGCATGGGTTAAGTAACACCTTATGCAACGCTGTGTTCCCTTTGGCATCTTTTTTATTTATCTGCACACCATATACACAGACTAACATGCTCACGAGTCGACTGTACCCATACTGTGCAGCAACCATTAGGGGGGTTTCCTTCTCCACTTTGTGACAGGCTTTATTAGGGTTGACTTTTCCTATTTCTATTATTTTCTGCACACATTCTTCACATCCAATTCTGCACGCCAACATGAGCGGGGTTAAATCCTTCTCGTAAATAATATTCTTCATAGACGATACAAGTTCGCATGGAAAATCTTCTTGATTTATTTCGTAATGCTCAAAGGATACTTCCTCCTTGCTTTCATCCGATTTTGCTAGCAGGTCTGGGTTATACGTAAGAATGGAAGATACATTATCACAATCATTTAGCAGTAGCGAGTTGTATAATTTGATCATATTGACGTGATTCTTTATCCGCATCACCGTTTTATTTTCGCTATCTTCCGTAACATCCTCGTGGTGATTCCCATTACTGCTCCTTGTTTCCTTATTCATTTTTTTCTCCTTACTCTTCATATTATTTGTGCCACTAACTCTTTTGCTGCACTTACGCTCGTTGGAGATGGAGTGTGCGCAGAGGTTACTAGCCTTGGTGTTATGGCAAGGGTTGAACGGACTGTCCACGTACCCCTGCGTCGTGTCCACTTGGTTACCATAATCTTTCATGTCATGCTGTTTCTGAATCGTGTGCGTATCTTTTGGCAGCGATCCCTTCTCATTAGTACTACTTCGATACTTGTTGACATCGTCATTTTTGGTAGCACCGAAATTGTTTACATTACCGTTGCTGAGGCTGCTCGAGTAGGAATACTTGGACAAATTTGGGGCAGCTTCCATTTGGGCTTCCTTACTGCTTCCATATGCCCAATTTCCCCCAGCGTTTCTATAATTATAGAAGGTGTCAAATTTAAACCCAAATTGATATTTTCCATTTTTGTAAAAGAAGAGGCTTTGGAGGTGCGGCTCAAATTCCACACACAAAGTATCGTTCGACTTAAAATTAGCTACTTCAATTTCACACTCTTCAATTTTTTCTGGTGGAAATTCCGACACACAGAGGGGTAATTTCAGTGGGCATATGAATTTCCCATTGCTAGTCCATAACCAACGGTACCCTCCCCATAAAATGCCCACCGAGTTTTTCACCTCATTGGCACTTTGACTCTTCCCACATTCTTCAAATTTCACGGTGCAGTTGAAAATAAAATGTTTTGCAGGGAACAGTGCTTCGTACGAATCGACACATAATTTGAACTCCTTGCACCCTATGTAATACATAGAACAGTTGCTCGATTCATCTCCCTGCTCTATATAATTATAGTCATCCTCGACCTTGCTCAGATCGTTGTTCTTGTCCTGCTTGGGGGCGTACATATTGGTCATCCCTTTGTCCTCATTGAGGCTGCCACATGGGTCTTGCATATTACTTATAAATGAATAGCTGTTATCATGCACAGGATCTTCCTTGCAAAATATTTTGTTACTATTGATATATTTCTTCCTCCTGTGGGAGTCGTTTAGGCTCTGTTTTTTTTCATCGAAGAGGTACTTGGCCTTCCCGTGTGTGGCAGTGTCGTTAATTTCTTGTATAGAGCTGTACTTTAGATTATACGAGTAGTCTTTTTTTATCTTGTGGAAATTGTGAAGCCTATATTTGATGTGCAAATTGGCGTCATTACTCGTGGTGAAGTAATCATTGATGTAGTTGCTGTGCATAAAATTGCGGCTATTATTTCCTGGGATCAATTCGTGGTAGTAAGAAGTGTAATGAGTTCTATTCACATTATTTACATCGTAGTAGTTCGCCTTCAGTCCCACGTTTGCATTTAAAGTTTTCTTCTTCCTTTCATTGCTCCTACTCTTACATGTCTTGGTATAGTTATGTGCAATGTCGAAATTGCTCTTCGCATTCATTCCTATATCTTCATTCTTGCACAGTCTGTTGAAATTGCTGTGCAGGTTCAGCTCCCCCTTCATGATTATGTTAGGGCTTTCCTTCTCCATGTCTTTCTTTGTGTTCGTTTCGAGAATCGTCGCGTACGTTTTCTGTATGTTGGTTATATTTTGGATGCTCCCAATAGCCTTGGCATTTTTCTTCTCGCAATGGTTCACTGCATCTAAGTCAATTCTGTTCATTTCTGATTGCTTATACGAATTGGCAACGCCGTAGTAATTTATGACTGGTACGTTTCTTACAGTTCTGACATTTTCTAGGGTTAGAAAATTCCATTTGTCCCCCTGCACACTTTTACAGTGCATAACATTTGCAAAGTTTAGCGGTTCGCTCTGTACTTGCATATTGGGAGTTAAAAATAACGTGTTGGAAAACGGGTCACCGGTGAATAAGTGATTAGACCTGGAATTATTATAATAATGTATAAATATTTCATTATCCGGTTGGGCTATTATGAGGGGCATTTTGCTCTTCGTCACGCCTTCGGCTGAGGATCTACTTGCCGAGGCGGCATCTGGGACGACGAAACACGTGCGCTTCCACAGGCTTCTTTTCCAATTCTTGTTTATATTTGTCGTGCAATTATTCCTATATTTCATTTTGTGTACATTTTGGAATTTAAAGTAAAAGTTCGTCAGCGGCGATGCGAATATGTTTTCATTCGTGTCGATAAATTTCATGTGAATTGAACAGCGTCGAAAATTACTATCCTGAAATTGGTCTAACTTGTTATGTGGCACGATGGGTGTTCCCTTGATGGGTGTTACCTTGATGAGTGGTACAAAATTCGTCATCTGCGCGCTGAACTCTTTTCGAAAAACCAGAGTGTCATTCGAGAACCATAGAACCTGCTTCCCAATGACCTTCACTTTTAGGGTAACGTTTTCGGCGAAAGATAGTTTATTTATCATTAGCGGTTTGGCATTTTCTACATTGCTGTCGAAAAATAAACCCATGGTCGTCACCGTCTCGTCCGCAATATTCAGCGTAATAGAACTGTTCACTCTGTTGTATACATCATTCGAATTCATGACGCTCGTGTCGGATAGCGTCTTCGAGTAGGAAACGTCGTTGTATGCATCGGACATGAGATACTTGTCATAATTGCCACTTCCATTGCCATTGCCATTTCCACTTTCATCTTCCTTTTCATAAGTGTTTATGGAAAACCTCTTACTGCCACTACCTCTCTTGTTCATTGCGGAGTAGCTCAAATGATTCTTCCTAATCTGTTTAGTCTCCTTTGGATGGCGCGAATCTGCTCCAAGAGCACAACTGTACTCATTTGGATTTGCCCGTTTCGCGTACACCTTTTTCTCCACACTTTTTGGTAAGAAGGAAGCATATTTTAACATTTTTTCTGCCTCCACATCGTGTTGTGCGTAATTGTTATAGCTAATGAGCATATTGTCGGTAAGTTTGTGCGAATTAGCAATGTTGCTGTTTTTGTAAAATTCTCTATTGACTGACATCTTGCAGTTTCGATATCTTTTCAATTCGTTCATGTTCTGTTCATCCAGGGGGTGCAGCGCGTCGTTTTGTTCAGAATCGTAATTGACACTCACATTTAGTAACCCCACTTCGATGTGTACCAAATCCCTAAATGGGTGCACTGCGCCTTTCTGTTTATTGGATACAGCAAAGGAAATGCTAAAAGAAGAGTTGTGTGAACCTGAGTATATTTCGGAATCTCCCATTAAGATGAAAGCCTGTGACAAGGTACACAAATCAACTAGTTCGATATGGGAACCCAAATTGACCTTTCCAACACGGTCCAGGTCTAAATCCCCACTTAACAATTTCGATTCGAGGAACAGAAATTCTTGAACCTTGTTATGCTTAATTTCCTGTAGAACGTAGTGAAAATCGTTGTCCGCGCTGAGCACTATCGAAGGATATTCAATCACCTTTCTGGTGACATGCCGAAGTTCTTCCTTTTCCCTTTGCAGTAAATGCAGGATTCGATCTACATTGTGATTGTCGCTTGTAGTAGTGGCCTGTTTTTGCGAACTGTCATGGTGTCCGCTCGGGTATACCCTCCCCCCGGGTGGGAAGCGCTCCGTTTTCTCCTTAGGTATGGGGAATATATCCTTTATTTTCAGCTTAACCATATCTGCGTTGGGACAACATACGTGGTGTATTTTTTCATTAATATCAATTATGACATTTGCGGAAACTTTCTTACTCAACTGCAGCACATTGTCGACGAACATTTCTGGGTAGTTTCCCTCGTAGGGGTCATCCAGAATGTCCCTTCTTCTCTCCACAGCATTCATAATTTTGTTATTCTCAGCAAAGAATAGGTGCTTGTTTTTGTCTCCGTTAGATGTGCTAGGCGCTTTTTGTTCTTCTCCCTCCTTATTGTGCAGGGAACAATTTTTGGCCCCCTCTTTGATGGCAAAATCGTACAAATTTTGGGAACTTTCATTTGGGTTTTTTTTCAAGCCATCCGGATGGGAAGACGCTGCTCCAAGGTTCGATTGATCCACCTTGGGAAGTCCTCTTTGTTTGCCGCTTCGTCTCACGTTCTTAGCATACATCTTAGACACGTGATCGACCACATATAGGTAAAGGCAGTACTGCTTAAAATTGGTATGCACATTCTCATCGTAGTAATTCATGTTGTTACACATATCGACTTTCTTAATGTAGTACGCAGCAGAAGCGAAGTAGTGTATAAGCAACGCTGCGTTAATCTTGAGAGGGCTGTACGTGCTTTTCTCCTTATTCTCGAACAGATCAAAATTGGCAAAATTCTGAGTTGACTTGTTCTCGTTCTTTGTACTAGCAGCAGTGGTATTTATATACAGTGTGTTGGCAGTTGTGGGAGTGTTGGCATTATTACACGAGTTCACCGTTTCGGTGTTTTCCTGCAGGCTGTTATTATTCACATTATTCGACGAAATGTTCGGACTAACCCTGTTGGCTATATTCAAATTGTAGATAGTTTCATTGCTAACACTGCTGATTCCGTTGAAGTTATTATTTATCATCCTGTTGTTCGCGGAGTTCTGTATGCAAGTGAGGATATCATTAATGTTGCTGTTTAGATTGTCTATAATGTTGTTGACGTGCTCGTTATTATTTCTAACATTGTTGTTGCTGATGTCCATGGCTTTGTTTTTATTCCCGTTTCCGCTTTTGTAATTGTTTTCCCTATTCAGGTTCAACATTTGGTTAAAAAGGGAAGACCCACAAATGTGCACACAGTTAAAAAGGTAACACAAAAATGCGTTGTAATTGCACTTCACTCGTTGGTACTTCTCCCGCATAGTGCTTTGTCTTTCATTTTTCCTTTCGAAGGAGTTCGTATAGTCCTTCCCTTTCAACTCGTAATCGTCGGCCATCGTCTCGACTTCAACGCTAAACTGCCTTACCATATCAATGTCCCGTAATTTCTTATACTTTTTGTGGCTCCGACTATTTTGTAATATATACACTACACAAGACCAGTACACCAGTCTGCATGCATCTATGCCAATAAAGATGGGCAGTCTATTTCCATTCATAATTAACCCAAAGAGGGAGGTAACTGCCAAGGGAGTAACACAGGAAGATCTTACTCTCGATGGACATAGCGGATGTCTAACAAATGTATCTAACATCCAGTGCGCAACGTGAACGGACGGAGAAATGGCATAGAACATGTCCACTTTCACTCTCTTTTGAGACACACTCTGAGCAATAGAACCTACTAAATGGTATAGCAATTCGGACTGAATTATAAGCAGCAGCTGATCTACTAACTGTTTATCATCCCAAGTAATTACACACTGGTAGAATATCCTTTGCCATCCGAAGAGAAGGGAACTTTTGCAACTTTTCTCATTAAGCAGTTTATAGACATTTTGTTTCATCTTCGAGTTTCTAATCTGCTCTTGGTATTCTTGCCAATAATCCTCTTTCCTAAAGTCTTTGCTTCTACTTAGGTAATAAATGCATATGCGGAAGAGGTACATGACGCTAAATATGTTTAGCATCTCCTCCTTATTCTTCAAGGTGCCGCTCATCAGCTCAGATATGTTCTTTATTTTGTTGTTCCTTCTTCTACTGCTTCGTCCTCTTCTTCTGGCACTGTTGTGGTGCACCGTTCTGATGTTTAAACTCTCGTCTCTATCATCCTGCGTATAGTCGCCATCGTCATCCGTCCACAGAGCGGCATTCTTATTTCCATCAGCAGCGTCGTAACCAAAGTCATGCTGGCTATCTTCTCCGTCCATTTTATCACCAAACGAATCGTACACTCTGCCATTTGATGCGTTGTTGAACGTCATGTTGGTTTTGTTTTCCCCACTTTCTTTCGAAAATATTTCATTTTTCTTATTCCTCCTTTTGAGATTTGTCGCTTTCCTAATGGTATTATTATTGCACGGAATGGACCCCCTTGTAGTTACATCCAAGAAGCCGCTGTCGATATTGAGGGTCCCTACACGTTCTCCAATCTTGGCACCTTGGTTTATTCTTACCAAGCTTTCTCTCAGCTCGTCCATAAACAATTTTGGCAGTAAGGATGCCATAACACAGCTTAAATCGATTAGATACTTTTTTAACAACCACCCTGCAAAAAACTTCGCCGTTTTTCGTATTATCTTGTTTGAAAAACTCGAATTGGAATACTCAAAATCGAAAAGGGTACTCTTCACGCAGCCATTATTTGGCTGATAAACATTCTGGGGGAAACATAAGGAATACCTACTTTGGCTGTTGAAACACACTAGAAGGTTCAAGATGTAGATCCACAAATCGAATGTGTCATTCTGGGTTATCACCTGCTGGTTGTTAATTACTGGAGTTTTTATATTAAAGTATTGGAAAAAGTCCGATGGAATTCCGCAAATCGTTAGAATTTCTAACAAGTTCACTTGTTCGTCTTTGGTTCCCTCCTTTTCAATGCTGCTCTTTCCTTCGGGGGCATAGGGGGGCGCAAAATAGGCGTCTTTCGCATCGTCGGAGTATAATCTGCAGTTTCCACTCTCTGCTTTGTTTTGGAAGCTTTCGACGAAGGAGGAGGCGATCACAACGGCTGGTTCAGAAGTGGTCTTTTCTGCGTCACCATGGTTAGGACCTCCCGTTTGAGAAGAGACCTCCCTCTTACCGCTGCCAAAGAGGTGATCAATGTTCACAGTGTTCCTCCTAGCAAAATGCAGCATAAGCGCATCACTTATGCCAATATCCACAAAGAAAAATACCTTAATAAAGCTTAGAAGCTTCTTAAAAGACCCATACACATTCTCATTGGGTTCATAGAACCCATCGGGATTCATCTCCAGCAGAGTTCGCAACAAAATGCAGCAACACATAATTGCCTTGGTTCCAATCAAGCACAGGCTATATTCGATGAAGCCATTTCTGCTAACCTTATCTGAAAAGAAAATATTTTTAAAGTCTGAACCCTTCTTGTCTAAGCTCGCGTGTACCAGCTTGTCCTTCCTGATAAAGATTTCCTGATTGTCATTACCTAACTGACTTTCTTCTTCATATTCTTGTAACGATTCATTTTCTTCGATAAAAATTGAATTCCTTAAAGAGTTCTCATTATTGCTGTTAGCATTTCCTGATGTTACACTATTGTCCATACAGACACAATTGTCTATGTTGATCTCATTTAACGTATTTGTGTTGTTGATGCTGTTCTCATTGTTCCCTGTATTCTGGTCGTACGAATCTGCCGCTGTTTCTAGAACTTTCTTCGACTCAAATTCGCTTAAATTTTTAAACCTCTTCTTAACCTTTTTGTTGTTTTTGACCCCATTTGTCCTGTGCTTCCCCTTGCTGATCGCCTCCTTGTTTTGCAATTTCTTCGTAACAAAATTAAAAATGGCGTGGAGGAAAAGATCACTGCAGATGATGTCTACCAAATTGCAGAAAAACAGCTCGACGCATTTTCTGTCCAAACTGTACGCTACTGAATTTTTCAACTCGGATAAGCTTGACAACCAGGGAAGTTCATCAATGGAGGCATTCTTCCCATCCTGATTTTTATCTTCAAATTTTTCTTTCTCTTCTGGGTTTACATTTAATCCCAAAACGCATATGATGGACAAAACTTCTCTGATGCATTTGTTTATATCTAACCCTGCTTTTGCCTTTTTATTGTACACATTTACATATAGAGACGAATTTTGATTCATGCCATACTCCTGGTCACTCCTCTGTTGCACTACTTTGTCGCTCTCTGAGGGACGGCTCCGAAATTCTTTGGATTTCACATCGCTATTTGCGTGGTCTGGGTCGGTGGCATTTTTTTCACTAAAATTAATTATGTTATAAGTGTTCTGATCGGAAAAGGTGAATTCCTCCTTCACATCACTCCGTCGAGAAGTACCTTCTAGCGCTACATATTCCTCTCCTCCCGTTCTGCTGAATACGGAAGTGTGCGTTTTTTTATACACATATTTGTTCGTCCTCTTATCCAGGAGGGGTCTCTCCTTACCGAGCTTAGCAGGACCCTTATTTCTCAGTGCCTCACACGATTGAGTGTTTAGAAGTGTCAATTTAGGGCTCTTCGCCTTCCTAAAATGGGGAATGTTTCTCAAATTTCTAACCCGTGAGAGGTTCTCCTCCACTCGATCCATACATAAATAAACTGATGAATTCTTCCTCAAATGATCTGCTACACTAGTCAATGTTGTGTTCATTCTTATTATAACTTCATGCTTCAAGTCCTTCAATATTTCATTGTCCGAATCGAGAATGGACTGATAAAGTTTCACCGATTCGTAGAACTCTTTCTTCTTGAGTTTTAGCTTTTTTAACTGCTTTTTTATGTTCTTCTTGTTATGCCCAGCAATGGCATAAAATTCGTTCAGGTACTCTTCGTCCAAATTTTCCCTTTCATTTCGGCCATTCCTGGACTTCTTATTGTTGGGATCTACGTACTCCGTGCTGAAGGTTGGACCCTCATACACAATCGTCATGGGATCTTGAAAAATAAATATTAAGTTCATTCTCCTTTCGAATTCGATTTGCGAATCTGCTTCGAATAGCACTTCAAGAACGGATCCGATGCTGACCCCTGAGACCATTAGTTCTGTTCTTAAGCATTTCTGATTCTGCTGGTCTTCTACATTAAATTTTACGCTCAATAAATCGCCTAGCTCATACTGCACATTGGCGGCAAACACGTCGTGTCTAAATGGAGGACACATACTTGTGCGAAATCCCACTACGTCATTTCTGTCAAATACTTCGGAAACGTTCGACAAAACGCATTCTGCTGGGGCAACGGTCACGCCGAATCGGCCTCTCGTCTGAATACGAAAATTGATTATATCGTTTACTTCGTTCGGACCAATATTCAAAGCAGGGAATGTCAGTGGTGCTAGGCATAAAACGACACCTCCTAAATTTAATCCACGCAACACTCTCAGAATTCTTCCTTCCATGTTGGCTTCAAAATCGTCTGATGGTCTACTCGACATGAAAAACTCAGATTGGGGCAATTCATCAAAGGGATGATTCCGGTACGATACCCTCGGTATCAATCCTAATATATCATTAATGCTGTTACATTGGGAGTTTCCTTCATTATTTGCCGTATTTATGTCCATCTGGTAATTGACAGAAATGTTCTCCTTCGAACTTGTATTTACTGGCAACTCATCATTTTGGCACGTTTCATTTGCACTATTGACTCCTTTTGTGTCATCATATTGTTTAGGCGTCGATTCGGTACTGCTCTCGTGGGATAAGCTCACCTCGCTATGAAGCAACTTTTTCGTTTCCTGTAAGATCAACTGCTGGGGGAACATCTTAATGGGGGGCAAACACCTCAGCAGAAAGAACCCATGTATCTTACTCTGTTTATAATTTCTCATCACATTCGTGTCATAATTTTTAAAGAAAAAATTAGACATTTTCATGTTCTTTCCCTTATGCCTCATGTAGCTTCCATTGTTGAGATCTTCCTTCGGTAACGCAGCCACGTGGTTGTAGGCCGTATTCGTGGCGCCCCCTCTCACTGGGGCAACGGTCGTAGTTTTGATCTTTCTAACTTGGTTCATCGAATTACTTTCCTGATCTATTCCATACATTTTTACAATCTTCCTATCAAAGTAGTTGTTGAAAAAAACGGTGATGTCGTCTGCGTTATTAGGAGCTTTCTTAATACATTCCGTGATCAATTTGTAAAAAGTGCAATTTATGTTGAGCTTATTCAGTTTCTTAAAACGGTAGGTGGGATTATCTTGGCCAAAGAGAAAGCACTTTAGCAGAGTCACCGCCCCCGTTGGAGAATTCTGAACACAATTTATCAAGCAGTACATAAAATCAGTGATCATTTTTTCACAATCCTTCACTTGTTCCTTACATATTTTTGTGTTATTAATATTGATGTAGAAGGAGCCTTGTTGATTTTTTGTCAAGTCATTGTACAGCTCCACAATGTTGCACAGCTTTATCAAAACAGACATTATCATTTTTAGAACGGATTCTATGAGGCTCTTCCTTTGAAGCGAATAAAACTGAGATTTATAATCAGTGCAGTTATGCCCATAGGCGTAGTCCTCATTTATGTCCTTCGGAATGTTACTAGTTGGATTATTCTTTACACATTTTGTTCTACTCTCTGAGACGACTTGATCTGAGTTCTCTCCGTGGGCATTTTCACCAGACACTAAGATGCCCCACAAGATCGTTTTTATCAAATTCCAGCTTATCAATATTAGTTTCTTATAATTCAAGTTCTCGTTCTCATCATACCTACTCATGTTTATGCCCATTTTGCAATTTTCAGAGTGGGCACTTTTGTACGAGGTGTCATTATTGTTATTAAGGACGTCATAATCGGTGGAAAATTTCCTGCACTGGCAAAAAATGTGTTCTGATGCATCCTCATAATTCCGATTTATGTAATTTTCAAATCGGCTTCTTCTCCTTACTGGGTTGATTATCTCGTTTTCCTCGTTAGAGACTTTTTGGGGTTCATTTCTTACCAACTCGTTTTCATTATCTACTGATTTTTCCTTTCGTGATGAATTGCCCATAAGGCTGGCGGTACACGGATCTGAACACTCTATTAACTCCTTGTTTATAATAATTGCCTTCTTCTTCGTCCAGATATTTATGACGTCATTCACATCGTTGTTGATAGAAAGTTCCAATTCGAAATTGTTCTTTTTGAGGAAGGACCTCACAGAAGCATCATAATTTTTGTTAACGCATATTTCTAGCTGCACATCTGATATCGCTTTGGCATTACCGTAAATGTTATAAACGGGGTTCCCAGTGATAGACCAGTAACATGAATTCGATTCGTCATCGTCGCTTTGGAAAATATTTCTGTTTGTATGCTTGACCGACTTATTCACATTTCTTAACGGCAATGTGTAATGAGCAGAATTTTTATACTGCTGTGTGCACAAGGCCCAATAGTCATTTTCGTGTGTGTATTCCTTCTTTATTTTAAAACCACTCAAATTTTGCAAAATCATTTTTTTGTCTACAGGCACATCATTGCTAACCGTTTCGTGGTACACAACAATGCCTGTGATTACATTGTTTAATATTACTTCATGTTCGTGCTCATGCTCTGACGAATTGTAGTTTCTCACGCGCAAAACCTTCTGTTTGATTTTCTTCTGCTTGTTCTGTACACGTTCTGAATGTATATATCCCTTCACGTCGAGCAGATTTTTCGTTTCCTCACTACTGTTACAAGCTTTCTTGGTGTACGTCATTTCGCTGGACATTAATTTGCGAATATTCTTTAAATTCTTTCCAATGGGAAAAATCTTTGAGTTCACATTTTTAGAAGTTCCTGCTATGCATTTGTGGCAATGAGAACACATCACTTCGAATAGCGAATTATGTGCATCCATAAAAATTGTCCTTCTATTTCCTCCTAAATGTTTTTTCTTCAAATTCTCACTGTTTATGTGTACTTCTCTGAGTAGCGGCTGGCAGATGGTCAACATGTGGTACAAGAACGGGACTACATATCTGCTATCATTCAGGGGCTTCACTCGTAAGCATATTTGCAATGCTATGAGCCGCAACACACTTTCTATCCATAGCGTGTTCATGGAATTTTTTATAATTTGCGAAAAGGTAGACGAGTTCATCAGCATTGTTCGATTGTACCTTAGGTACCATATACATGTACTCTTCGTGATATCCGTCAGGGTAAAGAACAAGGCATGCTCCATTGGTTGCGTAAACCAGTAGTGGTGTGAAAATTGGTCCTTTATATTTAGGCCGCCATAGCCGCTACTACTACCGCCACCGTTTCTGCCTCCTTCATTCATCTGCGTAATGACGTTCTTCAACGGAGAGACGTTCCTAAACTTTATCGTTATAATGTGCAACAACTTCAGCAGCATCCAGCCATAATTTTGCACGGAGAAGAGAGACGGCTCGATGTTGGAAATTACTTTGTTGTCTTCGTTGTATGCACCTCTGCTGGAGGACGGCACGAGTAAGTCCAGTATAACAGGCCACTGCATACTTTTGGTGGATTTCTGCCTCCACTGCTCAAATATCCCCTTTTTCCTCTTCTCATCTTTGCTATACTTCTTATTTGTTTCGAAATGTTTATACTTCCTTTGGTCTCGGACCATACCAATTTTAGCATTATCACATAGAGCGATGCGTCTGTTTTTTTTGTGGAAGGAGATCCCCTTCTCCTTTTTGTTTCCGCTTGATATGTACGCCTTCTCGAGTAGGCGGCGCTTTCCATCTGACATGGTTTCCTGGTTTCTACTACCCACGGGGGGATTCATACTTCCACTGTTGGTATTATTCACATTGGCATAATTTGCCCTAGCACAGAAGCCACTTCTGTCTACGCTCTTCTCATTGCAGTTAGTCTTCTTCTTTCTCTTAATGTCATCCGAATTTGAGTTATATCCCTTTTGGGATCGCTTATTAGGGCATACATTATTATTATTATCCCTGTTCATGATCACTATGGGGTTTTTAATACCTGCAAAAATACCTGCACACAGCATAGACTTTAAGCTCCTACTGATAAGGTAACGACATAGGGTTGTTAGCTGCTCTATTCTGATGATATTCAAAACGGCGTCAAGGTCCGTGTCGCTAATTAAAAATCTTAGTATTTCTTTTAACTGCAACAGGTCCTTGGAGTCGACGCTCTGGTCCATGATGCTGTTAACATTTACGATTACGTCTGTATCCACGTCTTTCGAATTAACCGGGGTGACCTTACCTCTAAAAGAGTCAAAGGAGGGGAATCCTTTTTTTTTGTCAGACCCCTGCTTGTTCTTCATCTCGTCATGGTACGCTCGCATAAAGTCTTCCTTATGCATGGAGAACATTTTTTTCGATTTCGAAAGACCATTACATTTATTGTGTACCTCGGACATGTTATGGTCCGATAAGTCTTCCTCATAATCCAACATTGAATTGGTGTACTTTGTGACGTACCCAGCGCTACAGTCCCACTTTCTACCGTTGTTGCCGTTTCGGCTAATCAAGTCATTTTGATCAAAGGATTTGGGGGGGAAAAAATAAATGTCAGATTTACAATTTACTATGGTTGAGTTTAGCTCTTCTCCTGGAGTCACATCATTGTCGTGACGGAAAATATAATTCTTCGTCAACCGCTTATCTTGCCATAGGCCTCCCACTGCATGTTTCACATTATTCTTGCCATGATTCAAGCATTTCATAATAATAGAGTTGTTTGAATTATCATTGTTCTTTTCACAGAAATTGTAATTCGTATAAAAGTTCGACTCATCATTGTAAAAATTGGCGCTGTCGCAACTTGGGCAACTGTTGGAGAAATTCCTCTCCTTGCTGTTACAGACATAAATAGGTAGCTGCTTTGCATTCTCTCCGTTCTCCTTTTCCGATTTGGGATCTCCATTATTGGAATCCTTCAAACTAACATTCCTTTTATACGTTTTTAACAATCTTTTCAGAAGACACAAATTTTTCGTTGTCCCTTTTCCGAAAATATTCTCCGTGCTAAATTGTATACACTCCAGTTTTTCATCAATATTGTTTGGGTGTCTAAGGATTTGATCAAAATAGCTGAGGGAGGAAACATTTGTTTTTAAAGAACTGGCAAAGGTTGGCATGGTGGCGGCTTCCTGCACCAATTGGAAGTCATTACGATCTGAGTATATGTTCCTAGCAGTAATGGGGATGTCATACGAATTTCGTCGCATAAACACAAAGTGCTCATCCCATTCGTATGAAAAATTGTCCTTGATAACTATCGGGCATAAGCCATGTGGGTAGTTATTAATAATCCATTCACATTTTTTTAATATCTTATCGATTTGTTTCTCCCTCTTCCTTTTTATTAAATCTACTCCTGACACTTGGCTACTTTTGTTGCTGCACTTCTCGGCGTTCGGTAACACATCGTTCGGGTGGATTAATTCTTCTTTGCTCAAATTGCACGAAAGGTACCCATCCCGTTCGGCATCTGGCGCGGGTTGCGTCCCATGTTCGGCTACCCCCTTTCTGAATAGAAATTCGTTCTGTTCATCACTATTGGTAGAGTTAATGCTCTGCTGCTTTTCATCTATCGCACCCTCCCTATGGCTGATGTCGTCCACTGCAGCGACTTCGTCCACCCCATCCACTTCGTCCACTCGATCTATTTCTTCCACCTTGTACAATTCGAGGAACTCCATACTTTTATCGTTCACTTTCTCTTCGCTCTCCTTCGACTTTGACGAAAACTTACATTCGATGCTTCCCTTCTGATGCTGTATTTGGCTCTTCGATATCAGGTCAATTACTCCCTGCCTGGCCAAATTGCACGCTATGGTTATTTTCTTCATTTCTAGCGCTTCACTTATGAGGGCACTTTCTTTTTTCTCCCTGCTCCAAACAGCAATTTGTGCATCATTCTCCATGTTTCTCACTTGGCTGTGGTTATAGCCAATGAGATGCAAAAAGACCGCAACGAAGGCTATTTGGGCTTTTTCGAAACTTTTGTGGAACACGTTGTAAAATGTGCCCAGGTACTCTACAGCATCCTTGTCATTATTCATCAGTCTCTTTAAAAATTCTATGTCTCTCTGAGTGCACCTTTTGGTGGATTCTTTTCCCCTGGGTTCCTTCTCCGTTTCCGTTTTGCTGCCAAGGTTTTCTCCGTCAAAATTGTTTGGACGGATTACCTCCTCTTCTGGGTACATCGATTTGTACGTCTTCATGTAAGACTTTGCCACAGACTTTAGCTCACTTATGTCAATTTCATTGTTGGATCGATTTGTTAATATACTGTTCGGGGACCCCTCCTTGATCATCTCCTCCTCGCCAGTCATTTTCGTAGCCGATAAGAAGCTAGAAATGCTTTCCGGAATTATGTAGTGATTGAACAGGTAGTTCTCATAGTCGCACACGGAGCAGTCTGTAAGCTGAAGCAGAATAGTCCTTATTGCCTTCTCAAACTCGTAGTACTTGTTCCTTTTTGACGAAATACGAATGTATTTTGCGGCATTGATCAAAATGAGCGGTATGGGGTACGGGTTCGCGCTCATCAGGTTTTTTCGCATATTCCCGTATATTTCATATTTGCTGACATTGTCTGACATAACAGTAAAGAAGGTTAAGAAGTGAGTGGCCAAACTTGTAATGCTTATACAGCATTCGGCAATGGGGTGCAAACTGTCCTTATGCACCGACATTTCGAACGAGAGGTGTCTAGAGGTCAACAGGCCCTGCAAGGTTATCTTTAAAAACATGGGCCATATGTTCAGGGCCATTTTTAACGACAGATAATTCTTCAATTCCTTGATGTAGGAATATCTTTTGCTTTTCTTATCCACAAAAAGGTTGGTAACGTATCCCAAGCAGGGTATTATTCCGCTTATGATAAAATTGCACGCTTGTAAAAGGGTCAGACTCTTCGGCTTAACCATATTTTGACACAACTCTAAAAATGACGTTTTCTCATTCAAGTCATTTCGGATCACCTTAGACCCAAATATGTATATAAATTTGTGCATCCCGTTCTTCTCGTACAGGTAGTGATACGAAATGCTCGAAAGGACGCGCATCCCCACACCCAGCATTATTTTTAATATTTCCTCCAAAAGGGAAAATATAAAGTTCATTTTTTTGGAGTCATTCTTATATTTCATTATCTTTTTTCTCAGGTGCTTAAGCTTTTTCGCATTCTTCATGTACTTTTTCTTTTTGGAAAATTTATACATGATACCATTCAGCTGTGTCTTGAAGTTGTTCGAGTCGCTATTCGTTTCGTTATAATCCTGCAAATTTTTTCTAATGTAGAACTCTTCAGACTCGTCCGAGTTGTAGTAATACTCGGAGAGGTGCTTGGACCTACTCTTGCTATTACGCGATTCGATGGACTCCTTCTGATTTATCGTGACATCCGTATTTTCATCATTTATGCTCTCCAAACTGGTTGGAATGAAGTCCGACAATTCGTTCTTGTTTATATATAGATGCGATCCTGAATCGTCCGAATGGGACATGACATCGTCTAGTAGGCCCTGGTTTTGGCTGCTCACCAGGGGAATCCAAGACTTCTTCTTTCTATGACACTTGGCATACATCAAGAGATTGTTATTTTCTGTTTCTAGCGACGAACTCGGGCTAAAAAAACTGGAGTACTTACTGTTACAACTGCTTCTATCCTCCATGTCATTGCTAAACCTTTCAAATAAATGGTTCTTCAAGTTTGACGATATGTTGGACCCATTTGGCAACAAGTCCCTGCGCGCCGCTTCATCCTCCTCGATTGTATCCCCCAAGTCTTCCACTTGTTCCAATTCGCCTGTTTCCCATTTTGCATTCCTTAACTGAATCATGGAGTCATTCTTCCTATCGTCAGATTCCCCCTCCCTTGCCATTTCTTCGTACGCATTGTAGAACGGAATGACGGGCTGATACAAAAACGTTTTCGCGCTTTCATATTCCGTTGCTATGGTCAATATGTATGTGGTCAGCATCAGCACAATACCTCGCAAAAAAATAGAGGCCACTTCACTCGCACTGCTCACATGATTGTTTTTATGCTTTATCTGATTCAATATTTTTACACAAAAGTCAACGTAGGTATGATTTGAACAGCTGTCATTCCTCCATTCATCTTCATAGAAAGAACACAACTTGTGAATAATGTCACACGCTTTGTTCTCCATCAAAAAATCGCTCTCCTCGTTGTACTGTACAACGGGTATATTGATTGCATCATTTGTTTGTTCATTTATAAGTGAAATTAGCTCTTCGACGAATATTCCAAAGTGTGTGGAGTCTATGATCCTGCTCTTGGTGTTTTTTTTTCTCTTCTCGTATCTCTCAATTTCGTGTTTGTTTTCCTCGTAGTATTTTCTCTTCTTTCGTTTTTCTTCCCTACTTATGTTTGTATTTGCATCATGTATGTTGTCCACACTAGCGTTGTAGACAGTCGAATTAGACGACGAGGAGGAGAATGTACACGTGTTCATGTTAATGTTCATGTTAATGTTCTTAGAGTTCACGTAACGATGAGTTGAGCTTACGTTCATCTTCTTATAAGAACCGCTTGAACATTTGTGATACGGGACACTTAACATCCGTTTCATCATTATTTCTAAAATGCCCTTATGTTCCAGAGACTTCAAAAGCTTCAGTATTATCTCCGAGTCAAGGCTGTCATTATCGGAAAAGAACTTGAGCAATTTTAAGATGGTCTCTATGTGAATCCTCATAAAAACGTTGCTTATAATTATTTTATCCGCCTCTAGTAGTATCTGAAAGACATTTCTTCTGAGTAGCCATAAACTCCCATTCAGGTCCAACTCCTCCATTTGGTAATATTGGCTTATGCAGTTATCGTCCCTTCTTATGAACGGAGTTTTCAGCTTAATTGTTTTCAAAAAAGAAGTAATCAATCTTTCCGACAGTGAGTAGAAGTTGTCGTTACTTTCTATCCTGTTATTTTGCACATGCATGTTGTTTTTCAAATATAACTTTAAAATGCTCAAGGCGCAGATTTGCGAATCGGCAGTTTGGTTCCATTCGTACAGGTACTCTCTATATATTCCGACACGGTTGTTGGTTTCATTCGTGCAATGGGTTTCGTAACGATTTGGGTAGTCATCGTTCCTGTTTTGGTCCTTATCAGGGAGAAGTCCTCCCCCCCCAGGAACTGCGCAACTCTTGGCCAATTTGGATAGCTTCCTCAAAATTTTATTGTTATTTTGTGTGCACTTAATTAGCGTCTCAAATGTGTAAATATCAATGTCGCTGTATAATGTGTATGAGGTTTCTTTTTCCATTATCTTCCTATAGTCGTCGTCATTCCAATGGCAAAAACGATACATGTAGTGATTCAGCGCAATGGATACTTTATTGTAAAGTTCCACTATGTTAAGCGGGTTTCTGAGGAGAAAGTTTCGATTGATATCTGGGATTAATTTTCTCTTTACTAATTCATCGACGAATGCAGAGGACCAGCAACACTCCTTTGGGAACTCAAAGAGGCACGTGCGTGAGGTGTACACCTTCAGCTTTATATTATTATTTACTAGGATGTTGTTTTCTAGAGGGGAGTTCTTCTTTCTTATACTTGTTGTTAGTAAATGCCTCCCGTTGGAATAGATCACGATCTTCCCATGGTCGTTTTGAAAATCGCAAGTATTCCCATCATTGCTGTAACATCCTTGATCGATCAGAATGTCAAATATGATGGTGTTCATGTTCGTAATGTCGTACACATTGATCAGTTTATTTGAATTTTTCGTTCGGTTTTTGCCTCTCTCATGATTGGTTACTTCGCTGTTATTGATACTGTTATGGTGGTGAGCGTCCTGCTCATTATTCCCTCCATTTGACATTTTACTTGATTTTTCATAAGTGTCCCTTTCAGTTTCTTCCTTTTCCTTCGCGAATGATTTTGCACCAGATGACTTCATCAATTTAGTGTACATATGATTTTGCTGAAAATTAATCTCCAAAAAGTTGTACTCCTTTTGTTTACTCATATTTTTCTCCGAATTGCCATCTGTGCTTTTTTCTTCACTCTTATCGTCTTCCACCAGCTGAAATGTTATCTTGCACTTTGAGCCAGGTTCATCCAACACCTTTATCGAATTGTCAATTTCGAAGGAGACTGCCACTTGAAATATGTACGATCCGTATGTGGGCAGGACGTTACTGGAATACTCACAAGGCTTGGCAATATCTTTCAGGCACCTCTGTGGATTAGTGTTTATTTTTAAAAACATAGGGTACTGCAGGGAAAAGAGTTCCAACAGCTTCAGCGATTCGTATTCGTGCAACGGAATTTTGCACATTAGCCTGTTCAAGTTTGTGTAACTGGAGCAGAATTCCTTGTTACTATTTTCTACACCTATTACGGTGCAATCCTTCTTTTTTTCCTCCGATTTGTTGCCACTGATAAGGGTTTGATCATCACGAACCTTTTTGTTACACGACCTTATTTCACATCGCAGGTAGGGGATAATAATATACTCCGCCAGGGTGTTCAAAAAATGCACCAAATATTTTAGCGAGTTCTCATACACCGCTATGGTTAAAAAGGTGTCGACTATCTTCAGTGTGAACACCAAGTCGTTATTACAAATGGCATATTTTAATATCTCCCTGCAGATGTCACTAGTATTATTGTACAAATGCAATGGCAGGAAAGAGTAATTAAATTTATCACTTGGGTTAAAATGCGTCTCTGGTGTTTCTTTGCTGCACATGTGGGAGTAGTTCTTCTTAGTTTTGTTAAGCAGCTGTCTAAGAAACAGATATATTTCTTCATTTTCATTTTTAACAGAGTTTATCCCTTTTAATATAATTTTAAAAATGTCGTAACAGTTGACGCTGTAAACATTTGATGGGATTTCTGCGCTACTACTTGATTGGTTTTTATTTAGGTTAAAAATTTTGAACACCATGTCCTGCACTATGGATGTATCATCCAGTTTGTTTAGAAAATCCGATTTTGTGTTAGAGCAATACTTTTCATAATCCGGAGAGGGAAGCATTTCGCTTATTATTTTCCCCGTTTTAAACAAGGGAGCTTTTATGTTATCACTCATGGCATGCTCAATCATGGACTTCACCTCTGCGATTGACTTATTCTGATGGTTGTATATAGAATTTCTTACATTTTCCAAATACTTTGGCAACAAAATAGTGTTGTTTGTCACCTTTGAAATATTTGTGAAGCTTCTACTTTCTGAATTTTTTGCCTTTTCATTTTCATCATTTATGATGGCATCATTTAGACTAATCATTTTTAGGAACTCCTCATATTTTTTATCCTTCCACGATGTATTATCCATCTGATTCAGAACGTTGTATAGGTAATCTCCATATTCTTCCAACTCGTCAAAGGGCTCGATCACGCTTTTTTCGTCAATACATTTTTTGTCCCACGCATCTGCGTTATCCTTCAATTTCTGCGTTTCACTTATGGTCAAATCATGAACCTTTCCGTCACTTTTAATACTGCTTTTTTCGTAATTGTCCAGATTGGCTTTCTTCTCCACTTCGCCAACAATGTCCGGTTCATTATCCGCAGGAGTATCACTTTTTTTGAGAGATGTAATGATAAATTTGATCAGTGTTCCGCATATGTGATGGTAATGTTTTCTCTTCTTTGACTCTAAATAGTTAATGAACTTTAAAATATCCTCTTCGCACTTTTTATTCTTACTGGGGTTATATTGACTGAATTTTAGACACCTGACAAATTCTAAATAGACCCTTGCTTTATGTAACAAGCGCAAAATATTTTCGTAATTACCTATCACCCGGGAAGAGGACTGTAGCAGAAGGAATTCCCCATAGTTGCTAATGGATTTAAAAAATCTGGTTCTGCTTAGAACGACGAACTCGGAAACGTAACATTTATTTTTGTTCTGAAAGTGGTCAAGGATGCTCCTTAATTTTTCCGAAATTAAAATTTTGTCCTTTTCTCCTATATCTTCGCACAGCGAATATAACTCATTCATTTTTACTTCTTACTATGTTGGGCAATTAAACTACGCTAAGGATACACATATATTGAGAAACTACCGGTGTGACGGGGGGAAGGACGGAAAAAAGACACAAAAAAAAGGAAATAAAAACGTTGAAAAAGGACGAAAAAAAAAACGGCGGTTGGTAAGACACATAAAACAAAGCATAAATCATGACCACATAGTTACTAATTGTTTAAGCGACGTGCTAAAATGAACACTATGAATGTGAAGGGGGATGGGCAAAAAGCTTCTAACTAGTAATGCTACAAATGATTGTACTCGATTAATTTCATTTTTCAGGGATGTCTGTGTTCCCGCGTCATCCCTTGAAATGTTTAAAGTGAAGGAATTAAAAATATATTGAAAAAATAAAACAAAAAACAGGGGCGACGCAATATATACAAATGTGCCACATGTGTATATACAAACGCGCAGGTGTGAACAAATTTGGGATGAATATACATACACGTGTGTCCATACGACGCATGTACGTATGCATATGTCCGGGAAAAATATTAAACACTGCGCACAACCATCTGCGAAAGAACAAACAACATAAACCGAAATTTGTGTAACACGTGGACCACTAAAACACAGGGCAGATAGGTTTTCATTTTTTTTATTTTGTTTTTTTTTTTTCTCTATTTCTTGGTGTGCAACATATGTGAACTTGTGGCGTTACATATGTTCATGTAACTACGTACGCAAATATTTTGTGAGTCTTCATGTCTGCGAGATGCATATTACACGAATATGTGTATATACGTGTATACAGACATACACGCACAAAATATACTCATATTTTGTGACCAAATTGTGCGACAGAGAGGAAAACAATATCATTACATACAATTCTGATCTGGTGTAATATACAACGTTCTGTCCGTTCAGCATTTAGGAAACATATCATGTGTGTTAAAGAAATATTTTTATCCATCCATGATTTATTAAAAAGTTCAAATTTCTGTGTGTACAATTAACAATATCAGGTGTGCGTACAAGTGTGCAACATGTTAATTGAGTGCACCCATAAGAACAATAAATATTTATTATTCTATCATGTACATACGTTTTTTGCGTAATTCTTGGCACATATAAAAAAACGTGCAGACAAAGTTAAGGAAAATAAAAGTGAAACTGGAAACACTTCACAATCATATTATTTTAAAACACACTTCAAAAGTGAAAGGAACAATTCATATCCTATAAAATGCAGTTGTCAAAAATGATGAACATATTTTTTTAGACATTTTCTGCGCAGCGAAATCTGGGAAAACAAAAAAAAAAAAAAAATAGAATTGAACTCAGCTGCTGTTTTTTTTTATTATTTCAAAAAAGTATGAACAGCGAATAATTGGAATATATATTTTGGCTGTTCATAAATTTTTTGAGTGTCAAATTTGTGACAAATACAAACTTTTAACGTTTAAAGGCAAAAATCAAAATGATGTAAAAACGGAAAACAACCAATATATGCCTTTAAAAAAAAACATACACATGCATATAAAATTTATGTGATACAAATACATTCGTTGTTATGATAAAATTTGTAGAAATATTGTAAAATTTTTAAAAGTCAACATTTTGTTTATATTATTTATGAAAAATTGCGTGATTTAGATTTTTTTTTTTCAAGCACCATTAATAATATTGCACATGACCAATTTTTTTTTTTTTTTTTAATGGACAATTTAAGCTGTCTGTCATGCATGACCTCTTGGAAAAAGGAAAAATACAGATGGATATTTTTTCGTATCATTTGCCAAGTTTGCCACATAAAAGGGAATAACAATGAGGGGTATTATATGTCTACTTTTCAGAAAAACCCATTTGTTCTGTGTAGCATTTTTCTTGAAATATTACGACAGTGGATATTGAATGCTTTGAAATTCTGCAATTGTAGAACGTACAAGTTTTAATTTTTTTTTCTTTTTCTTTACGGGCTGCTAAGCGTGGAAAAAAAAGCTAGATCAAATGGAGGGGAAATTATGTACGTCAAGCTTAAATTCATTTTTTTTTTTTTTTTTCCATTTGAAAATGGTTAATACGAATAAGGAAACAGTGGTGGGGGAAAAAAAAAGCCAAAAAGGGTTAAAGCTTAAAAAGGAAGCTACAAAAATGAACAAGATGGAAAAAAGAAAAAAAAGGGAAAGATACCTATTTAGCATTTTTTATTGTGATACATGCAAGTACTGCTATATTAGGCCATTTCAAAGTGGTTGTCCGAAGAAATAACAGCATGCTAAGGGACATTTGACTATCTCCTTGATACCTACCTGGCTTAATGAAAAATTATTGCTTCTTAAAATTACATGCACATCTTGGAGTGAATGCTTTTGTAAATTTTTTTAATTTTTAACAACATCCCAATTTATCCACTGTTTGGAAAAGCGCGTTGTGCAAAAAAGTGTAGACGTTCAAAAAGTGAAAAAAAAAATATATGACACCAGTGCTGATGCCTCCCCCAGGGGGGGTACAATGCCCGGCTAATTTCTTGAAACGTATGAATATATTTTTTTTTTTACACAGCAATGGAATATTTTTTGAAGCCTGCATAAGATGTTGTGTGTGAAATTGTTATACATCACTTTGTGCTGCGAACCAATGGCTCAGGGGAAGCTCCGCAGAATTCGTTTTGCGTTAAACGATTTTCTTTTAAAAGGAAGCATTTCCATACAACGTGTGATCATTTTGTGTTTACAAAAAAGGCAAAAATTTTTAATATGCAACAAAATTATGAAATACCCATCTGTGCCTTTCTTATCGCAGTAGTGTTAAAAAAAAAGGATTAAGCTACTTGGTGGGTTATTCTGCATGCTTATCTTTGGAGAGATGGAGCACGTAGAAAGTGCTGGAGAATACATGTTAATGGTTTCGCGTCCTCCCAAGAAGAAGATATTTGTTCAAAAACCCGCACCACAGTTCTCAATTTTCTTCATATGCTGCGGCAATCCTTAAATATTTCTAATTTTGTAGACCATTCTTTTTGTATTCACATCCTGAAAAAGGGTAACCATATTTTGTAACCTTTCTTTTTTCCGTCTAAAAAATAGTGCAATGTGGCACAAATTAAAGAGATGAAAATCGTTTGTGACTTTTGCAAGAGGTGCAAAAGGTGCAGATAGACCCTGCATAAACGAACCGATAAGTGGATCTTGTTCCAAAGGGAGGTATGATAACAAAAAACGCGTCACACTTTTACGTTTCACAGAGTTTAATAGAATAGCATATTTTAAGGTGTACGCACATCGCGCGTGTAAAACTACAAAATGATCATGCCCCTGTTGTAAAAATGAATCTGCCTTGACAGATTAAAAGAGGCGCAGAAATGCCGGTGTAATGACACTAATGAACACCTGCTTCAAGCGTAAAGGGTTTGTTGGCTGCCATAGATGAACACAGTCCCCTTCCATCTAGATGTAAAAACTGCGTGCGAAAATTGCACACGTGCAAATATTACTGCACGTGTATAAAACCAATTGTAAAATCCCAATTGTTATTTCCCCTTTATGGGTGCAGCAATATTTAAGTGTTTCAGTAGCTTAAATGAAGCTTACTAATTCTGGATGGTGTAACTAGTACAAAAAAAAAACATGAACATTGCGAAAAGGTGAAGTGTTACGTTATATGGTGATATATTGTTGAAACGCGCTTTTATGTTAAGTTTTGTATATGCAATTTTTTCCTATTTATTCGGGGAAAAATTAGAACAGACTGCCACGCATTTTGCTTATCTGCAACTTTCACGTTTTGAAAAATGCCTTTCATCTAGCCAAAGGAAGGGACAAACGGCTAATACCTTACGAACATAAAAACATTTCATTAAAGAGGTTGCGGTGGTGATTAAAATATTTGGGAGGAGGCCGACATGTATGTTTTTTTATAAAAATTAAAAAAAAAAGAATTTTAAATAAAATTTCTTCATTATGGACGCGAGAAAAATACGCAAAAAAAAGGTTCTTTTCCTTCAACATAGGACCGGAAATGGTAAAAATTTTAAGTGCTTTTCTTAAAAAGACATGAAGCAAATCAAAAATACGCTGTAACGATTTTACCCTTTGTTCACTTAAGCGGGTGGTATGAAGTGCATGTTTAGCAAAATTTATGCGCTTTTTAAATGGTCTTAAAAATTGTTGGCGGTGGCAAAGAACGCTCATGTGGAGCATGCATCTTTTTTTATATCTGTCCCTACTTTTTGCAGCTTTATAGTAAACGTGAATGCCACATGGCACAGGAATTACATGAGCGTGTAAAAACACCAGTATATAATTATATAAACCGTAAAAGAAAAAAAAAAGGTGTACATATGTGCCTTTTAAAGCAATTCATTTTAAAATCGCCAACCACTTTGCAAAAAAAAAAAAAAAAAAGAAATGACATTTATAGAAAATTTTAATTACGTTACGTGGAAGCATATCTGTACCAGCATGGCAGCATGTGTTAATGAAAATTCCCGAAGCCTTTCAAGCCAACATAGTGTACTAGTAAACTTTTCCTTATCACCCCTTTTTTGTCCCTGTGATTTGTTCCTCGTACGCCGCCTTTTTGTTTCATGTGCCACAATGAAACAGAAAAAGTCAAAAACACGTAAATCATATGCATGTGCCAGTACCTAAGCATTGTAAAACAAAAAAAATTGTACTGTTTTCTTTTAAAGTCTCATGTTTTTTTGTATGGATATAATATGGGCAAGGGATATACAATATATATTTTTTTACTGCGTTATTTCACTTAACATTCGTTTTAAATTATTTTCGTTTTATCCTTCTTCCACTTTCATCTTCCTCTTAAGCTCTTATATTTTTACGCGCACGATTTTTGCTAGAAATCTACGAAAGTAATATACCCACCTTGTGCTTATATACATGTACGTTCTATGTATGTATTATATATGCAGCATGTTAGCATACATATGGAATCGTTTCCTTTTACTTGCGGCTATGTTTCTGTCTCAGTAGAAAGAGCATAATTAATGCACAGGAGAAAGCTTGATGAGAGAAATTAATTTTGGTAAAAATTCTTTGCAAAGATTGAACAAATTCTGCAAGTAGCAGAAATGAAAGGGTTATTGCAGACTAATAAAAAAAAATAATGTTGGAAAAGGCATACGCCAATGAGTTTGCAGAGTGACTGATTGAGTATAAAAAATTAAACGCAAGGAGCAAAGGCGAAGGCAGCATTAATTTTTTTTTGGCAATTATATTTTAAAATTCGATCATTTCTTTATAACAGATTGAAACATTATTTTTTCATGTTTTGCTCACATTTTGGAAATGTATATTAAAGAATAAAAAAAAACACATTCCCCTTTTTGAGAAGCAGCCACTGAGCAGTATTTTTTCTTCCTTCACCCATTAATACAGCTCAGTTTTATGTATATACCGCCCGCTTAATCCATATACGTATTTTTCCCTTTAAGAAGAATCTTCACCCTTTTACATAAATAATTTAAGGGAACGTAAAAAACTCAATGTAGAGTATACATTAAATAACACGACTAATTAGAATTTTACAAAAAAAAAAATTCTTTTATTTTATGGTGATTTCCTTTCCACCCACAACTCCACTCTGTGTTAAAGGAGAAGAAATATATAGAATGTTTCTTAGCAGAATTATAACACATGTATGATGATGTAATGCTAAGGGGAAAACTACATTATCCCATCGGAAGTTATTTCAGCATAATAGACATAGGAAAAGAGAGATTGAATATATATGACCATACAAAGTTATTATATTATTGTATATTAGGAGAAAAATAGCACCAGAAACATTTGTCAGGAAAAAAAAAAAAAAAAATCGTTCATACCTTGGTAGGGTTTCATCAGCGCAAACCCCTTATAAGTACTACCAACCCATTTTTTCTTTGATCATAAAGAAATTCATTATTGTAAGAGGAAAAGACCAACGTAGCAACACATAAGAGAAATGAGAGACGCGTTCGTATTAAAAAAATAATTGCCCATTTGTATACGGAAACAATTATCAAAAGACACAGAGAGGAGGCGAATTTTTGACTCTTAACAACGTCGAAAAGGTCCTATGGAAAGATGTAATGAAGAGGTTATCATAATGTACACTATGCTGTGAAATAAATAACAGAGTTATTATCGGCCATAGCGTTTTAGCCGTTCTTTCTGCTCTCCATGAAGACGCAAAAAAGTACTTGGTCAATCTTTATGTTACGTAACTCTTTCATTTGTGTATTGCCCAAAGGAATAAATTGTCCATAAAGAAGAAAATTACCGTATAGCAGATTGGAAACCTTTTTTTTTTTTTTGAGGAATAACATAAACGTGCAAAGGAGTAGATGAACGGAGGAGAATCCTACGTCTGCGATATTTCTGTACATTTTAAAGAATAAACCGTTCATGTAAGGCGTAATAAAACCTTCTCATACACAACTGACTTGGGGATCATCACACAAATGTGTGTAACATATACGTATGGGGAAAAAAAGACACCAATATCTTCACAGAAAAAAATTGGTACACATATATGTCATTTAGCAGACCAAATGAGAATTGTTTAGAAGTACTACATGCCGTACATGTCCTGTGAAATGAGCATATATTTACCTCCGAGGCAGCGCGTTAAAAATAGTAAGAAAAAAGAGAGTCCTATTTTTAATGCGTAAAATTTGTAAAAGAAAGAGAAGAACACAAAGAAGGAAGATACACTAACAAGGAAGGTACACTAAGAAAGGCTCACTCAGTTTTTTTTTTTTTTGTTAAATACCTTGTATAAATTGAGTAAATTCTGATTTAATTTTGCACAAAAATTGTACAAATTTCCAATGAGTTGGAATTTTTTTTTTTTCCATCTTCAATGCGTAATTTATTTTTTGTTTTTTTCCAAAAAATATATGCCCACTCTTGTCCGTAAGAAAAGAATGTCACATTAAGGAACAAACCTCGTCACTCTGTTGTTAATGTCTTACTAAGAGGGATATATATCTAGATAATATACAAGGATTTATTAAAACATATGTGCATGATGAGAAATATGACACTATATGCATCAGAATGAGTTATTACAATTATTTGAAAAAAAAAAGTCAGCATAATGGTGATGATAATGATGATGAAAGATATGATCATGTGGAAATGGTACCAGGGGAGAGTTGCAATCATGGAAATGGGGGCGTTCCAAATGGTCTATATTATGCCGATGGCCTCCACGGCCCGCATACCCGTTACCACGTCAACATGAAGAAGGTCAGGAAAGAGCAATGTTCGCCCCTTGAAGGCAGAAGGAGGAGAAGATTTAGAAAAAAAATTGCCGAGAATTACATACTTAAGAATCAAATAAATGAAACGATTTTAACCAACATAAAAAATATATTCGAGAAAATGGTAAGCATAGAGCGGCTGACAAACATGGATAATTATAGAAGTATGAAAAATAAAATTGAACGGTATGACCATGTGCATCAGAAAGGAAGAGCAAATGGGACGATCCGTCTGCATACTAGGAGTCCTTCGCCCAGGGAGCAAGATCTATTTTGCACCCCTAAGACCCCAAATGGAAGGAGTAGCACATTGTATGACGATGAGGAGCATAACGATGTGTTCAAATCTGTTTGCGAGGCCGCTCCAGACAGCCACTGCAGTGGTAGGAACAGCTGCGAATATAGCCACAGGGCGAGCACACATGGGAGTAGTAACTCATATGATCCCAATTTATATGAAGACGAGAATTACCCTTATTCCGTCAGTAATATCCGCGGCCGTCCGATTCGCTTGAAAAGTGTCAACCGCAAGATACCCCAATGGGGTGATAATATGAGAAACTGGGAGGAGCTCAAATGCCAATATGCAAATGGATGGCTTTGTCGTCCTCCCTCGTATGGTGTTTCTCCCCCAGGTAAAACCGGGACTATTTTGAAAAGGATGCTGAGGGAAGAAGTTAACAGTGAGTCATTTAAAGGGGGCATCCTCAATAGCGAAATGAGGAACACGTACGAAAACATAATTGTAAGTAATAACGGTTATGTGGACCCCCCGAGTGATCATCCCACTAAGGGGGAACCATACCATTTCGATACAGCCCAAGCAAAGCACCCATCTGTGGGGGTAGAAAAGAAGGCGAAATTGATTATGTGTAAAAAGGAGGAAGAGGTTACCTCCCTCTTTAGCAATCAAAAAGGACACCGACCCACCGGTATTGAAACGGTGCCAAAGGAAAACGATATAATAATTGTAAAAGATGAGCAGTTCAACAACCGTATGAATATTTTCCCCTGGAGTAACAATTTGGAGAATAAAAATATTCTATTTCCGTATCAACAGAAAGGACACTTAAGCAGCAACCAAATTAATCTAACAAAATATGAAAGAGATAAATATTTCTATGGCCAGTACAAATATGATGAGGCGATATATATTTATGACTTGATAGTTCTGGACACCTCTGGATTTTTATACAAAGTTGCCACCGATGGGACATACTACTGGAAACATAAGGTAGTGGAAAATATCCAAGGCTACATAAACTTTGATCAGGACAAGAAGGGGAGGAGTGCATACAAGTCGATTAGGAATGGAGCGAGGTATGATCTGCCGTTTAAAAATATTCTAGCAAAAAATAAACACAGCACAAATCATAATTTAAAACGGAGAGCAATGAAGAAGCTACATTACAACAATTTTTTCGATCTGAGAAAAATAAATTTATCCCGAAATGACGAATTTAAAGAGGACGAGAAATTTATGAAAGATGGCACCAGACGCAGTAGGAAGAAAAAAAATTACCAGGAGGAAAAATTGAAGAGAAATAAAAATATAACAAAAAGATTGCTCTCAAATTATAGCGGAGACTTATTTTACATTAATGAGAATAATGAAGCCATGCCACTAAATATTAACATCAAAGATGTCGTCAATAATTCGCCCTTCAAATCGCCTCTTTTTCCTAATATCGTGTTTATGGGTTCCAGACACTCCAGCATCGTTAACTTGGATTATGACACAGGGGAGCTCATAAAAAAATACGACGAAAGTTTGGAAGATCTTCTCGTAAAAAAAGAAAAGAAAACGATACCCAACAGGAACAGGGAGTTTGTTAAGAGCAACTCCACCAGAATGCACGACGAACTACTGCAAAATGAGCATACGGCGGAGTGGAGTGATGTGCACGGGCCCGCCAATGGGAGAGGCGGACCTGGGGTGAAAGGTCCGTGGGGGGAGGCTCAACCTGGGCGGACTCACGCGGATGATGATTATGATGGCGATCAGGAAGATGAGCCTGATGATGAGCATGATGATGACCATGATGATGACCATGATGACAACCACGATGATAATCACGATGACAACCCTCGCTACGCCGAAAGCAGTGCAAGCGGTGACGAAGCCCCCCCGGGCGAATACCAAAATGACGCCATAAGGGACGAAGTAGTAGTAGGAACGGAACGCCATAAGTGTAGCATCATCAATGTTAGCCACGGAGGCAAAATCACTAAGCCACTTTTGGGCCATAAAGAAGGCAGCGAACTGCTGCACTCGGCCGATGCACTAAATGAATACATCGAGGAAAACGAGTTTTACAGATACACATCAAAAAGTAAGTATAGCATTGCTGAAAAGTATGATGAGAAAAAAATCCGGGGGAAGGGGAAGTACACCTTGAAGGTTTTGCGAAAGAATCCACAGGAAAGGAAAAAGGTTGTAATCAAAAAGCTCCTCATGAGTCTGAACAGAACCAGTTCGCTAAGTAGATACCCTCATAGTAGTAACCTTCTGGACATTACAAGAATGAGAAATAGGAGAAGAAAAAAAAAAAAAAAAAAAAAGAGAAGAAAAAGAGGAAGAAGAAAAACGGAGAAGAGACAACTACAAATAAGTATAGTTAAGTGGATTATAAAAGCTGTTGATGAAAAATCGCTGAAACAAAAATGGATAACCACTTGGATCGACGTTGGATCTATTTTCATAACGGACAGTCACAAGCAAGATCCGACATTCATCAATTCGCTTATCGAAATTGTAGGGAACAAGCTGATACTGCGCCCGATGGAAATGGACAAAATGAGCAAGGCGTACAGCATTGAGAAGAACGTACATAGTGAGCCCGAGGAGGGCGACGACATCGTGCAGAGGAATGATGACCACAGGGTGGAGAGCGCTGTGCCGATTGATGTGATGGTCGATGAGATTCACCATTACAGGCCCGATGAACCAATCGATCGCCGAAGCCCAGTGCGGAAGCGAATGAACCAAGAGGGCTCAAATGTAAAGTCCAAAATTTTTATTTTCTCCGAGGCAGTGTCCTCCGTTTTTGCGCTCAGGTATAAGCATGCATCGAACATTTTCACCCTAGACGTGATAATGAAGCAGAATAGCAAAATGTTCCCGGGGTATGATAATGTAAAGGGCTTTAGCTACAATGCCTTAAATTTTAAGAAGGAAAATACGCTCTTTCTACCGTTTTCGTCTAGCGATTCTGTAAAGAACAATGATGAGACAACCTTTTGCAATTTTTATGCAAATATAAATTATGGGAAGAAATTATTGCACAGATTGAATAACATATCGGTGAGCATAACTTCAATCGAGAAGGAGATACGGTACCTTCTGTCCAACATAATTTTTGTGTATGATAGGAATAAAAAGATACCTATAAATTATATATACAAGATGAAGGGGCTGATACGCGAGTATCAGAAGACCAAGGAGCAGTTTTTGCTTTATTTGCCCGGCGTGGATAGTAGGAGGCACCTGAATTACGCGCATTACAGCGACCTAGATAGAGGAAGCTACAGAAGTGTTCCTAGCGGCGGTTACGGTAGCATTTCTGGCGGAAGTTTCAGCGGCGGCTTTAGCGACAGTTTTAGCAGCAATTTTAGTGGCAGTCTTAGCGACCGATTTAGCGGAAGCCTCGGTGGAAGCCATGGGACTGGACGGGGAGGGGGGCGGCGACCCATCCACATTTGTGAATACATAAATAAATTTATCGACATGTATTTTGAAGAAAACGAAATATGCTTCGACTACTGTTCCATGCTGAACATATGGGACAAAATATTTAACAACTACATCAGTCAGGACGACTGCTTGTTATTGTCCAACCTGTACAGAGTGATACAAAACGCATTCGCTTTCAACAACCGAGATTTTAACCTTTCAAATGATGATGCAGACTACATGATATCAGATAATGCGAATTTTCTGGTAAAAAGGAGAAAAAAGAACTTTGCCTATTCACGAAACCAAGAGCTGAAAGAAGTGTCAACGTTGAAGTACAAGAAGGGGTGGTACTGGAATATGTTCTATGCCATTATGCTCATATTTGTAGTTCCCTTTGTGTTTATCTACAGAATGTTTAAGAAAAAAAAAAACAATAACACTAGCAGTAGTAAGGTAATTATGAAAAAGAAAAAGTTGAAAGATTATGATGACTATGTGAGGGATCAGGATCTACTAAAGTTAAGATATCGCCTGCTACATGACGAGCGTGTAAGGCTGAAAAATTCCTTAGGGAAAGATAATTACGGCGATTTAACCCCAATGGAATTAAACATTCACATGAAAAGGGAGATAGCGAATAAGTTGAAAGAGCTAGAGGAGCAGCCATGCCTAATTGACATTCTAGCGAAACATGCCAGAGACTCCGATAGTGATAGCAAATTTTATGATATCAATGAAGGGAAGTATAACTTGGATTCACAGAGCTACTGGGGTGGATCTTCAAAATATAGCTTGCCTAACATGTCCATCATGAATATGAGCAGAAGCAAATCGAGAGAAACCATAAAATCAGATATCATCGAATCGAATATGTTTTATATGTATAGAAGAAGAGCTGCTTCGCAAGATGTTACTGATAAACAGTCCTTCGTAGTAAAAAAAAGGATTAGAAGCAGCTACAAATTGGGGAACAGGTATCACAAGAAGAACTACACCGATAATGAGAAAGACAGAAAACATAACCATTTGAAGGAAAAACACATAAACGAAAAAGATTTTGATAAGAGTGATTTTATAAATTTCCTTACCAACTTTAATAAAAAATTTATGAAAAAGAACTCTCTAGTAGACCATCTTCTCAAAATGAACAAAACGGTAGCAGTAGTGGGCTCCAAAACGGACGAGCATACCTACAGTAACAGCAGTAAGGAGTACCTCACACATTCGGACCATTCCAACAAGGATGAAAATAGCCAAGCTGAACATATGAGCAGTTTAGGCAAAAAACTCGCAGGGAGGAAACATGTTAATGAAGACAATAAAACGAATGAGGAGAAAAAAAATAAAAACAAATACACCAAGCATGCCGATAATGGCAATGACTATCTTGTAAACACGAATAAGCAGAGCACCCCAATGAAGGGCAAATTGGGCAACGTTGCAAATAATAATGAAATCATAAATAATAGAAGTCCCAGTGCACGAAATTTATCTATAATTCAAAGATCGCACATTCCGTATGATGCTCCACTGGCGGATTTTTTAGAAAATGGACGATTTATGAGAACATTCGAAAATATTTCCCTCATTGGTCAGGGTGGATTTGGCTCCGTGTACAAGGTGTCGCATCGTCTCGAACCGGGGTCTCCAACCTATGCTGTAAAATTTATTTACCTAAAAGTGAGTTCGTTGGATAATGTGAGCTCCAGAAGGTACTTTCGCGAAATTGCAGCTAATAGAGATATCTACAGTAAGCATGTTGTCCGGTACTACACCTGGTGGTGTGAAGAGCCGCAGTTTCTCCCCATGCATGTCATGCCCAAGGAAATATATAACTTAGTTAAGAATAACAAAGATTCTTTTAAAAAAATGTACAGTAAAAATAAACAAAGCGATAATCTTCTTAGCTATGAAAAGTTATCATCTTGGGAAAAGAAAAAAAGGGATTTAAAAAATTTTAAAAAGGTTATAAAGAAGAGGAATGAACGGAGCTTAACTTTTTACAGTGACAATGATGGACTGAATTCCAAAAGAAATGAAAACAGGAGTAAAAAAAGATTTCTAAGCGACAAAAACTTTTCTGATAATGTCTACACCAATACCAATGCTAAGAATAAGAAGAAGAACAGGAAAAAGAAGAAGAAAAAAATTATATACCGAGAAAGACAAAATGAGGATCGGAATGGACGAAATGAGAGGCAGTCCACTGCGCAGGACAAGTTTAACCCTGCCTCCTTCAACTCAAGTTTTCAAGAGTACGATCCCTTTGGCTGTGGCTATCTAAGTGAGGAAGATAGAGACTTGGTAGTTTTCGCAGACAATGACGAACCGAGCGTACACATTGAGGAGGTAGCCCCGGTTGGGAAGACGTCTCAGCCTAGTAATCGCACCAATGACGCGCTGAACCATAATGATCCACCGTCCGGCAAGCAACAAGTGGGTGTAACTCCAAGCGCTCAGGGCGACGAAGAAGATAAAGCAAAACATGAGCAGCCGGAACCACCACAACGCGCGGAGACCAGCCAGCAAAGCAACAAGGATTACGACGCATCAGACAAAGATCTACAGACACGAGGGGAAGAAACACATCCAACCAAGAGCCCCAAAATAGAGAACATATTAATAACCAGCGCCAAGAAAAAATATACTGAAGTGGAAAACGGTATGAATAAAAGGGAAAACTGCAAGGAACAGGAGTCTCTTGCCAGGAACGAACCATTCCAGCACATCCAGAAAGAAGAAAATATTAATAATAAAAATAAGGAAAAAATAAAAAATGAAGGAAATGTAGAAAAGGCAAAAAAGGAAGAAAAGCAAAAAAAGGAAGAAAAGGAAGCAAAGGAAGAAAGCGAAGAAAACGAAAAAAACGGAAAAAATGAAAAAAATGAAGAATTAGCTAATAAAGGAAATGCCGACAAAATAAAAACTTATAAGAAAAAAATTGTGGCGCCAGAATTTTCCATCGTACTGCTACTACAAATGGAGCTCTGCAAGGGCTACACACTACGTAAGTGGCTAGATAGATCGACAAGAAGTGATAAGCCTTTGCATTTTACCTACCGAGACAAAAATATGAAGCACCCGCTAGAATTTGATTTGTTTAAGCAGCTAATTAAAGGGTTGAAGGACATCCATTCCACGTGCTTTATCCACAGAGACCTAAAACCAGAAAATATTTTTGTGGATCCAGATACATACACATTAAAAATTGGGGATCTTGGATTAGTGCGATTTATTGAAGAAAAAAAAAGAGAAAAGGATTTAAACAATATAGACACTTTTAAGGATAACATCTACACGGATGTTAACCATAATACCATAACTAGCCAAATTTCATTGAAAGGACAAATTATAGGCACTCCAGGGTATACGGCCCCAGAAGGAGGTGCCTTATGTGATGAAAAGGCAGACATATACAGCGCTGCGCTAATATTACTAGAGTTGCTGTGCCCACGATTTAATACGATAATGGAAAGATACAAACGATTAAATGACTTTAGGAATTACTATGCCGTTCCGGATTATGTGAAAATTCATTTAAATCCATGGTACATTTTGATGCTACAAATGTCCAAGCCAAACCCAGCGGATAGACCTTCGGCTGCAGACTTGTATAGCAAAATTAAGGTGCTCTTGGATCCTCATTTAACCGACTTTGCCTTCAGTTTCAGTGATATTAACAATGACGACTCGACTTATTTCCCTCCGGGGGTGGGGCAGAAGTGCCGCATCTCCGCTGGGGATGACAAGGTTGAGAAGAATGGAAGGGATGATAGGGATAATATGGATGGCAAGGACGATAATGGAAACAATTTGAACGGTTACAAAACCACTAGCAACGGCGCCAGCAACACCAAAACAGACAAAATCCTCTTAAATAACAACGTTGACGATAAAAGTTGTTTTAACAAAAACAGCGACAGTCGTAACGGCACAACTATTGAGAACAAGGGAAGTTCGCTAAATGGAACGAGCCCCGATTGGCCCAGTTAAATTTACTAATACACACCTGTTTGCTTTTTTTTTTCTTTTACACCATTTTGAACTGTTTTGTGTATTTTGCCCCCATATTTTATTTTCACGTTTTGTTATTTTTTATTATTGTTTTTTTTTTTCGAGCTCTCCTTTTTAATTAAATTACAAATTATAAAACGGTGGCACATTGTCATTTACTGTGCATAAATGCACGCATGTCTGCACGCGCATAACGTTACTTACGTCTAATTGTCGACCACTGCAGGCACTGTTGAGTACCTCTTTTTTATCATTTGTATTTCGACTCTCATGAGAAAATACCCCCCCGCTCTCCCAAGAGAGTCTACCCACGTTTGGCTTTCATTTCCCCGTATTTTTTTTCTTTTTCACCAATATTGCAGTTAAGTTATAACACTGTCTAGATTGTTCATTGTTATAGCGCAATGTGCCTCTCAGGTGAGCAGCTCCTGTGTGTTGCATATCGCGCATTGTGTTTTTTATACCATGTGTCATATGGTTTTTATTTTTTTTTTTTTTTTCCATCTTGCTAAAAATTTAGACGACAAAAATAAAAAATAAAACAAACCGAAACAAACGAATGTACCTAGTCATGTGCATAACGAATTAACACGCACATGTAGCAGAGGAAGGACCCGAATTTGTTCACAAAAAGGGCCGTTCATTTGTTCAACCTGTTTATGGTACACGGGTTACTCATACGTCACACGTTCCAGTGTGGTGAAAATGAGGAGCCGGAAAATGCGCTGTTTATAGGGACGACGTCGCATACCATGGCGCTCCCGCTTCAACCAGTTAAGCTAACAATTTGCGAAGAATTATCATCACCGTGATGATCGCACAATTTAACAAGTCATTTCGTCATGGTTTCATAAATATGAGAATTAGTGATTCACGACATGATCCTCTTATTTCAAAGGTGAGTTAAAAGTGAAGTAAAATTTGGATATATACATATATATGCATACGTTTGTGCACACACATACGCATAAATACACACATGACATGACATGGTTTGGACAGCACAACGCACATATATATATATATAATAACTATTCATGCGGCAACAAATAAAATGCACCAAGTGGAGAAATGAAGCGTCTTTTTTAGCAATCCCTTTCATTTATTTCGTGAAGATCCACTCGCACATGCACATATGACATAGGTACCTATACATGTATAAACACAGCACCTAGGCATATTGCTAAATGTAACTATTCCTTTTTGTGCCAATTTCAAAAAACACGTAAAATAAGAAAAAAAAAAAAAGGGTCAGATTTAAAATGCTGCAGATTAAAAATTTATATACATGCATGCATATATGTGCAGATACAGGCACTTGTGATAAGGGTTGAAAAAGCCAAAAAGGAAAAGATCGGCAGAGAGCGCACATAAGGTTGGATCATATATGTCTAAAATAGGCAAAGCTCGTTAATGCTCACTGCTGTTCACTGCTGTTTATTGGTACTTATTTCTATTCATTTTTAGGCCCATTTCGCGCTCATTTTCTTTTCTTCTTGTTGAACAGGAAGGTGATGTTGAGCTCTTTGCAAATGTTTCCTACTATGGTGTACGTATAATCAAACAAGTAAACGAAGCCAAATACCATCATGTAGTATAATATGTACGTTTCGTTAAAAACTGCCATTTTTAAAATGTGATGTTTGAATGTGCGCTTAGTAAATAGCAATGTAATGCAAACGTAGTAGAAGATGATGGGGATAGGGAGGGAGTCCATTTTGGTCTGCGAGGTGGAGGAAAAAAAAAATAAATAAAAATATGTTACACGTGAAGGGGGATTAATCACGAAAGGTAATTTTGACATATACTGGCTTATTTACTCAGCTACGTTTTTTTTTTTTAAGCACCACGTTGAGAGAAATGGTTTCAATTGCTGCACACAAACACATGTGCATATATATATGCATATGTCTACATTCTCTCACTGTCCATAAAATAAAATTACCTTTAACACGGTGGACATATTCATGTGCAGGGTGTAGAAGGATGAGAACAATGCTATTATTGTGTAGCAAAGGAGTTCATTTTTGACCGTTAAGGCTGCAAAAAAAAAAAAGAAAGAAACACACATGTGGGTATCGGTTTTGTGCGACAAAGTGAGGCAAATTCTTAAAAGATAAATTTAAAACTCTGTTAATTTTCACGATAAAAGCGTGGTCTTTTGCTCCACTTCCTTCCCATTGCTCTTTCCCCTTCCGTTGTTTTCATTTCGCTTCTTACTTGTGTGGTAGAAGTAGTACTGCACCAGCACAAAGACGTAGAAGATGATCAATTGGACTGGAAAAAAAGGAAGAAAAAAGTGTAAAAATGAGGGAGACGGAAATTTCAAAATTTTTAAAACAAAATCGTGGCCTTCGTTACAACGCATTTATATGTAAGTGAAATATAACTCATATGTAACTCATTTATATGTAACGTAATCACAAGCTGCGCTTTTCGCTGATTGGAACTCACTTGCGGCTTCTTTTCTCTTTTTCTTAGCCGTCTGTAATCCCACGTAGGTGCTTCTCGCGATGGTGAGTATAAGGCTGGGAAGGAAAAAAAAAAAAGATAAACAATTTGTAAGTTGGCAAACTCGCACCAAATTACCACACAACCCGCAGGGGGCTCTTTCGGTGGATGCTCATTTTGGGAAAGCATGCGCGGACACTCGTTCTTATGTTGACAGATGTTAGCTAATCAAACGGGGCACATTTTCCTCATTTTTTCCTTACAAAAAAAACACTGGGATTACAATGATGTGGGTGAATTTTATGCTTAAGGCAGCTCTGCCCAAAAGCGCGCTGAATAGGGAAAAACGAAGAAAAAAGGAGAAAAGTGATAAATATAAAATGTGTTTAAAACAATGTATGCAACTTTTTGATTAAGGAGATATGGATTTTTCTTTTCATTTTTCCCCCATTTTGTATATCCGAACCGAAGGTTCCCTGGTAATAAATCTTTCAGTGTTGTCTTGTCAAATAGTGCCGCTCCTTTTAATCCGCGAAGAATGCACACCGATATGACCTTCAAAAAGAAAGCAAAAGTAGCAATAAGGCAAATGTATGTAAATACGCAAAACAAATGAATGGAGATAAAAAACCTCTCCCATTTGTTTGTTATTTTTTTCCCCTTTTACCATGACATGCGATTCCGTGAGTCCCAAGGCAGCCATGGACGTGTTGTACACTTTCATATAATGCTCCATCCAAGAAAACATGAATGTTTGCAACTGAACTCCAGCCAATATCTGGAAATGAGAAGAATGGGGGAAATAGGAAGGTAGAGATATATGTATGCTTCCATGCTTCCACTTGTGTTTTTTTCTTTTTATTTTTTATGTTCCTATATCTGTTAATCCAATTTAATAATTACAAAATAGAAAAGTAATCCCTTTGGAATGCTCGCGCCTTTTCCAACAATAAAAATGAACAATGACTGAAGGGGAAAAAAAGAGATGAAGATGAGCGGTGAGGGGCAATGAATTAAACGATAAAGATGTAATAAAATTAGTAGGTAACAAGATAAGCTAATTGACAATAGACAACGGTGGTGTCCGATCACTAAAAGGGGGAGCATACCGATATTATAGCGTCACATCCGTGGTCAAACAGCTGCCCCAGGGGGGAACTCGTGTTTGTTCTTCTTGCTTGTTTTCCGTCCAGCGCATCGAATGTCTACAGGGGAAAGGAAAAAGGGGGCGCAAATTTAGCAATGTATGGGAACATGGTTGGGAAACCAAAATGAGCCCATCGCAGTGCAGCAAAAAAGGTGCCACTGTGCGGTACTGCAGAAATCGATCGAGTCTTACTTGGTACAGGAACAAAAATAACGCTATGTATAAGTATATGTAATCATTTTTCTTGTTGGACAGGTCAAAAAGGTACATGAGAAAAAACGCCACCGTGGAGCATAAGAACCCTAGGAGTGTCAAAAAATTAGCTGTTACTGACTAAAAAAAAAGGGGGGGAGCGAAGAAAGAGATGAGATGAAATGAAAATGTACGAAATTGCGCATATTGGCGGTATGGTTAAAGATACAGGAATGGGGGTAGCGATGGGGTATCAACGGGGCAGAGACATAATCGTTACTACATCAAAGAACAAACGCATGCGCAAAGAAGGACTCGATAGTGAATCTGGAGGGCAGACGAACTGGGGAGCTGCATTACCTTGGGGACCAGCTTCATGCAAAGGTTCCAGTATGCGTCAAAAATGCTATCGAGTAGCGAATGTCCACTATGCTTATAAACATACGATTTACAGTTAGCGTAAACGCCTTTATTTAACCTTAAAAAGATCCCCATCTTGGTCAACACGCGCACGATATGAACAAATATATAAAAATATATAAGTAAGGTTTATATATATTATTGTACAGAAAAATGAAAAAATAAAATATGCAAAATGTCATGTCACTTGAAAATGCTAACATGTAACTTTCTCATTTTTTCATTAAAACACGCAAACCTTATAAAAAGGAAAGGAGAACTACTTAGGAGATTATATACTAATATTTTATTTTTACTCTCATAATGTTTTTCTATTAATTTTATTAAAATATTTTCGCTATGTTATGTATTTTTAAAAAAATCTTCGACCTAAATTTTTTTTTTTTTTAGCTTAAATGGGTAAATACCGTTTAAATAAAATGACCAAGGGGTAAAAAACGTGAACATGAAAAAAAATGGCTAAGCGTTTAAGAAAAATGTGAACTTGAACGACACGTATAAAACAAAAGTTATTGTAAAGGAAAAAAGAAAAATAGGCACAGAAACTTGCGCAGAACTTGGGAAGAACTTGCTTTAAAATATAATGGTAAATTTTATGTGGATACATAAGTAATAATATTATATGCATACATACGCATAATATATATATAGATATATATATATATAAATTATATACACGTGCTATACGAGACTTGTGCGCGTATGCGCTCTAAAAGCACCTTATCAGATCACTGGCGAAATTTAGTGAAGTGTAAATTTCAGTGAATCA